GAAAAATGGTTATTATTTTTTATTCAGTTTTAAAACAGAGTTTCCTGCGAAGAGATCTTGTTCTGTTAATAAAATGTTATTGTCAGTCCTTAACCTGAAAACCATAAAGAGCATATCCTGTAGTGTCAAATCTGAAAATTAGCAGAATGGGGGAAAAAAGACAAAAATGAAAGGAAGTAAGGACAACTTCTTCAAACTACGAGGAACAGGAAGTAAAATGATCCTAAGAATTTTGCCAGTGTTGTGCAAGCCATGAGAAATACGGTACTTGATGGAGACTATGCAATAAGGAGGCACACAGGCAAGAAGACAACTAATGTATGGCTCAAGAAACCCCTGCCACGTCCTCCTTCTCTCACCTGGAATGTGTTTAGACCTCACGGACCCCAATGTAAAGGCGCTTACTCCTCATTGATTTTCTTATTTTCCAGGTCCACAAGCCTTTCATTTATTTGAATTTTATATCTAAAAGGCCCAGAGTATAACATGGTCATCCTCTTAGCTGACTCCACTGAGACAGCAGAGCTCTGGTGTTAAGGGTCTAAGGTAGTTGCTGCTAAAACCACAGCAATACGCGAGGGTTTTCCTCTTGCACGGGTCTGTTTTTTCATATACTGTAACACAAAGGCCTTTAATTAAGCAATAGTTCTGGAAATGGGAAAAGAGTTAGTCCTCTCTATTTCTTCATATCACTGACACAAATCAGACAGCAGCATGCAGTGGTAGTGGGCTCTTGAGATTGTGCTTCATCATAGGTGTGTACATGCATGTATGAGCACGCGCACAATAGATTCTCTTTCTCCCAAATATCCAATGAGCCATTTTGCTGTCTGCAACACTGATCTTCGTACAGAAAGGTGGATTATGCCCTTCTCTGAGTGTTTGTGGCACAAGATGAGCAAAGACAGGTATCAAGAAATAGAGACTGCTCCATCATCAACCCTCTTATGACCTGCATGGAAAGGAAGCTCATGGAATCTGGTTAGACATTTTATTTAATAAAGAGCCACTTAGTAGATTATTTGCAGATTGCAAGACTTTAAAAAGATAGATGACAATAAAGCACACATGATTAAAACTCTAAAACAGTTCGGTTTTCTTAGATGACTCAGAGGCACTTTGAGATTTTACACAGCCTCTGCATCATCTGGAAACATCTGTTGTACTGTAGGATACGTTAGAACTAGTTAATAGTGGCATCTGCTGAATTTTCATGGAAGAACAATTGGATTGTTCAGCTTTCGTTGCAATCCAGTGGTTAGTTAGATATGATTTTTACTAGTCAGTAGCATTTCACAGAAGATTAAATCTGGTTTGTGGAAAATGAGAAATGTTAGCACTTTATCTTTTACTAGGACATAATGCAAAACTTGTGCTATCATTTGGACATATTTAAGACCCTGTCTACTGTCTGTCTTTTTGGACAAATTCTTCTTATGGTGAAATTAGCACTCCTATAGATTGCTGGTGTTAAATACCTTTCTGGAGGGCAGTTTATCAATGCCTATCAAAAGCCTTCACAATATTAATAAACTCAAGGAATTCTAATTTCTGAGTTTTCCTAAATAAGTGCATAAATGGTAAAACAGTGCATATAATCATGTCCTTTGCAGCATTGTTTACAAGAACATAATGTTGAAAACAAATAGGTTAAGTTATAGTATGTCTATATAATTACCATATGTAATATGGTAATTACTGTTTCTGTTGACATCATACTTTGTTACTATGCTAAATAATAAATAGGGTAAATTTTAAAATTATTTATGAAATGATATATATACCATGATCCCACTTTATAAAATGTAAATACTATGAACACATAGGGAAAGGTCCTATAGAATATGTCATATATTCATCATGTTCATATCTGGCTGGTAGGATTCAGGGGAGATGATATTTTACTTTTTGCCTTCATATATTTTTTGTTGTCTGGCTTTTAAAAATGGTCTGTTACTTTTAGGAAAAAAAAAGTGAATTTTTTCAATTTTTAAACAAAAAAGTAATAAACTTATGGTATAAGCATGAAGGACAGGGCGATTTGGGAAATACCTGAAAGCTCAGAGGGTGTAGTTCGCTTGACATGCTAAGGGTCAATGCAGAGAATTTCACAGTGGAAGGCTTTCCACACATTTCAAGTCATTGGCATGGACACAATTTCACTTATGAAGTGTAAAGTCAACTGATAATGCTCTTGAGGTGGCAACAAGGCACGTCACGATTAGCCCTTTTTATTACTGTTCTTAACTTTGTACAATCTTTACACCTTCCTTTCCTAGTAGGAATGAAAGAACTTTACAAATTTGCCTCTAGAACTGTGTATCTTAGGAAAAGTCCCTCCTTTCAATGGGGAGGGACTGTCAATAAATTTTAAGCTACAATAAGTGAGACAAGATAGTACACAGGATCCAGTTGTTCTGGTCACTCCTCTGATGAGAAATCTAAGAGTGAGAAAGATTAAGTGTGACCTGGCCAAAGTGGAAAATCTAGTCCAGGTCAGAGGCAAAAGCTAGCAACACCCAGCCACGAGGCTCATTGGGTATGTAGAAGGGGGAAAATAAAAAATCTCAATTTTTCAAATACATTGGGAAATGAGATCTTAAAATCAGATTCCCATAAGAGAAAGGAGTGTTGCTTTTGACATAAGGATGCCCTACATGGAGGTTTTATGTCCTCTGCTTGTCCTGAAGAAGAAGGTTCCAACTAATAGCTGTGACCTCAGAGCTGATCCAGAGAGATAAAAGAACAAATTAAGACTTTCTGCTTGATTAGTTTGGGAAGCAGTCATAAGGACTCATTCTCTCTGCCGTGGTGAAAGCTGTCTACTGATTAATAAGCCAAGAGACTATTAGGCCAAGAATCTGAAGGCCGAAGCCAAACCACTGGGAAGAGCTTTCCACTGCAAGCTATGATGTGATTGAATTAGAAAGGAACATTCCAGTCATGTCACATTGTCACCTCAAACTCAACAAGTCTAAAATTGAACCCATCTTTCCTCACAGAGCAGCTCCTTAACTGAACTTTCCTAAGAACAAGAAACTATTTCAATTTAGAAAGCTTCGTTGTAACATATCCATTATAGCTTTCCATTGTCAGACACAGACAAGATCTAACTCAGAGTAATCAAGGGCTGCCCGTTCCTGAGAGATCAGTTCTGGAAACCAGGTTTTCTAAGTCCTAATCCAGTTATCCATTAACTCCACCACACTACCCTTCTCTTCATATTTGTGGAAAATTACCAGTCCATTTTATAGAATTACTAAATGACACTTTATTTATATTGGCATGTGAGTCTTGTACACAGGCAGAAGTCAGATTTGCTGAAGTAGCAAAGAGCAAACCAACCTTCAAATTTTTTAATCTTGTGATTTGTAGCCTATGTAGGTGGAAACAGTATTTGTAGCATTTTTAGTATTGAAGGCAAAAGATGACATAAATGAGATAAAGTCCTAGATCCAAGCCTCAGAGTGCACAGTTTATAAATCTAACACAAGCAAACCATCACCGGTCAGTTGTACCATATGACTGATTATTGGTGTCCATTGTATGGTTTGATGCTTGGTTTTCTTAATTGGAAGGTTATTTTGGCTTTATAGTTATATAAAAATTATCCACATATTCTACACACCCGCCATACAGCATTAAATCTTGCGTTAACAATCTGTATTCTATACTTTAAAATTTACTAAGAGAGTAGATCTCATGTTAAGTGTTCCTACCACAATCTTAAAAAGGATTATTAACATGAAACATTTACATGTATGGATTTCTATTTGCAGATGTGTAAGTAAGATTATAATTAAAACATTTTAACTTTGCAGGGTAAAAAGCAGCTCCCTGCAGTTCAACCTCACCTCCATCCCTTCTCAGCCGGTGCCCCGCCCCCATACGAGCCCGCCCTAGGCCAGCAGCTCTACCCAAGCCTCCTGGCATTCTGTGTCTGCACCAAAAGCTGTCAAGCTAACCACGCAGGCTATTTCCTTTTGACTTTGGGCATCTGTTGTTCCACAGCCCCAATTCTTTATTTGGAAATAAGTACTGGGGGAAACATTTCTGGCATAGTAATACTGATTGTATAATTTCTCCAAATAGGCATTTGCCTCAGATGAAACTATAAAAACTAAATAAAAGGAACTTGTGTGAACCCCTCTGTGGCTCTTCTACTCACCTCAGCCCTTGGGGTTCCAGCTAAATACACCTGCAGTGATTGTTGTGCCCAGTGTGTGGGTGACAACACTAAAGGATGTTTTAGGGAATATCCCAAGTCACCACTTCACAAGGCACTGACTTTGTTTGTTCTTTGGGCTATGTTTGTTTATTTTTGGTACCAGGAATTGAACTCAGAACCTCACACTTGCCAGCAGGCTCTGTGCCGCTGAGCTATATCCAGGGCTAAGGCACTGACTTTGAAGTACCTACTAACTGTCAGTAATATCCCCTGTCTCCAGGGGGGAAAACAAAATCCAACTAAAGATATCCTGCTCTTGATTTTAATAAGCCATTTGGGTTTATTAATACCAAATTCTTGATTTGGTAGTATAACTTGATTCTTTTTTTGGTCTTTGTGACATCACCTGCACAAATAATTCATTCAACCTACTAAATCTTTTTTTAAAGAAGTATTTTTATTATTGAAGTTCAATACTTTGGATTTCTGCTTCTAAGTCTTACATGTGATAATCAGCTTAGTGAAGAAATCTAAATGTGTTCACCCACCCTCCCCAAACACAGCCTCATTTTGTGTACATTTTTGTAGCTTCAGCTATTTGATCATTGTAAATTACCCCTTGCAGTTCCTGGATTCATACTTTTCAAATACTCAAAAATTGGAAAACTAGTGAAGGGGGCCTCCAAACTTAAGGGATGGGCCAGCCATCTTGCTAGAACTCTGTGGTTCGTTAATAGCCAAGTTCAGAAAAGGGAGTGGGTGTTCCTGCCAAGAAGTTGGTGAAAACAGCTGGCTGCAGACATGCTCAGGGTTTGTCTTTGCGATGTTGTAGAATCGCCTATCAGAGAAATGACGATGATGAGGAAGAGGCTGCACGGGAACGGCGCCGCCGAGCCCGACAGGAGAGGCTGAGGCAGAAGCAAGAGGAAGAATCCTTGGGACAGGTGACTGACCAGCTGGAGGTTCACGCCCAGAACAGGTACTGTGCTCTTCAGAGTGGGGAATCTCTTGATTGTGTCTGTTGGATGGAATTTGTCAGTCAAAGCATTCGTTTCCAGCCTAACTCAACCCTTTATCATTGATCTTACTGCTGCTTTTGTGACCACTTTGGGCCACAAATCAGATTGGATGACCAAGTTGATGTAGACACTAGGATACAACTATTTCCTGCACAGAAGCACAAAACTACAAAACTTGGTCCCCTGGGAAGTAGCTCAGGATTGGGGAACATAGCAAAGGGGACACAGGTATGCTCTCTGGGCTCAGCTGAATCCCAATATGGCCTTTCACTGTGTTTCTTCACCTAAATGGAAGTAGAATTCTACTTTCCATCAAAGGCTGTTAAGTAATTCTGAAATTATGTGACAGTGCATGTAAAAAGCACAGGGTCTTTCACATAGCAAGCACTCAATAAATGTCACTGTCATCAGAATCTTACAGAGGAGAGCAGCATTCAATGCCTTTGTATTTTTAAGCTGAAGGATGAGGAACAGAAAAAAATAATTTTTAAATAGTATCCCGAGGCTTTTCCTAAATCTTATTATTAGTGAGGCATCAGCAATGGCTTAAAATGATAAAAGCTGGTCTATGGTTTTCTGCTGTGAAAGTCTTACTTCTACTTGTGTTTCTCTTCTGCTTTCACATTTGATAATTAGTTATTTCATGATGCTAATTGAATTCAAAGTTCTTTTTTCAGGAAAGCATATTCAGGTCTGTGAATACGTGGCTTATCTCTGACATATTAACTGGCTACAAAAGGACATATTTTCCTTGTGGCTATACAGAATCTGCTGAGTTCTTAAGTGTATTTTAGACTGGCTAGCACCCTGGAATTTTGTGTACCTTTCTAAAAATTATTAGAATTCAGTTGATCACAAAGCCTTGTGTGTATACTTGTCTCCTTAAATGCTAAATTCTTTGTCTTTTCTTGGACATTTAATCCTGAGAGGTTTAATTCATAGAGACAACATCCTGCAGCAATAGCTAAGACTGAGAAGGCTTAAAATCTAAGCTTTGCTCTACTGTACTCTGTTGTTTAATATGAAGTGTGTTTTTCCAACATTAAGTGAACTTGAACATCAAAAGGGCCAAGTTTGGTATGAACCATGAAATTTGATGGTGTTTCTAAACATTGCAAGATACATGCTTCCAGCTCCGGTCTCAGTTCTGATATCACATGACTAGTTGTTTTCTGCCAAGAGACACCAACACTCCTGGCCCGGGCTGTATCCAGCATCCCACAAGAATTAGGGAGATGATGGACATGGTATGGCTTGGTTTTATAGAGATTTCTTTTCTTTTCTTTTAATCAACATTAAATTTAACCTTTATCTACTGTAGAAGAAAAAGAATAAGAAGCCCTTAGTTCATGAAAATCTTGTCAAGGAAGGTAGATAGTGTATATATTGGTTAAGACAATGCTGCTGCTATGACAATAAGCTCCCAAATTTAGTACTTTGATACAATAGCCTCCACCTGTCCATCGTGGGTATTTCTGTCTAGTCAGGGGAACCGGTTACCTATCTTCCTTTCTTATGTGACTCTGGCAACCCTACGGATGGGTGGAGTCTTCTAATTCAGGCCACAGACAGAGACAAGGAGGACAGAGAATGCTCCTCTGCTTCTTCATTGCCTTGGTCTGCTCACATTTCAACAGCAATTGTTTGTCACATGGTCCTGCCTAGGTACAAGGAAGCAGAGAGGTAAGAAATGTAATCCTGATCGGCCACCACTACCATTGTGACTGTGGCAGGAAAAGCATGGATTGTGAGGGACACGCTGATGTGTCTCCCTTGGGGTCACTGGCACGATCTTAGAATCTCCACACTGACCCGTACACCCTCTCTCTGCCTCCCATTGCACCGATCAAGAGCAGGAATTCCATATGACCTGGTGGCCTGTGAGAATACCACATGACTCCTTACTTTGATTTGATCCTTGTATCAGTTTGAGTTCCCAAAGAAGCAGATTCTAAAACAAAGATCTGAGCACAAGGAGTTTACTTGTTGGTGTTGTTTTTAATTTTTATTTTTATTAGTACATGTTTGCTGTACAAATCGTTTACTTGTAAAGTGAACCTAGGAAACACTAGAGGGATGTAGGGAAGTGAGACAGGGATGGGAAAGCAGCCAAATATGAGTTGTATTACCAAGCAAGTTCCCACGGTGGGCCTGTGGAACCTAACTCCACTGGGAACCTTAAGAGCCTGTGTGGAGCATGGACCTCCGAGTTCTCCAACTCAGAGGGAAAGGGAAGCTAAAGTATTGATACACTGATGCTCATCAGTTTTGTTTGAAGGATTCCCTAGGTGCCATTCATACTCAAAGCACTGCCAGCATGTTGAGACCATGTCAGAAAGGCCAAAGGCCAAGGCCTGCATGGGGTCCGTTGAAATCGGAGAGCATGTGAGCATTAACTCCTGATGTCTGTGCTCTGGTCTTAGGCAGCACTGGCTGCGAATGTAGCTGGCTGATTAACCAGCAAGCTGTTTTCAGTGTTATTCTTTCTGTTGTACAGTGTCCCTGATGAGGAGGCCAAGCCAACCACCACGAACACTCAGGCAGAAGGTGATGAGGAAGCTGCATTACTGGAGCGTCTGGCTCGGAGAGAAGAGAGACGCCAAAAACGGCTTCAGGAAGCGCTAGAGCGGCAGAAGGAGTTTGACCCGACAGTAACAGATGCCAGCCTGTCACCACCAAGCCGAAGAATGCAGAACAACCTGGCGGAGAATGAGACTGCAGAGAAGGAAGAAAAAAGGGAGAGTCATCAAGAAAGATATGAGATGGAAGAAACAGAGCTTGTCACCAAGTCCTACCAGAAGAATGACTGGCAGGATGCTGAAGACAAAAAGAAAGAAGAAAAAGAAAAGGAGGAAGAGGAAGAAGAGAAGCCAAAGCAAGGGAGCATTGGAGGAAACCAGGTAGAGGCGATGGTGGAAGAGAAAACAGCAGAGACTGAAGAGGAAACGGTGGTAATGGTGTTGAAAAATGGGCAGATTAGTGCAGATGCATCTAAACTAGAGGAGGAGAGGGACCAAGGCTCAGGGGAGACCTCCCGTAATGAAGAGATAGAAGAGGAAGAAAGAGAAAGAGCTGAGGCAGAGAGGCTAAGGTTGGAAGCAGAAGAAAGGGAAAGAATTAAAGCTGAACAAGAAAAAAAGATAGCAGAGGAGAGAGCAAGAATCGAAGCAGAAGAAAAAGCAGCGGCACAAGAAAGGGAAAGAAGGGAGGCAGAGGAGAGGGAGAGGATCAAGGAGGAGGAGAGACGGGCTGAGGAGGAGAGAAGGGCTGAGGAGGAGAGAAGGGCTGAGGAGGAGAGACGGGCCGAAGAGCAGAGAAGGGCCGAGGAGCAGAGACAGGCCGAGGAGCAGAGACGGGCTGAGGAGGAGAGAAGGGCCGAGGAGGAAAGGCAGAGAGCCAAGGCAGAGAAGGAGGAAAAAGCTAGGATAGAAGAACAAAAACGAAAAAAGCAGCTAGAAGGGAAAAAGAATGAAATGCAAGAGACAAAGATGAAAGGGGAGAAGGTCCCAGAGAAAAGAGAAGGGAAATGGGTAAATGAAAAGCGAGTGCAAGAAGATAAACCTCAGACAGCTGTCCCAAAGAAACAGGTACAGTAAGTGACTTGCACCTGGTCTGTGATGCCTGTGACTTATGAGAAATGTAATGCACAGAGAATTTGGGCCTGAGGCCACACGCCTACCATCCAATGCTTGCTCATTTGGCAAGCTATTCATTTTTTTCAGGTCATAGCAATACACAAGCATGGAGCAGTCGATGGATGGCTGAGTATATAACCAACCAAATTTATTGGGCCAACCAGAGAGAGATGAATTGCTCTGTGCAGGGTTGTTATGACTACCAAAAAAATGAATTAACCCAGTGATGAGGAATGTGGCAGTGCTGTGCTGACTTATGTTTCTGCATCTGCATCTGCATCTGAATGCATTCTTTTTCGCATCTGTCCTTTATCTAGAGGTCTACATGAGGCAAGGGGCCCTTAACGTCCCACCCTACCTATGTGTTTGACACATTTAAAAATTATAAAAGTCAGGGTGGGAAACTGACATAAAGCATTATGGTCAGCTGGGCATGGTGGTGTCTGACTGTGATCCCAGCACTCCGGGAGGCTGAGCCAAGTTCAAGCCCAGCCCAAGCAACTTAGTGACTTAGCAAAATCCTGCTTCAAGATAAAACATAAAAAGGGTCTGGGGATATAGCTCCGTGTGAAGGACCTGGGTTCAATCCCCAGTATATGTATTAAAAAAAAAAAAAATTATAGTCAGATATTTCATTTCAAGAAGGCAAAAATAAACCCCTTCTGATCAGCTGGAGATAAAAGAGGAAAGGAGCCACTTGGAACCTTTATTTTTAAGATCTCAAAACCCTGGTTTGCCGTCATGTAGACCTTAGCTTAATGTGGACTTGCAGAAAGTGACGCATCAGGGATAGGGCAATCCTGAAGGGTAATGAAGAGCATGCGTTCTGCTTCTTTCGTTGTCTGGGTGACAGATTCCTGTGGTCTGAATAAGGGTGGGAAAAGTAGAGGTGGGGTGTTGGGGAGAGAATAGCATAAACTACAGATTTGGTTTTTTGTTTCTGTCTGCAAGACTGCATTAAGAGCACTGTACCTGGCACCACTGCACCCTGCCCTCCCAAAGAAGAAAGTAGAGACACTTGCATGTTCACCTTTTTGGAGCAAACTCTGTTGCTCAGCTGAAGTGGCCTTTCACTCTGCTTCTTTCTGTACGAGGGTCTCGTGCACCTGGCTATAATTGAGATCATAAACAAAATGCACCAAGCCACACACGAGGTTTGTAAACACACACGAGGTATGCCAGTGAGCACAACGCCAGGCACATAAGAAGGTTGCAGGTGGGAAGAAACAGCCCACGTCACTCTATAGAGCCACTGGCACCAAGGCTATGTGGCGCTCAGCCAGCCAGAGCCACGCTGTCTTGCAGCACATGTGCAGTGATCTGAACACCCCTTGCACTTGTAAGCTAGAAAGGGCTGCTTTTACCTGAGTGACTTTAACTGCTCTTGAAAATGAAAAGGAAGAAGAAAGGGGACCTAAAGGGCAAGCTCAAAGACAAAAATTCCAAGAAGACAAGCCTGCTTTCAAAACACAAGAGGTAAATGTTACTGAGAAATAATCTGGTAAGCAACAGAGAGCAGGCAGTGTTCCGGGACATCTCAAGTCTGATGATTCTCAAAACTGTAAGCCTGATCTCAATGGTTTTCAAGCCATGACTCGTGACCCATTGAATGGTGAAATCAGAGTGCCTCAAAACTAGTTAATTGCCCAGCATGGTGGTGCACACCTATAATCCCAGCACTCAGAAGGCTGAGGCGGGAGGATCCCTGTGAGTTTGAGGTCAGCTCGGGCTACATAACGAGTTCAGGACCATCCTGGACTACATAGCGAGCCCCTGAATCAAAGAAAAAAAAAAAAAATAGGTAATCAGCATTTTACAAAATGAAATGGAACAGAAAAATATGAGAGGGCACTGTAGGTAGTGATATACACTTTTTCTTATTGGGGGGTCATACTCAGAGCTTGGAAAACACTGAGCCAATCCATCTTTTCCTCCTTTCCTGTCTTCTAAGTGCTAATACTTTTCCTTGAGCCATCCTACATGCATTTCAATCATGAAATATTTCCAACTGGCTTTGATTAATACTTTAACTTTTCAAAGGAAAAACACCCTCCTACTCTCTCCATCTCAGTAGAAAATTTGGTGAACTGAAGATGATATTTTATTTCCAAAAGAAAAGTTTGGCCAAATGTTCTGCATTGCATTTCTGAGGCACACACAGGAGCAGGTACCGAAGGGTTTGCAGGTAGGTGAGTAAATGGGACTGTTTTAGGTAGAATGACATGGTGCCCCAGCGTAGTCCACAGCAGAAAGCTGGGCTCCACTTAACCACCATGTTTATTCCAGCCCCAAATAATCTTATGAATTGTATTCTATCTAATGAGGGCGCTTGAAAGTGGTGAAACTGACTCATTAGAGCTAAGAAGATCTGAGTGACTTGGCCATTGAGACTGATAAATCTACCTTTAGCCATTTAATACCAACCCAGATGGACTCTTGCTACATTTCTCTACCCATGGTGGCATCTTTTAAGAAAACTAAAAGGTGTCAAAGAAAAATCCATATGTAGAAAATGGATGATTGGATTAAATAGGAAATGGGTTATTTTCTTTAATGTTTTTTCATAAGATTCATGTAAAATAATGACCTATCTTCCTATTCCATATTATGGTTATTTTAAAATTTCTGTTCTTCTGTGTTTCTAATAGAACTATGATGGCTTGGGGGTGAAAAGTGAACAATAGCCCTGCACCTCTAAATAACTGAGAAACTGAATTTAGCCCTAATGAGTCAGCTAAGAAAATAGTCAGACACATTAGGAATTTCTTCTCATTTTGTGACAAAGAATAACTACAACTTCAGCTTCCAAATAAAGAAGAAAAGAAAGATATTTACATAGGATCTAAACCCAGTAAAAATGACCCACTTGTATTCCTCTACAAAGTAAGGTGGTAAATATACATATAAGAGGAAGAGGGCCTGAAATTAGGCTCTGTGATTAAACAAGCAAGAAGAGGCTGTCGTGAGCACGGTTGGATGTGTGAAATTTAATTCAGTTTACAACCATGCGATTGAACCAGAGCAATGTATTCCTGCAGAGGGTGTCTGTGAACTAGAAAGCACTCATCAGTTTAGCAGTGTTCCCATCTCAGTAAGATACTCAGGGTTTCAGCCTGCTTCTGTCCCATTTTTCCCAAAAGCAAATTAAAATGTCTCAAAACTTTTGGTCTCTCTTTTACACAAGGCCAGATAAGCTCTTCAAGCTAGGCTTTTAAAAGAGAGTCTGTTTTCCTATTTTAACATTGTGTAGGTGGGCTGCTGGTTGGGGGCTAGGTTTCCTCCAGTCTGGTTAACTGTGCTACTGCTTCATGGAGATGGCTTTAAATCACTCTACATGACTGCCATTTTAAATCACTTCTTCTTCTGTTATGTTGTTGCTGTTGTTTAAAAACATCACACACAAAAAACTAAAACCTTCCTTTCAAGGACCGGTGCAGCATAACCAGTTAGCCACCAGTAAACAAAACATCACATGAGCCTTCTCAGAGAAGCATCTCCAAAAGGCTGTCCAATGCCTTAAAACACAAACAAGCAAAATTCCATCCGTCTCCACTGTGGTTTAACTGTTTGTGGCAGTGATAGGGGACAGATGATCACCAACCTTGAGACTCAATGTAGCTTGCTCTTCCCCCTCTCCAATTATAAAAACTTTTTAGTTCTTCATCCAAGGAGCTTTCTCCCCCACTTCTGGCTTCTAATAGAAAAACAAAGTGGCTAGCAGAGTTGCTCAACAATACTGACCCTGATATTCATGTCTTCCAGGCCAACATTTCCCAAACTTGAGTGTGCATGCAAATCCCCCAGGAATCTTATTAAATTCAGAACTGATTCAGTGGCTGTAGGGTAGAAAATGAGCTCCCTCAGGAGGTTCATGTTGTCCCTGGATGAAACTTTCATATCAAGGAGGCTAGAAGACATCTACATGGTAGGAAAGGAACCTAGGAAAGGAACTGGGGCTTTTAAAGCTAAGAAAAGCATGCTAAGCCTGGTCTGGAGAGCTATAACTTATGCCTCAGTCTTGTTGCTATTCAAAAATCAAATAATGGCAAAGCAGTGCTCTATGAGACTCACATCTCAGTCCTTTACCACTTGCTCCCTTGACCGTTTGAGAGTCTCTCTGGCATCAGAGCCTCTTAAATTCCCACCTCTCACATGCCCAGGTTTTATGCCACTTGGTACTCCAAGTAACCAGAGTTTTATCCAAATGATCACAGTTGGTTAAAGCCTTCCTTATGAGTACACTAATGTTAACTATGTATGAAGCACATTGACTCCTTCAGTACGCTTGGCTACCAGATTTCTTTTTCATAACTTTTCAACCTAGAAGATCTCATTCTTTTCCCAAGGAGCTCACAATCCATGGGCTCGGGTTGAAAGGCCATAGAATCCAACCCACAATGCTCCTTAAAATATAAAGGCTCTATAGAATTCCTTTATTCATTCATTTTTCAGAAAAAAAAGCAATAACTTTTAGTAAATTGCAGTAAGAGCGTTTCTCAGAAAATTTTTCAAAGGAAATAGAAGCATACCAGCCACCCTAAACACTACCAGTAAAGGCAGAGAGCTTGAAAGAGAAGTGGGAGATTTTTCTTTCTTCTGTTGCACATCTATTGTTTTGTAAATCTGTTTTAAACAGCTTTATTGGCCAGTAAATCAGGTAATATTTGGGGAGAATGGAAATACTTTGCAAAATAGGAGAGATGAGTTCATGGGAATTTTCCTATCCATAGCGCTCCACAAACCACAAGATTTGACTCAGGATCTGTGTCAGTAGAATGCCTGGGATGAGCCCCACTCACCTCTACATTTGTATTTCCAGATACTTTTTACATAGGGTATAATCTCTAGTCCATAGTTTCTGGGACTCAACAGTGGTAAGCCAATACGAGAATATGCTCTCCTCCCCTCCCTGTCCAGTGAATGCTGACTTCTTGACAAAGACAGCCACCAGGCAGACATGAGCAAGCTCTATCACTTCCTTCCCGTTGCTGTTGACTCTCATGATCAATCAGGAACCCAGTGGGAAATGATGATGAAAGATTAAGAAAAGACCATCTCGTCCACTCCCTTCTTTTCACATACATGGCTGGAACCAGCATCACTCAGAAGTCTGTTGACTTGCTCCGGTAACACATCTAGGTTGTTGACAGCTGGAATCCAAACCCAGGTCTCTTTACTTACAAATCTCCCAGAGACAAATAATGGCAATGTAATAGCTCTCCCCTTCAGTGTTGCGGAGGGCATTCTAGTGTAACCCTCTTGGAGAAAGAGTAGTTTTAACCAGTTGGGACAACACCACAGCAAATAATCCATCCATAGTGATTCAGTAAATAACACCCAAAAGAGATAATCAGACAGAGGATTGTTGAAGGATCCTGAGTAAAGGAAAAAACCCAAAATGTGCCTCGCTTTAAAAAACATGCCCTGTAGGAGTAATTTTTCAGAGAGTGTTGAAGAATGGTTGCTTGGGGTGAGTGGTCAGATAAAGGGAAAGGTCCTGGGTAGCCCCTGAGTGCAAAGTTCTTACTGCCTGCCCTTCCTTCCAGAGTTTCTTTAGAGCCCTAGGGCTTTATAACTGTTTCCTGAAAAGAACAATAATAAACCTCATCTGCTTGCATGTTCATCTTTTAAAAATAAGTGAGAAGATGAAGTCAGAGTCATCTAAACTCCTTTGCTCCATGCCCCTGAAAGCTATGTAAATTCAGTTTACTTTGAAATAATGTCTCATTGACTGTAAGAATTTGTAACACAAAACCCATAAAATAGTAAAGCTAGCTCCTACCCTCCATTATCATCTTCTGTCTCTCCTCAACAACCACAAAAACACTTCCAGAGGACTAAAACATTCCCTGCAATGGTAATCAAGGTAAACCTTGGAGTTGTTGCTATTCCATTCTAACCTGAGTGGTTTAGATGACCACAGATATGGTCCCATGGGTCTCTGACATCTCCTCTTCGAGGTAGGTCCGATGTGTTCCACCCTTGGGACCCAGTTACTCATTTGGTTAAAATACAAGGGTGGTCTTCAGAATTGGTCTGGCAGATCTCGAAAACCTGGTAGGTTTCCTCCTTCCCTCCTCACTGTGTCTTTCTCAAAGATTCACTCTCCACCCAAGAAGAAACCTGGCTAAGCTAGTTGGCCATTCTTCTATCAGAGCCATACAGATAACAGCAAACAGCAAAACTCCTAGATGGGGTCCCAGAACTTCATCATTCCCAAACCATAACGCCCCCAGGGTTCTCCAAAACAAAACCCCCCATGAGAACAGGGATGATCTTGACTTCCCAAAATCATAGTCAAAGTCTATGTTCACGAGCCAAAAGATCCCACTTACTCTTTAAGAATTTTTCCTGACCCCTTCTCTACCATTCATTCTATAGGTGATTCTACTTCTGAAACTTGGGGCCTTATTTGGTAATATCAACTGAAATCTAATGATATTTTTTATCCTTATGTTTCTTCCTGGTGTGAACTGGTGGTTAGATGAAAGATGAGATTAAAAAGGACAAGCAGCCCAAAGAAGAAGTTAAGAGCTTCTTGGATCGCAAGAAGGGATTTACAGAGGTGAAGTCACAGAACGGAGAACTCATGACCCACAAACTTAAAGTCACTGAGAATGCTTTCAGGTAAGAAGCAGTGACCACTTAACAGTGACTGTGTCTCTCTGTGGGAGGTGGGGGGAATCAGTCTCCCAGTCCTGTGCCTCCACTCAGAAATGTGCCCCATAGGCAACATTCCTCTGTTGGGAGATCATTGGCCATTGTCTTAGATATAAGCAATGGGCAGATTCGGGTCCTGCTCTCAAAAGTAAGAGACCAGCAGTCATTGCTCCACAGGGCTTAATCTGCTTTTCCACCTTTTTTTTCTTAATTGCAGAGCCTGCTTAATGTCCACCTTCTTGTCTACTGATCTGATATGTTTAGTTTATTAAATTTTTTTATGACTGAGATTAATATCATTGATTCATTCTCTGAGTGGTCCAGCCAACTTCATAAGCAACCTTCCCAGTGCCATTTTTAAGAATTCATTTAATTTTGTATATAAATGTCCCATGAAGCCCAGATCATTCATGACTGAATACTTGGGAAACAATAGATTAAGGCATATCTCTTTACTGTGGCACTTTGATAACCCTTAATATTAATATACTTTGGGAATATCTAAGAAGGAGGGAGAGAAGATGGAGCTACCATTCCATTTCACACAGTTCAGAGGACTCTTAAGCAGCTCTAATTTCTCACCCCTCTTCACTAAGGTTGAAGGGAAATTGATTATAGGACACACTGCGGTATAAGCAGATAAATTGCCATTTCCAGATACAGTTGAACAGAGACCTGGCTATACATTTCTAGACAGATTTAAGGGTCAGAAGTCTGCTGCAGACAATACACTATGTGACATCTGTCCCACCCACACACACCTTCTCCAACCACAGTGCCAAATCCCAACCTCTGTTATGTCTGGCTGCTGTACCAGATGTGCTGGAAAAGAATTTGGGGTCCCTGTAGTGTGTGTTTCCATGAAGGTTGATCTTTAGCAGCAACCTCACCTATAGCTGTCTTTCTGAACACTTCAAATAAGAAAGTCACCAAGCAGATATTATGTAGAAGTTCTTACATCAAAGTCTTATAACATTCAGAAGCAATTAGATAGATATTTCAGGTCCATCTAAGATGGCTAAACAGAGTTGTCTTAAAACAATTGTTATATGTAAAAATCTGAGCAGAAACCTTCTCCCACTTATAAGCCTAATGCACACAGAAGAAAGATATACATGAAAGGCTTAAATGTAACAGTTTAGGAGTAAGAAAGGTAAAAATCCTTAGATTTAGTTCCATTAGTTGGAACTGGTCAGAGAGTATATGTGAAAATTAAAAGTGATTAAAAATTCATAGAAAATCTGCAAAGCAGATTGAATCACACTAGGAAAAGCTGAGTCCAAAGCTTTATCATTTTAAAGCCCCACACATGTCATGAAAAATGCTCAGTGATTATTTTCTACTATTACGGGTTTTTTGCTTAGTGGCTTAAGCAATGATTTCAAGATATAAGGCTTTTTATAGGACACAAGTTGTTTGTTCATTTGTTTTTTTGTTTTGAATTATTAAGAGAAAGACTTTTTTTAAAAAGCCTGCCTCAAAAGGAGTTTGGCTAACCATTAGCAACACTGCCAAGGAGCTTTGGCCTAAGCTGTAATTAATAATTAGCATGACTATTGTGTATAAATGCAAAGAGCTGGGTAATTCAAACAGAAGAAAAATCACAGAGTCTACAGCCACAGGTTAAACAAGAAGAACCCTTCAATATGATTCCCCTTAATTTTGCCATATTGGACAGAAAAAAAGATAGGAACTAGCTGCCACTGCCTTACTTGTTTTTGTTTAACTGCTGACATCTGTGAGTTTCAGCTTCAGTTAGAATTTGATGCTGCTAGGAACAGACAATTGGCTTTGCACCGTACACGCACAAAATGGAAAGTGAGGGAGAAGAAGCCTCAATATCGATAAACGTGGTACCTACTCACTTAACTAAAAAGCTAGCTGTGTTTTTAATAGCTAAAGACATGGTAGTTCTCTTAACTTAGATCTACCAAAGCTGAGACAGGAAGCGGGGAGGACTTTATGGAAGAACTTTGCAGAGAAGCCTCCGAAAGCTGACAGCTGGTAGCACATGCAGGCAGAGTCTTGCTCCTCTTTGAGCATAGCTCCTTATATCTGATTTAATTACTGCCTTTTTTATAGTCTCATTTTCTTATAACTAAACTATTTTCTCTAAAACATGACATAAAAATCTCAATTTGATGAGTAAGTTATGGAGATAGGTTATAAAAGGGATTTATAGAAAGTACAAAACAAGGATTATTTTATTTTCTAAGGTGAGAATTTTTTTTCTGACTACCAATAACATTTTTCCATATAAATGACCTTTTCTATGTATATAACATTTGAGAGGTATATATATGTATACGTGTGTGTGAGAATGTAATTCTGTATACTTTTAATTGATTCTTGCACCATGCATAACAATGTAAAATAATGAGCCTTTTATACCTAAGGTATAAGCTTATAGTTAATGATGTTAGGATATCTCACTGGCTGGATTTTTTGTTTGTTTGGGGTTTTGGTTTGGTTTGATTTGGTTTGGTTTGGTTTGATTTGGTTTGTCTTGGTTTTTTGAAACAGAGTCTCACTAATGCCACCTGGCCTTGAACTCACTATGTAGCCCAGACTGGCCTCAAATTCCTGCTTCAACCTCCAAGTGTTGGGATTACAGGTGTGCACCACCACACCAGGAAATTCTGACTTTTTTAACCAGACCCTAATGGTGGACAATTTAATTGTCCGAAACCAACACTGACTGGTACCTGGTGAATTCAGAGAGGCTCTTATTGGCGTGTCTGTCAGTCTGGTTCCTGCCCAGCCGCACAAAGGACAGACAGCAAACTCATTTCTAGAGCTGGAAAGACCTTCAATTAACTGAGAATCAGGAGTCATTGTGAACCTCTCTGTCTCTAAAAGAGTATTCTGAGGTCAAAATAAGAGTCATCTTTAACTGTAAAGGACCTAGAATAATATTTTATGTTTAAACTGCAAGCCATAGTAAGAAACAAATTTTATATCATGACCCAGTATGTACCTTTCAGAAAAAAAAAATGTATACATATTTCAGGAAAAGAAGAACTTGTAACTAGTTTAATACTAAATTTACTGAGACATCATGAGATTAATACAAATTACCTTTGGCCTCTACGGTTTCCAGAGGTGCTCAAAGTGGTGGCCATTAGCTTCCAGGCATTTATTACCATGGCAAACTGCTGCTTGGGTTACCTCGGTCATTGAGATCGCTGCACATGCATTTTCAATTTCTTCTCTAAGGGCCGGCAGTGTAGTGGGTTTTCTGCAATAAATGACATCCTCTAGGGTCCCCCCATGATATAATAACACCTGTTATCTGTTGTAAAAACATCACATTATTTTTCTTTTCCTGAATTGTGAATACATTTTTTGAGCAGACTCTATATATGTATTTATAACTGAAACCAGTGTGTCAAGAAACGATCCTTTCTTTTCCTTCAGGTAGTATATGCTGATGTTTTCTAGTTCATTTTTTTAAATGCTGATTACAGTCCACTAAAATGAGTTTTGACCTGCAGCTTAAAAAATGTTGTCCTGGAGGACATGGTATCTTCATAACTACCTCAGTGTTTAAAGCATGAGACATACAAAATAAGACCAATATTGTATAGTGTAGCTCTTGAGCCCATTTATGATGTTATTCATTCTCATGTTTCACAGCTACAATACCATGCCATTCTATTCATGGAATAAATGAAATTAGATGGTAGTCAGGAATAGGTTGCTTGCGTTGAAAACTAGTTTAAAAAGATCTCACTACTTGTTAATAAGTATTTAATAAAAGACATACTATATCCCTGTTCCTGAGTTAAAAACTAACTATAGCAAGGCCCTCCAACACACCATTAACTCCTCCAGCCCCAGAAGGGCCCAATTTACATGAGTTCTGTCTTAGTGAAAAGTGTTCTGTGCAGTTTCCACTTTGAGTACCAACATGTTTCAAAAAGATCAATATTCTAACTATCCGACAGCAAATTTACTAAAGGAACTCAGAGTCCATAGGTGCCAGTGATACTTCTCCACCTTTTGCCAGGTAAAACATTAAGAATACCAATTTTAATAAAATTGAACCCAAGAACTCAGGTTAGCATTTTGTCTTTAGCCTTAATGTGTTTTCAGTTCTACAGCGGAATTCCTATGGATCCTCCATCGCTGCAAGAGAAACTTCAGCATAGCCTCAGCTTCTGTTCGTGCTTATAATAACCTTGCCCCTTTTCTTCCTGTGTTATGTGCTTTTCTTCCTGTGTTATGTGCTGTGCGGGCAGGGAAGATAGCTAGGTCTAGAATGTACTCTGGCGACTTACCAGGTAGGAAACATCCCTCACAAACTCTGTCTGAGAAGTCTGAGGGGAGAGGCCAGGAGGTAGACTAATATGTCCTAGTTCAACTGATTTACTGTTTTGTTTTTAAAAATCATATTTAACTTCAGATATAATATAGTGTAAGATATAAAGAGTATAAGTAGTAGAGAAGCATTAGAATCCCACCATAAGTCAACCACTTTCTCTCTTCCAAAAGTTGGGATAAATCATTTTTCCTGTTTCACCTGTGGTGAGCTAATCTATCAAATGTGGATAACAGACCTGAACTGCCAACTTCCCAATTATTGTGACTAGTAAATGATTATAATATGTAAAGGGTTCATAAAGCATAACAAGTAACCTTTAAGTAGCCACCCTAACCGCAGCACCTCCGAGCCAATTTAGTAACTTTAAGTCGTGATAAGGAATATTCCAGTTGTATAGGGATCAAAGAGGATAGAAAATACACAAATCGTATACATATATGTATGCACAAACTGAAGCTGGTGGTGAACATGCAGTCATTAGGAACTTTCTGTGTATGGCTCTGACTGTGGTTTTAGCTCGATCAGGCAGCAATGGGTAATTACACGTGTCAGAGGTGAGCTGCTAGAGTTAGGGACAAGTAGGTACATGGATTTATTTCAGTGCTTTCCCCCGTGTGACCGTCCAATGCTGTCTCCAATACCTGTACTGTTCTGTCTTCTCTCCTGGTCCATGATTCCGGAGAGAGCCAAATTAACCAGTAACTTCTTTAGGCCACGCCTACATTTTAGAACTCATTCTTCCAGTAATGTACACGCTTTCCTTTCTAACATTTATAAAGCAACATTTACACAATCCCGCGACCCCAAAGAGTAGCCCACTGGAGTAAATAGAATAGATAGTGTTTGCCCCATTTTTCCACGTTGTTGTATGTGTTACATAATACTGTGACAAAAAAAAAAAAACCATTTACTATCTTAACAATTTTTCAAGTGCACAGGATGGTGGTGTGCCTATTCTCTCTTTTTTTCCTCTATTGTTGGGAGTACCCCAAACCACTCTTTTTTAAAAAAAATTTATTTATTTTCATTAGTACATATTTGCCATATACAATGATCACATTCATCATAGGGGGTTTGTATTTCTACAGATATCTTAATTCTTTTTTTTTCCCATTCCATCCCTTCAAGCCTTCTTCCGCTCCCTATTTAGAACAGCTTTGTTTCCATTTTTTCTCTTCTGTTCTCTTTATTTTTAATCGCTTTTCGCTTCTCTCCCTTGCTCCTCTCCCCATTTGAACGCGCTCTTCCTAGTGTTAAGTGTATTGTCAGCGTTGCGCAAGAAATCTCCAAAATCTTTTCATCTTCCAGGACTGAAAGTCTACACCCATGAAGCAGCTCTCCCTTTGCCCTTCCACAGCCCCAACCCGCGGGGAGCCACGGTGCTACTCTCTATTTCTAGGAATTTGATGACTTTGGATTCTCACGCAGGACCTGTGCTTTTCTATATAACTGGCTTATTTCACGTAGGTAATCCACCCACGCTGTGGCGTGTGTCAAACTCTCCCTCCTTTTGAGGGCCGAATAATGCCCGTGGTCGGATTCACCCCGTCTCTGACCCGGGTACCCCACTTTGGAGCCCGGTGGCTTTGTGAACAACGCCGCAGTGAGCGCAGAAGACCCTGCCTCCAGCCCTGACCTCGCCCCGGACTGCGCTGTGGCCTGGGCTGCAGCCCCGCTCTTCCTCGCGGCGAGCGCTGGGGCTCAGGGACGCCCGGGTCCTTGGTGGGCGCCCTTCCCAGCTCCGCTCCTCTCCTCTGCTCTCTGCCCGCAGCCCCAGCCGCCCCGGAGGCAGCAGGGAGGCCGAGGGCGCCCCGCAGGTGGAGGCCGGCAGGCGGCTGGAGGAGCTGCGCCGCAGGCGCGGGGAGACCGAGAGCGAGGAGTTCGAGAAGCTCAAGCAGAAGCAGCAGGAGGCGGCTCTGGAGCTGGAGGAGCTGAAGAAGAAGAGGGAGGAGCGCAGGAAGGTGCTGGAGGAGGAGGAGCAGAAGAGGAAGCAGGAAGAGGCGGACCGCAGAGCCAGAGAGGAGGTAGAAGGGCCCTGTCGCGTGGCCTGACCCAGGCCCTGAGAGGCTGAGGCAGAAGGGTTGCGAATTTCCAGCCTAGCCTGTGCCATTCAGCAAGACCTCCCCCTGCATCTGAAAATTTAAGAAAGGGTCAGGGTTACAGCCCAGTGAGGAGGCCCTGGATTCAATCTCCAGTACCAAAAATATTATGTATTAAAAATATATTGAATATTATATATAAGCTTACTGTGTGTGCTAGGCACAGTGGGTTCTAAAACCTATAGACAAGTTAACTTACCCACTTCTCATGAGAATTCTGTGATAGTGGCGCTCATCATCCCCTTTGCACCTTCCTTAAGACAGAACTAGAAACAGCAGATAAAAACTACAAGGAGGAAAACTTTGCCTTAGGACATGCAAGAGACGGTTAACCAGCTACAACTGTTATTGGGGCCATTTACAAAGTGCATTCTTTCCTTTCATTCTAGTATACGTTGTCATTTTGTGGGTAAAAAACCAGGAACCAAGTAGTGGCTTGTTTGAAGATTCTTGGACTAAGAAGTGGTAGAATCAGTATTGGGGCCGGGAGTGGTGGCGCACTCCTGTAATCCCAGCACTGGGGACGCTGAGGCAGGAGAATCACTATGAGGTAAAGACCAGCCAGGGCTACATAATGAGCTCAAGACCAGCCTGAACTACATAGCAAGACCTTGTCCCAGTACTATGCAGTATTGGGACCCTGCTTTTCCAACTCTATCCCTAGAGCTTTTGAGAGTGATAGCCTTCAAAATATCCAGATTATGAGCAACTCTCTGACAGGGCTCCTTTATGGTTTCCCTAAACTATGTGGATAAATTATTCCCTAAACTATGTAGATAAATTATTCCAAAGTCTCTTTCAACTCCAGGGAACAGAGGAGTTAATGAGATAGAGTAACTGTAAGCATCTCAATTTCACCACTGTGGTACGAACTGCCATCATATCAGGTTTATCAAAACATCTAAAATAATGTGTTCAGTAGAGGTAGGAGGCAACCATGAAAAAAATCTCTCATGTACTTGGCAACTATAGACCCATAGATTTGTGTGTTTCACATAAGCGAGCTCATTTGTATTCCAGACTCTTCTGAGAAGTAGGGAGAAGGAATATTTTCGTTCATTGTTCATATAGAGAAGTAGAAAAGCATTGTTAAATGATGTAGGGGACAGTGGTGATAATATATCACCATAAGGGAATCGTCATACTGACATTAGCCTCCGAATTTTCTGGTTCTCACGAAAGCCATAGGAAGCAGGTGCTGGAATCATCCCGTTTTATGATGATGGTAATAGTTACATGACCAGGCTGGGTACAGACCCAAGTACCTGGACCTCTCTGACCACCACTGAGAGTGGCAGCATCCAGGCTAGAGCACCAGTCTGTCACTCTCTGTCTCTTCCCTTCCCCTGGAAGCCCATTTTGTTGTCCTTATTACTTGTTCTTTCTCTGCAGGAGGAGAAGAGGAGGCTAAAGGAAGAGATTGAGAGGCGAAGGGCAGAAGCTGCTGAGAAACGCCAGAAGATGCCGGAAGATGGTTTGTCAGATGAAAAGAAGCCGTTCAAGTGTTTCACCCCTAAAGGTTCATCTCTCAAGGTATTTGCACCAGGAAACTGTCTTATAATCCTTCTCTTATAGTAGAAACTTGATTTTAGTGCCTTATTTATTGATTGATTTTTCAAGACCTTCCTTTTCCTCATTTATCTTTTAGTTATCCTTTCCTGCGAGTCTTTCAGGCTGCTGTAACAAAACACTTTAGGCTGGATAATTTATAAACAATGAAAATTGGTTGTTCACAATCTGGAGGTTGGGAAGTCCAAGATGAAGGCACGGCAGATTCAGTGTGAGACCTGTTCCTTGTAGACAGTGCTTTCTCACCATGCCGTCATGGATGGAATTGGAAAAGAGAGAGGCAAATGAGCTCTCTGGGTCCCCTTCTATAAGGGCACTAATCTCATTCCTGGGGGCTCCATGTTAGTAACCTAGTTATCTCCCCAAGGTCCCACCCCTCGATACCAGCACTTGGGAGTTAGATTTCAACATAGGAAATTTGGAGTCTAGACAGCTTCTCTTGTTCACTACTATTGAAAGGAAATAAAGTGGTGAGATTTGCATCTGTTGTTTATTAGATCCTTTGGTACATATTTAAATGACATTTGATAATTATCTCTAAATTTCACTGTTCCACACTCAATCATCTGCTTCCTTTCTTGGAGAACTGAAAGTAGAAACATTTCAAGTTTATAAAATGGACGGATGTATTATGAAGGTTTAAGTTGCTTGTTGTGTTAGCTTTGTCATTAAAAGCAGAACTGCTGGAAGGGGTACAGGTTCAAAGTTTAAAGCAGTTGTCATGGGGAAAGATGACTTGTGACTCGGTAGGGTCCCTTGCTAGGATAAGTTTGGTCCAAAGGCTGCCATCCTTGACTAGAGCTCCTACTTAACCTGAGATGGAAGTGTTTCCCAGGACACGAGCAGAAAGGAGCTGTCAGGGAGATGAAGGAATGGTCTAGATAAAAGGGAAAAATTAGCAGACTCTAGGAAATATTTTGCATTATTGATAGCCATTCTGTCATTATTTATAAACGTACCTTTTGGCTTGAAGGTTAACATTTAACTGCCATTCTAGCACAGTGCCTCACATATTGAAGATACTCAGAAAATATTCGTCAAATGAATAGATGAAAGAGTGAATAGATCTTCTGAGAAATTTTAGCATTTTTATTCTATCCTCATTTGCTGTCAGCCTAGCTAGGTTATAAAGCATCAGTAAAAGGCAGGGCCAGTGCAGAAATGGCAGGCAGGCTCTGATGGTGAATGTGATTGTCCGTGTTGTGCATGGATCATATGGCACACAAAAATGAGCAAAAGCCAATCTCTTACATTTTACAGCTATTTCACCTCCAAACCAGAATGCTTTAGCACCAAATAACAACACTTAGTCTTTGCTACCATGGTCTGGGCCTCACTCATATTTCTGACACCTCCCCAATAAACTCCATTGTGCCCCCCATGGTGACATTTTGATCCGTAACAGACCATACAAGCCAAGGTGCTCCGTGAGATGCGTCACCCACTGACATTGTAGCCCTTTTGTGTTTTGAAGGTACACTCCATTAGTATCACCTAACTGGAACATCTTTCTCAGAATGTGTCCCTGTCACTTAGAAACTCAGGATTGTATTTGTTTTTGGTTTCTGTTTACCTTTATTAGTTCATTCTTATAGTACCTAATGATTAGAGTGGTACCTCAGCTCGTGAACTTAATTCTTTCCACAATTCTAGTTGCAAATCAAATTGGACAAGAACCAAATAAAATTTCTCCACAAGGTCAACATTGAACCTAACCACTGAATTTGATTCTGTTCTCATCCAGTTCAGTTTGCAAGCAAATCGTGAAGAGAATTAAGTTCATGACCTGAGATACCACTGCACATACGTTCACTATAGCTCTTCACTGGGGTCATAAACTCTGCTGCAATAAAGAATTAGAGGGACATAGTTTACAGAAAGGAAGACACTTTACTGGGAAAGAGGATAAAGGAAAGGATAAATAACCACCCTGATAAATCAGGCTCGGGGGCTCCAGAAAGAGGGAGGACCTGAGGACCCCTTGTTCTTGGCTGCTTTTATTGGGGGGCAGAAAGACCCTTCCCCCTGGAGCTCGTCACAACCTGCTTGCCTGTCCTGGACCCTAAGCCCCTCAATTCCAAAACCATCACCTACATGCAAATTCCTAAGTAGGCTTGATTTGATTTTCTGTTGTCCTGTCAGGCCCTATCTCTGAAACTTATAGGCTGGCTAGGAGGGACTGTACATACAAGGTCTAATTAGCAATTGGGTAAAGGGAAACGTGGAGAGAGAGTGGGTGTGTGTGTGTGTGGTGTGTGTGTCCAGGTGTGAGTACATATTTTATATACTAAATAAGAGCCATCTTTTAAGTAGCCTCCCCTTGTCTCCGCATTTTATTGAAAGTGGAAAGGGGTAACTAGGCTAACTTGGTCAGGGCACCCGCCTAGCTTACCAGCTTTCTCTGGTCTTGTTAATTGCTCTCTCTTACTAAAGTTTTAACTCTTCCCGGTCAGGATTAGCCAGAAAGCCCAATGAGGCCCTTATTTTACATGTTTTTCCTGTTTACAAAGCCCTTTCCTTTACAAAAGTACATGCTGTTGGTGTCACTTAACCACAACATTTTTCTCAGAATGTGTCCCTGTCATTTCGAAACTCAGGAGTGTGTTTTGTTTTTGTTTTTACTTTTATTAGTCCATGTTTGCCATGCATGATGATTACATTTACTGTAGGGAACTGGTACATGGACGTAACACATTTCAATTATTTTTTCTCCCTTCCCTCTGCCCCCCATTTATTTTTCTAGTATCAGATTCATTTCTTCAGAAGACCTTATAAAGTTAATTATCATATATATACAGATTAAAAACCAGACTAATAATGGCCAAAGAACATATAAAACATGTAAGACAATTGTATTAAGTCAGGGTACACTTTTAGATACGTTGTTTTAGATACGTTGTATACGTTGTATACTTTTAGATACAATTTCTTTTTTCTTATTCTCTGTGTGTATATATAGAGAGAGAGAGAGAGAGAGAGAGAGAGAGAGAGATTGGTTTTCATATAAAAGAAACCACATGCTATTTAAGCTTGCGTGTCTCAATTAGTTCATTTAACATTATGATCTTCTCATGGTACATCCATTTTCCTAGAAATGGCTCGAGTTTATTTTGATTTATGACAATTTCTTTATGCCTCATTTTCTTTATCCATTCATCTATTGATGGACATACAGGCTGTTTCCAAGATAGCACTGTTACGAATTGCACTGCTATAACCATGGGTGTGAGTACATCACTCTGCTTTGTACTCCGATCTGCGTCAGGGAGAAATCACACTAAGCCACGGTGGGATTTGTTATTTAATAGTTGATATGTATTAGCTACCTAGTGTTTGCTGCACTATGCCAAAGAGAAGTACAAAGCAGGATGGCTGCCCCTGTGTTGGTAATATTGTCAACTATCTCACAGGAAACAATTCAGCAGTTACAGAGGTAACCCTGAGACCTCCGAGCGGAGCAAATGAGTAGAAAGAGTTTGTGGAACAGGCAAAACTTATATATGAACACTGACATTTTTGAATTTCATACAGTTTTCTTATGTCATGAAATGTCATTCTTCTTTTGATTTTTTTCCACAAACATTTAACAGTGTAGAAAAATCATTCTTGTTTTAGGGGCTATGCAAAAAAGTCAGGCTGCATTTGGCCCATTTATCCAATGATTATGACTCATGGACCCCTGCCCTAGAAAAAAGAGCAGAAAGGCAAAAACTTCCCTTGGTTCAAGCTCTTTGTGCAGCCCCAGAGTCTAGCCTGTTTCCAAGCCAGAGCTTTTGTTCCTGGCTCACCAATAATCAAAGAAAACATGTTACCTCTCCTACCTTCCTTAAAGTCCCATGGAAGCTAAGCCTTCCTTGAAACAGTCTCAATAATGAAGAAAACATTTCTATGAAATAGAGACACGCATGCAGGGTCAGGCAGTCTGCTGCTTGTCTCCATGGTTCATGCCTTGAAGAAATGGCTTAGGCCTCTTTTCCCACTCAACTTACTCTGATGGAATTCCAGTGGCTATTCACACTCTTGGCCCTGCAACGTTCCTTGTGATCACTATAATACATAAGAATATTATATAATGCCAGTGGAAGGAAAGTATTTGATTTCTGGCCTCAAAATATTATCAAAGAGTGCACTTTGTTCATTTTTCAGACTTCTGTTGTTTGGGCAACTCTAAACCTAGTTTCTCATTATTAAATTATGTCAAGAGTGAATACTTTTTCTTACATAATATGTGCAAAGATTAAATGTTAAGCAAATTAAATGTAAAGAGTTTTGTTGTTTTCATATACACATTTTGGGAAAGTAGAATGTAAAGAGTTTACTAAAACTGGTAATATGTATTTATTCCTAGTTTTATCAAGACAACACCGCCCCCTCTTGGTCTTCAGAGAAACCAATTTCCATCTTTACACTCCTTAACACATTAAAATGAACATTCGGTGAACAAATTCAATACAGATTGTGTCATTTCTCACAGCCGCTTAGTTGAGGCATTTTCCAACAAGAGAGAAGCAGTAAATGCATAGTGAACCCAGAAAAAATGTAATAACAAAATCAGGCCACATTAGCTGTCATACACACAAAAGGGGGTGCAGGAACCCAAGAGTCTCTGTGATTTGGGTAAATGTGGTGGTGAAGAGGACAAAGGGGGACCCCTGAGTTAGAACAATGCCGGATTGGCTACAAAGGGCAAGTCTGGGCTCTGCTAGCATGCGGAATTTTTCCTCTTCAGCTTCCCCACTGTGTGCCCCAAATCTTTGTACCTGTGATTGTTCTGCTAGAAATGTCCCCTCCTCTAACCCATGCACTCATCCTCACTCTTAGTTTCATAAACTCATTTATGGAACTAGACTTTAACTACAAATCTCAGCTCAAACATACAAAATACTGAAAAGCCTTCTGCAACTCTCTTAGTTGCTTGCCTTACAGAAATTTCATTTTATCTTTACTGTGGTACCTACCATTAATTTTTAAATATTTTATTTATGTGCGCTACTAATCTTTCCTACTAAATGTGTATGCTCCTTAAAGAATGGGACCTTGTCTCTCTCAGTCTTCTTAGGATGCCATAACAACCATCAACTGACATACATATATGCTAAATGGGCAGCTCGGTAGTCTTCAAAGAATTTTTAAACTACAAACTTCTTTTTGCTACAACTAAAGCTGCTAAATCAAACCCTGTAGTTTACTGAAACTATATTACATTCAGATGTTCTTGATAAATCAGCAAAACCCTCTGCTAGCCATCACCTATCAACACCCTCTTTGTGTCTGACTGCCTGTGCCAAGGTACACACCTCCTGGAAGCTTCTTCACCCTGTCCCGTCCAGGGCAGCCTCAGCGTCTACTGATTTACGTTTGCTATAGGCTGGTGTGTTTGAATGACCCCTGGTCCCCAACAGTTTGGACAAATGTAGCAAATTAGTATGGACTGGTGTCTTAAGAAGTGAACACTGACTTGTCACAGCTTTGGAGACTGGGAGTCTGAGGTCAGGAAGCCAGCATAGGTGGGTTCTGATGAGGACCCTCTCCTTCTGCAAATATCCATCTTCCTCTTCAGTGCTTGTCAGGAGAAAATAAATAGAGAGCAAGCAAGACCTTGGGTCTTCAGCACCCATCCCACTCATGAGGGCTCCACCTTCAAAACCTAGTCACCACCAAAGCCTCACCTCCGAATGCCGTCACATGGAGGTTTAGATTTTAACATATGAATGATTAATTTGCCGCTGATTTATGTTATTTCAGACAGTTTTATAATCTGGTTTTTAGTTTGCTTCCAAGACTTTATATTTCTCTACATACTTTGTTCTCTGCCAATCTTACCTTCATCTCCCAAATCTTACTGTCCAATCAGAGTTTTCTTCTCTCGCTGTGCACGGTCCCCTAACACCCTTATACTTCCTTTGGTGTTTTTGTTTTGGGGTTTTTTGTTTTGTTTTGGTTTGGTTTTTTTTGAGACAGGATCTCACTATACAGTTCAGGCTGGCCTTGAGCTCACTTTGTAGCCCAGGCTGGCCCAGAATTCACAACAATCCTCCTACCTCAGCCTCCCTGGTGCTGAGATTACAGGCGTGCACCACCATGCCTGGTTTTTTCGTGTTTTTATTCACAAGGTACAGAACAGTCATGGCATGAGCTGAGAAACATTGTTTATAAGCTAAAAATATTAAGTCCATTTATTTTCTTTTTCAATTCCTAGATAGAAGAGCGAGCAGAATTTTTGAATAAATCTGTGCAGAAAAGGTAAATACGTTGGTAAATCATTTGACAATGACCAGCTGTACATGAAAGAGTCCTCTCTCCTATTTTCATGTATGTGTTTTATTTATTTAGCAGTGGTGTCAAATCAACTCATCAAGCCGCAGTAGTCTCCAAGATTGACAGCCGCCTGGAGCAATACACTAGTGCAATTGAGGTGAGGGTTGCCTTCCAAACCACAGCCCATCGAGAGGACACAAGTTCTGGCTACATGAAAGATCACAGAGTTGCTGAGTCCAGCAGCCACAGAAATGTTAAAATATGAGTGGTGTTTTCCTTACAATCTTGTTTAATCCTTCTTGTTTATAAGTACTCATTATCAAGTGAAAGTAGTAGCATAGAGCAATAGTTTAATTATAACCAATTTCTAATTGATTGTTTTATATTTAGAGGACCATAGTTTTATGCTTCTAATCTACTTCAACTTTTTTTCCCACCAAACTGACCTGAGGGTATTAGTGCATTTGGAAGTAGTGTGTATTTGGAAGTACCAAAGCACTAAACCTGTCAGTGTCTTAATCAGTATGTGTTTCTGATTTGTTCGCCTTTGTGTAGATTTGGGCCCATGATTCCACGCGTCTTCTGCATCAGAGCACCTGCAGTGATGTGACTGGATCAATTTGACTTTACCTTTTTCCTTTGTGCTCTACAGTGCAGATGCCTATAAAATAATTCACACATAAATTATAAGAAGGAATAAGAGAGGGCGATCTACTGATTTCTCAAAGGAATAATCAAGGAGACTAATGTTACAAAAGTACGAGATGAATTTTGGATAGCTATTTTCTGTGGTGAATAGGTCACAGCACAGATAGGGTTAGCACGTTCACCCTGTGCTTCAGACTTTGCAACCTAATAGACACGTTTTCAGGCCATGACCACTTACGGTGCCATTCAGCCTGGCTGACCCTCTTGACCAAAGGCACAGGCCAAAAAGCAGGACCAGGGGAGACACTCGTGCCATTCTACGTGTGCCTTTCATTACTGCTGGGAAAGTGCCTCAAATGCACGGCTTCCTTATTTACATGCACTCTCTCCTCCCAGTGAAATATTCTCACACAGTGGCACCTCCATCTTTCACTCAGGACCTTTGCACATACTGTTGCCTCTGCACAGAACGTAGCTGTTTCCCCCTGTTCTCTTTGCTACATCCCAGTCTTCTGTCAGATCTGGGTTTACATGTTACTTCTTCAGACTAGCCTGTTTTAGCCCCCAAAGCATTATTCATGTAATGTGTGCTTTTGTGCCAGGTTCTGTAGCACTCCATTATTTTTCGTAGCACATACCTCAGTAGAAAATAAATACTTGCATAGCTAGTCACTGTTTTCCTTCCTATTAAGTTAGAAGACCACATTGCCCTCTTTTGCTCACACAACACCCAAAGCCTAGCAAAGCTCCCTGCACAGTGGGCACATAGAACATAGCTGTTGAAGAAATGAAGTCAGCCATCTCCCTAAAATAAACAGTGTCCAATAAGAAGCATGTTTCATTTCCGAAAGATCCTCAGATCTTGCTCTTGCTGCTTTATTTTGAGGGCTACAGATCCTCAAAGTGCAGTTTTACAACAGAAATTATAATTCTTGATGCTGATGTTCACACAGTGAAATTGTAAAGGATCATATTGAGGAAGATCAGCTTGCTGTAATTTTATGGGGACAAACTTCTGAGCAGAGATTCTAAAGATAATTAACGCATTTCAGGGAACAAAAACTGCAAAGCCTGCCAAACCAGCAGCCTCGAATCTCCCTGTTCCTGCTGAAGGCGTGCGCAATATCAAGAGCATGTGGGAGAAGGGGAACGTGTTTTCAGCCCCCGCTGCCTCGGGCACACCAAATAAGGTGAGTGTGCAACTTTCTGTCTTTTAAATTAGAGGAGTAGATTTTTTTTCTATTTTTCTTTCACAATCATCCTCGTTCATAACAAAAGCAGTAAAGTAGGTGCAGTTTGTACTTTGTTTTGCAGTGACCATAAAAGCAAGCTCCGAGAGAATGTGTTCATGAGGCTGCCTCTGTACTCAGGCCACGGAGCTCTGAATAAAGTCACTGAGATTATTGTCAACCTTTGCAGGAAGAGGAGAGTTGCATGGGGCATAAAGCCAGATATTCTTTTAATACCAAGTTTTAAATGTTGTGATGATGTGAAATAATACTTAACTACTCAGAACACTTGGCATTTTAAAGTTGCTTTGTTTTGCTTTTTAAGGGCAAATATTTTTATTGGCATATGTTTGCTATGCATAATGCATATAGGAATATATTCATTGTGGGGCGTAGTACAGTTCCTACTGCATCTTGATCCTTGAGGTTGCTGTATAGATCCCGTCCCAGGTGAAGTTCACTGCTTTCTGTAATACCTCAGATGATTGGCTCTTTCAGGAAACTGCTGGCCTGAAGGTGGGCGTTTCCAGCCGGATCAATGAGTGGCTAACCAAGACCCCAGATGGGAACAAGTCCCCTGCTCCCAAACCTTCCGTAAGTAGCTTCCGGTTTTTCTGAGTTTTTTGATCGCTCAGCTACCAGCAGCCAAAGAAAACAAGCGGTCAGTCTGCTTACCTAGGAGAAATAGGGTTCTTGCCATCCGCCAGGCAGCACTACTGCATGCAGAGGAGTGTGCAAATTCAGCCCGGTCCTGATCAGTCGCTCCACGGTTACCCAGACAGTAAATGGAATCCGATCATTGCCTTTCTATCCTAACAGGAGCACTTAGCTTAGTTAAGGTGGATCAGATTCAGACTCTTGATTGGTCTGTTTCTTTGGCTTCTATTTTGTAAATTACAGATAGGAATTTGAAAATGCAATGTCAATTACTTTGGGTATTTTGCTATCAGAAGCACCCTTAAACTTAGCCCCCCAATGTGAATGAGTATGCAAGCTATTTTGAACAATATTTTCTAATTTACTTAATTTTTGTAACTTGGCACAAAAATGCAATTCTGAAGTATTTGTTGAAACAATTGCTAAGATTTTGTTATCAACATTTGCAAAAGAAAGCCACAAAAATATTGGGTAGCTAGAAAAATTGAAACCAATTTTTCTAATAACCAGGAAAACTAGAAACTTGAAAAACTGGTTATGGATGTTGATTTTCAAAATCTAAAATTTTCTTCTTTATTAGATGTAGCTGTCTTACAGCAAAAATATTCTTTTAATGTTTTCATTGAATATATATAATTGCCTTGCATTTATCAATATAATTTTTTAAAACTTCATTGTTTCCCACTGTATAATGCTAAGTTCTGTCTGTTAAGTTGGCTTTATAGCTTTGTTGATGCCCAAGGGGGCTGTGAGTGGACTTGATAGGTCCTACAGTCTATAAGAAAAAATTTTCTAAATGCTGGGCCCTGAAACCACAATGGCATCCACCAGTTCCGAATTACCAAATTCTATCACTGGCCAACCTAAACAAAAAAAAGAAAAAATGTAAATGTTTGTATGACCTCAAATGCTGCCCTTTGAGCCATTTAATTGCTATTCACCCCAAGATTCAATTTTCTTTTCTGTCCCAGTAGATACAGGAAAAAGAGTCCTATACAAAGAGACAGTCAAGGTCAGAGATCATTTCTACATTCTGCCTTCTATTGCCTCAGGGTTCCTCAGCACTCGCATTACAGGAAAAGTAGAAATTATTTAAAGAAATAAATAAATAAACCATGGTAGTTTGTAAAATCATGCTTCCAGACCAGTGATCACTAAACTTGTTGAATGATGGATCGTGTTGAAAAGCTAATGAAACACAAGATCTCTCTCCCCGACAAAGTACATATAACACAAGTTCAGGAAATCATAGAACCAGCATGGTAGCACATGCCTATAATCCTGACCTCACAGGAGGCTGAGGAAAAAGGATTTTGAGGTAAGCAAGGGCAATTTAGGGAGACCTTTTCTCAAAAATAAAAATGTCTGTGGACCCCCTGAAGTGCTCACAAGACAGAAAGGGTAAGGAATGAAGGATAAGTATTTTCCCCCTTGAATATGGCATATTGCTAGAAGAAATGATAATTTTTGTGGTTGGTTTCATTTGTGTACAGGCTGTACTCATAAATTTAGTCCAGGGCTTACTCCTTACTCTTCTTAACATTTAAACTGATACACTTACTATCATCTGTATGTCATCTTAATGGAAATATTTAAAAGATGAAATTCAGTTACTATTACAACAGATATAATGTGTCAAGGTTCCCCCACCAAAAATAATAATAATATTTTCTGGAGTTATTAATGGCCTCCTAAAAATTGATAAGGCAAAAAGATATTATAGGTAATTTATAAAATCATGACCTGCCTTAACTACTATTTAACATATGATTTGGTAGACCACCTCCCAGAAGAAGGAGAGGAAAAAGAAAGAATATGGCAATTCATATAGATTTTAGGGATCTCTTTTTTCCCATCAGATTTTGTGGAGTCAGTGTGGCTTTCTGAGTATGGAACAGATCAGAAGAAAGCAGTATGTCATTGAGTCATAGATAAAATGCTAGTTTAAATATACTTAGTAAGCCACTTCAAAGTTCTATGCACATTCTAGTAGTGGTAGTGACCTGTATTTTAAACCTAGCAACATGCAAGTCTGTTTGGGAAAAAATGTGAATTGGAGCCCAGCAAGGCAGAGGGGTGATTTATACCAAGGGTCCAACAGAAAAGAAATGAAGTTTCAGCAGTGTAGAAGTGGCTGAAAGGCTCCTGAAGATGCATAAAGATCAGCAGGCTAGGATTCTATAGATGGGAGGTTAGAAAGCCAAATAAGGGTCTGAGCTCTCACCCACAGGGTCTCACACTGCTGTCCTGCACTAAGATCTGTGTAGCTTGGCCCATGTGATTGTGTTTTATTTTCCTTCTCAAAATTACAATTTAAAGTCATTTTTTAGTATGGAGGGATGCACTCCTCGATTCCTTGATTTGCTTTTTCTGGTTTTCTCACCCCAAACCTCTTCAGGCATGTGTGTCAGTGCTTCATGGCAGGCATCCGAGTTTCACACCCTGGCCAGAATGAGAGTCCAGAATGCCAGAGATTTACCTGAAACATCAACAATTGGGAGGGTCCCCAAGGTGCCTTCTGACTTGGGATCAGATACAACTTATCCTCAACATGCTGCTTGTGTTCCTGACACGGGTGGGCGAAAGCTTAGGTTTGTGTTTGCAGAGGTGTGGCAGAGGGCCATTCAAACAAGATCAGAGAGTTTGTTCAACAATCACTCCTCACTCATTAGAATCCTAAGAAAGGAGAAAAAGCTAATTCATGGGATTTAAAGAGTTGAGTTCATTTTTAAACGTGTAAGGATCAAACATCTTCCGATGCTTAATGATGCAATTCAAAGGAGTAAGCGACCTTGCCTGTGAGTTGCCCATGTCTCTGTCCAAGGATCTCGGTGGGAAACTCCAAAATGATACAGAAAAATAAAAACTCCCAACCTGAACGATATCTGGGATGAGTTTGTGTTCTCTGAAATCAAAGAATGAATTTTAGGAACATTGGAGGTTAAGAGCAGAATATATTTATTGAGGGAAAGAAAGCTTCTGTCCAAGAGAGGGACAGAAGGGGGACCTGAGTGGGTTGCCCCAAAGGGTTGAGTTCTAAAACTCAATGAAGAGAAAAACCATCTTCTTCTAGCAGTCAAGTAATCATTTTCACAGATGCTAAGAATCAAGTGCTCACAGTAGTTTGTCAAACCAATATTATTTGGGCTATTTAAAAGTTAACATTGATCTGCCCTGGGATTTCCTACTGAAACATTTAAGCTGTTTGTGGGGAGGATATATAGGATTTCAGTATAACTTTGTAACTGGAACTTAATTCTGAGTATGTCTGTTTTAGCTGGTTTGCCTATTTTTGTGTCTAAACTACATGTTATATAGAAATTAAAAGCTAATTTGTCTTTCTTTTTGTTTAAAAAAAAGCAATATCTTTCTCAGCTGGCTTCTCTTCTTCACTCTTTGGTCTCTGGCTGATTGGAAACCTGCTTCTCCTGCCTTCATTTCCCCCTCTTCCTCAGGAGTGGGTCTTTCTCTAAAATGTAGTCTAGTAAGGTAATTCTATTTATATTTCTCTTCTGATTTAACGATGTCACTATTTTCTTAAAGCTGCCTCTTTATGCTCTTTAAATGATCTCGAAAGATTCATCCGTAGAATTTAAGAGCCATCCAATCCATTTTCTTAGGTAGAACATTCATGTAGAAGAAAAATATCGGTCTCATACAAGTCAAATAAATAAAGTGATTATATCCACTTTCTAGAGCTCTATCAGCCTGTTCCTAATTATAGTTTCCGTAGTTGTAAAACAGTCTTCTAGACAATTTGGCAACTTTCACCTAAATTGGCATATGTAGTGGAATTTTTTTTTTTTTAAAAGTCTGACTTGTTGCCCAGTGTTTCCAAGCTAAATAGGTATAACTCTCTAATAGAATACCAGGCATTTGTGCCACAGAGGAAATCCAAAATCTCAGTAAGATTAAGGCAAATCTGAAATGCTTCAACATTCAGTGCTGAAAATACTTAGCAGTGCCTTTCCAGTGTGGAAGTGTCACTGCTGAGTATTAGAAATACGTCCACTTAGACTGGTGTCTGTGGATAAAATGTGATTGCTGGTAGCTTTACTTTTCTAAATGAGAAAGGAGTTTGCCAAAACACACAGTACTATTTCAGTAAAACACATTTATTTTCTACACACTACCTCTTGCCAAGTACTAATATAAGCAAATGCTGGAGGGAAAGTAAATGGAAACAGAAATTTGGATCCTCCCCCAAAAGGAATTAGTTATGAGCTAGTAAATAAAGTCTGAAAACTACGGACCATATTTTAGCGTTTCCTTCCCGACATTCTCACATGTTCTGACATACGTCATCAACCCTGGGCTCCTCTTAGCAGTACAATCTGTGATCACTGTTTGTTTCTGTGGAGTAGTTTCCGCTGATCCACTGCTGAATTACCCACTTACCCACAGGAAACGCAAAATGATTGTAGTATGAGGAAAATACAGTTAGAGAAACCTCTTTGCTTGGGCTGCATAGACACTAAGCCAGCGATCCCAGAGCAGAGCAATTTTTGTGGGAGGTGAAGAAAGCATGACAGGGAGTGAGAAAGGGAGACAAAGGCAACCAATACAGAATACGAGGCCAGGGATGTAGCTCAGAGGCACAGCACCTGCCTGGTAAGCATGAGTTCGTGAGCTCAGTTCCCAGTACCAGAAAAAAAATAAAAGAAAGAAACAGAATGCGTCATTCCGCACATTCCCAGATCACCACGTGGGCTGTTAAGATTTAATCCCACTGAGAAGCTACTGGATAGCACGTGCCCCCCAGGCGAGCCTCCTTGAGACCTGAGCGAGTCTGGGAAGCCGCGTGCACCAGTGCTCCCCAGTTACTGGCTGGGCTGCTCCTGGGGTGTGGACTCTGCCCCTCCAGCCGCCTCCTGGGCAGGCAACGTGGTCATTTGGAGCCAGAGAAAGTCTCAGGCAGGAAACACAGGGTGGGCCCTTGGCTAGGAGAGACTGAAAGGAAGTTGAGCTACAAGGGGTGAAATGTTTTTAAACCTCCAGGGAATCATTCACCTCCAAGAATGTAGAAAGTAGCTGAGTGCGGTGGCCCACACCTGTAACCCCAGCACTCTAGGAAGCTGAGGCAGGAGGATTCCAAGTTTGAGCTCATTTCTGGGCAATGTGGCAAGACTGTCTTAAAATAAAAAATAAGAAAAGAGCTAAGGATTTAGTTCAGTGTGAAGGCTTAACCCCCAGGACGACCAAAAAAAAAAAGCAGAAAACTGAAAATAAGCTACATTACTTTAAATATTTATACTCTAATTTTACCATTCAGTAAACAACAAATCCTTGGTGAAGGACAAGGACCCCAGTGCTGTATGTAGTTCCAGCACATTCTCCTATCCCAGTATGGGTCAAGTATGTAAAGTCAAATAGCAGCCAATGGTGGTTTTGGTTCCACCCACACAGATACTGGTGGTAAAGTGTATCAAACAACAAACTGCTCCAAACAGATGAAGTCAATGTGTTGATGTATTTAAATCTGGAAAATGTCTCCTGTCCATTCTGTCTGCTTTCTCTTCATTAGGACTTGAGGCCAGGAGATGTATCTGGCAAGCGGAACCTCTGGGAAAAGCAGTCTGTGGATAAGGTCACTTCCCCCGCTAAGGTAATCTACTGGGAGAACTAGTATTTCAGAGAGCTATTTCCTAATGAATCCTGCAGTATAATGCCCTGGGGTCAGATGGGAAATCTGTTCCTCATGACCACCCATTTCTAAAAGACCCATGCGCAGTCCAGTGAGGGGAAGCGCCTTTGGCACTGTAGAATGTCAGTCACACAGCATCAAGAGCCTGAGCTCATGAAAATGGTGCCCAGGAACATTCTAATACACCATAGTGGTCAGGAGGTTGGCAGAGCTACATGGGATAAACACAGAATTCATTTCTTTGCAAGGTCTGGGCTTGGCACCACGGTCTTTCGGAGAAAGCAGTTCACTTAGAGAAAAATACCTGTCTCCCTGCATGGTTCCCAAGCTGCTTCTGGAACCATTCTAGGAGACTTTGCCAGCAGCCTCAGACTCTAAGTTCCTATGACAAAAAACTAGGATTCCTAAGTAAAGCAGAATTCGCTACTTATGAGAGCTAATGGCTAGGAGTGCTTTGATTCCTTTTACTCTGGACAGAAGATGTACTCATTCTTCAGAAAGGGAGCTTTGGACAATATCTGAAGGCTGCTCGGGCTATAAGTGGGACCTCTTGTACAAGGAGCTAATTCAACTCCTAATTGTAGCCCTTCCCCATTTCAAGAAACAGACCCAGGCTTCTCCTTTAATAAAGAAAAAATTAAAAAGAGAAATCAGAGGCGAGCAATAAGTAAGATTAGAACAGTCTTATCCACTTGTGGGTTTGTGCAGAACTCCAGCAACAGAAGCCTTCTTAAGCAAACTGAGGACTAAAAAAATCACATCAAAGACATCGGAAGAATCATTAGTACTTGCTGAAATGAGACAAATACTTCCTTTTTCCTACTTCCATGTGCTCTTAAAGCTGGTGCCTAAGTCTGTTACTTCGTTTTCTCTATTAGGTATATATGGCCCTTTCATTCCATAGAATCCACTGGCCCAGACTCTCTATTTAAAGTGACTTTTAAGTAAGCCCAGTTTTCCAGATGAGTTCTAAATATCGTACAATTATGTAGTGATAATGATGACCACTACAAACTACTAACTCTAAAGGAGTATTCACTGCTCTGAGCACTGCTAGTGCCTCATTCAGTCTCCAGCCAGTACATGAGGTGTAGTAGCATTATTCCCATTTTATAGCTGAGGAAAATGAGGCACTGAGGGATTATAACTTTCCTAAAGGTACATAGCAAATAAGTCGTAAAACTTGGATTGATACTCAAGCAGTCTGATCTGAGCCCAGGTTCTTAACCATTATACATAACGCTTTCTTTTGAGGTTGCATTTTCAGCAAAAAAAAAAAACTCAGGCTTTGTTTAAAAAACAAAAATTTCACTAATCCACTGTCACCAGTAGAATATAATGCAAGGAATAAAAAAAAAAAAAGTACTTTTTTTTTTTTAATTCCTTGCATTATATTCTACTGGTGGCAGGAGAGAAGATAAATTTTTGTTTTTTAAACAAAGAATGAGTTTATTGGCCCAAACTTTGATGACCTCTCTGACACAGATATCTGATCTTTCAGGAGTGGCGATCCAAATGTGGGTACAGCCTCCCTTCTGAGCCAGGGATGCCAGCTGTCCAGAGTCCATTTTCGTAGGTGGAGACCCTCAGGACACATTCCTTTCAGCCAGAGCTCTGGAAAATGAAGCCAGATGATCTGGAATGGCAGGACTTTGAGAACAGCACTCAGACAATTCAGCACAAATGCCCCTCCCTGGAAGTGTGCCATAGGGTGGCACACAGCAGGACGGGACAGTTTTCACGCATAGCACACCCTTCTCCCTGCCCCATGCCTCTGAACTCCTACAGCAGTAATAATAGTCACAGAACCCCCTGACAAGGGCTGGCGACACGTGCAGCAGATTAGATAGCCCTGCTCTAAAAGGCCAGACTCGGTGTTTGTCACACGGTTGTTCCTTTGAAATTAAAATGCACAGCACATTGCAGAAGTGAATTTTCAATGCTTCAATATCTGTTCATACCCCAGAGAGGATCTTTAGCAGCTGGATGAGAGGGAAGGGGGATGGAATAAGAATAGGACCGTGGGTCAGGGAAGTCGCAGGGCCAGAGGTGTAGGAACAGGAGTGAAAAAATACACGTTGCTAAGAGGGGAAATGGGAGAAACCCAACCATAAATATATCCTACTCCACCACTGTATGTGCACATGGCCTTGACTAAGCTGGCCAGTCATGTGTGCCTATTCCACACTGCACTAGAAGCTTCCAGCCCTTACAGTAGGGCTTTAAAAAAAAGTCTCCTTGACTCTGAATTCCATGACCAAAGCCCAAGATCAAGATATGTAAAAGAGGGGCTGGGGATTTAGCTCAGCGGCAAAGTGCCTGCCTGGCAAGCGCAAGGTCGTGAGTTCGGTTCCCGGTACCAGAGAAAAAACCGAAAAAACCAAAAAGATATGTAAAAGAAATATAAAGGAGAAAGAAAGGAAGAAAGAAGGGTGGGAGGAGTCCACAGAGGAAAGAATAGAGCAAAAGATCAAATTTGAATAGAACGCCAACCGTAATCCCTCCTTTCGTAAATATTAATTCCTATCATGCTATAATTCTTTTTTTCTGACAAAAACCATCAGGCTGGAACACTGCAGGCTGCCAATTTAAAGTTCTCTTCTCTTAGCAGGTTTGAAGCCATTCCAGAAAAACCCAAGTTCAAGCCGCTGGACCAGCTCAGTTGTAGAGGGCTAATTGCTCTGTTTTATATTTATGTTGATTTACTAAATTGGGTTCATTTTCTTTTGTTGTTTTTCAATATCCCAGTAAACCCATGTACAGGATCACTATATTTAATAGTCACCTCTAGAGATGTTCATGGTCAACTTGCACAGGAGCCTGTTTCCAAAGAAACCCATGCTGTGAAATAGACTTTCCTACTGCTCGTCAGCCCTTGTCTGAACAGTGACACCAACCACAGGGGACGTCAACAACGGGACATTCAAGATTAAGATTGCCTGAGGAATGTGTGCAGTATCTAGAAAAATGAACCATAGTTTTTTTTTTTAAATAAATTCATACAGAAGTGACATTGTTTCTGCACTTTAGAATAAAGCATGGAAGAAATTATCTAAAGTAGGCAATTGTAATTGTTTCTGCAATAACCCATATCAGATTTGATATACAGCAATAATGATTGTCTTTTTTAAAAAAGAAGATATACTAAGGTATTGCTTTTTTCATGCTGATGCATATCTAAATTGGATTATTATTTTAGCTGACAGTGGTACTGATTTTTTTTAGGTTGGTTGCTTTGTGGATTTCTTTGATAGTGATAGTAGCCTGAACCACATCTTAGATTACCAAGTTATGTATGTATGTGCATACACATATACAAACACATTAATGGTAGAATGCTTTTTCATGTGCTAGACTATTATATTTAGTAGTATGTCCTTGTAACTAGCCAATATCACAGCTTTTTAAAAATTAAAAGTCACATTATATTAATATTTCATATTTGCCAGTAGAAACATGGCAGATAGGTATCAATATGTTTTCAGTGCCCAATGACCTGTAATAAAAGGTATTGCAACAAAGAAGGATTAGAAATGTCAAAAATGAGTTGAAACTTTCTATAACATAGTATTTAGTTTATAACTAAAGGCAATCTTGAAGTCCAGTATGAATTATATTAAATCTACCATCTGAATCAAGCTCAAAGCCTGCTTATTTGTAACAATAAAGTTCATAGTAAGTTGGCCTATGTGATAACTGAGGTCTCTTCCTTCGCTAAAATGTAAAGACAAGAATTTCAGTGATGATATTACACAGACTAGAATTCCACATACAAGTCTAAGAAAAGACTGACTCTGGTTCATGTGTAGAAGCAAACAAGTAAATAAAATCCAGTGTTGAGGAGGCATGACAGTATTTCCATCTTTATATACTCTGAAACATTTTTTTAAAATTAAACTTTTCTACCTTTCTTAGTCATTGGTACTTTTTATAATGTGTTGGAATTTTTTTTAAATGTGTTAATTCTACTAGTTTTGCTTTTTCCCCAAGAGTTATTATTGACTTACTACTTTTGCACACACACCATCCAGACATCAGATCATATTTTAACCTGCAAGTCTTTATTATTCACAATTGGTGAAAGAGGGCTCCAGTGTGTTGGCAAAGTGTCCTAGGGTAGACAATACACAGTGTCACATATGAACTCAACCTCGTTTATCAAAAATTGCCTTTGTCTCAATTCCTGCCACACTGAAAGAGCCTCTCAAATAACTCATTTCTGATCCACATATTTTCCCCAAAAAGCTAACCAGGGAAAAGCTGGCTTGAGGAGCAGCCATTGTCTTCCAAAGTCTGTTTCCTCTTGATCAGAAAAGGATAGTGTGATCCCCTATCTTTTAGCAAACCTGGGCCAAAGAAAGATAAACCACCAAGATTGCACACACATTCCCAGCCACCCATGACAGAGTAGACATCAGTCTATGGTAAGATAAACTAGGATTTACATGTAGATGACTCCTATCATTGCAGTGAGGTGGATCAATTGCATTGTTGATGATGAGAGAACATTGCTTTGTTGAGCTTTTGAACCAGAACATCTCCTCATCAGTATCACATATTCCTCTAGAAAGTCTGAAGTTGAGAAGAGAATGTATTGATCCTGACTTTTATTCCAGTATTTGTATGGAATAAGTTTAGGATAGGCTTCTGTTCAGTTTGGATTTAATCTTTTAAAAAGCAAGTTCCACTCATTACAATGCTCTGTTATCTTTAAGAGATCAAACTGTAAGTCGACTAGCATGTTCTGTGAATCTGCCATTCCTAAAAATGTTATAAACACTTGATAATTTTCACTGATCGCTGCAATAAATATATTGTGAAAATGCTCCACAATAAATGGAATTCCTCCAAATGTTGTTGCTTGTATTTTATGTACTATACAGATGATATTCAAAACCTGTAGTTCATGTTGAGTGTTGATTTCACTCTTTAAAGAAGAGAAGCATTTTTATATGTTTAACTGCTTCTTATTACAGGTAAACTTGTAACAAAATATTCATAATTTCTGTAATGTGGACAACAGACCAGACATATATGGAAAATGTAGAAGAGAAATTTTAAAGTCTTCTTAAACCAGGCATGGTGCTAAACAACAACAGACCAGACGTGTATGGAAAATGTAGAAGAGAAATTTTTATAAATCTTCTTAAACCAGACGTGGTGGTGAACTACCAGCACTCTGGTAGGCTGAGGCAGGAGGATCAAAAGTTCAAGGCCATTCTGGGCAATTTTAGCAATTTAGTGAGATGCTTTCTCAAAGTAAAAAAATTTTTAAAAACCAATGAAAAGGGTTCATTCCTCAGAACTCAAAAAAATTTTTTCTTTAAACATAAAACTATCAAGTGTTCCTTTATCTTCCTGCTCAGTCCTTTATAGTCACATATCACCCCCTCACTCCTGAGATGGACAATGCTGGTTTCTGAAAGATTGTGTCTGTTATAGTAGACATAGCCAGTAACTATCTACCACTCATGTATGCAATACTTATTACTTTCAAGGATCTGGTGATACCAGAGTTATATACAAAAATACATTTTCATAGTAATATTGCATATTTATACAGCACTAATTAGTCTGAAATCTAAGGTTCTCATAAAAGCTTAAAATGTTTTCCAGAGCTCCTCACAAATCCCCCAAATCCTGCCCATGAAATTGATAGAATTTATTAAGTCATTGTAAGAACACAGTATTTTTTTTTTATTTTAAAGATTAAAAAACCTAACAGAACAATAACAGTGAAGACAAAATCAAAACAACACCAAAACAACAAAAACAATACATAACCTCAAAACAAAATGATAGGAATTAACAATGGTTGCTACAACAACACAGTATTTTTACAGCTATGTCTTAACAAGAAGAGTAATAAACCTGGACAACAAGATAGTTGCCATCACAATTAATTTACAAGGTTAAGTAATGAATGAAATCTATATTACTAGTACCAAATTGATAAAATAGAGCAAACGAAAATAAATTTTATGATGAACATTTTCAGGATATGAGCCTGAGAACATAACACTATGGTCTCTTGTGTGATGTGGGAACCGGTTTTTACTGTAGATGTTTTCCTACCCTTGCATGTGTGCTGCAAGTAGAAGAATGGATAAGAAAAAAGATCTTGCCTAAATGCCTGTTCCTCCATAGGAATGAACACAATCTAACAAGGTCTTGATCTGAATTCAGTCTCTGTTCAGGTCAAGTTTACTCATCATATCCCAACAAACTATCTTTACTGATGTTTTTCTTTGTTCTATTACTAAAAAAGAAATATGAAACAAACCTCCCATTACAATTATAGATTTGTCTGTTACTCCTTGTAATTTTGTTAATTTTGCTTTCTATATTTTAAGGGGATATTTTAAGACTATTAAAACCTAGAGTCACTATATTTTCCTAATGGATAGAATATTGTCATTATGAAATGACTGTATTTGTAGCAAAGATTTTCACCTTAAAGCTTATTTTTTGTATTCTTGATAATTCTACAGTAGCCTTCTTTCAGCTAATACTGGTATTATATAAGTTTATCTATCCTTTTACTTTTCAATTTTTATATATCTTTTGGTTTTAGATGTGTCTTTAAAAATCCTGTTTTAAAGATAGGCAAGGTAGTGTATCCCCATAATCCCAGCACCCTGGGAGCCTAAAGCAGGAGGATTGAAATTTTACCCCAGCCTTGGCAACTTGGCAGTTTAGTGCAGTCCTGCTTCAAAATAAAAAAATTTAAAAGAGCTGGGAATGTAGCTTAATGCAAAAGCCCTGAGTTCAATCCCCGGTACTTCCAAACAAATACGTACATATGTATATACATACATACTACAACTTGAGTTTGGGTTTTAACCTACTCTGATCATCTTTGTGCTTTACCTGGAGTATTTAGTCCATTCACAGTTAATGCAATTATTGATCCTTTTGCATTTAAATAGCATCCTACCCATGTGCCACCTGTATTGTTACTTTTGTTCCCTTATTTATACTAGGGATCCTTCTGCTTCAAAACCTCTCCTGACCTGAAAGAAGCAATTAAGAGATTGACATATGCTTTTGCAATGTAATGGGGCTAGAGGGAAAAAGTGTCAGAATCTTCTAAATGCCAAGGATGAGGACTTGGTAAAGTACTTTTGACTTATGATTGGGTTTCCAAAGAGATGCCTTCTAAAAGTAAGGATGAGTTTGAAAGACAAACTTGAAGGGTGAGTGCTCTCTCTCTCTCTCTCTCTCTCTCTCTCCTGGTCTTAAAATATCACCTGACTTCACTCCAAGGAATAACTATATTGCTCTAGGAAGGTGATGAATGATAAGGATGAAAAATTACAAAATATTGAATAACAACTTCATTTAAGAAATAAATTATCACAAGGCCCCAGGGCATGTTGTCAAAGAATTACATAGTAAATAATTGTCAGCAGTTAGAAGGAAGAGACAACACCTCATTCTGGAATCATCAATTTAAACATTCCTTTATGGTTTTCTGCACCCCAAGAAGTGTACACAAAACACATTTGCAGGGTAAGTGATAAGATGATGATTTTTCATGAGCATTTCAATTTATTAACACTCTTTTAAATTACTGCTGATAAATTTTGTAGTGAAGTTTCCAGGGTTCTGAAAAGTTGATATGTTCTATGGCATTTTGTGTTTCCAGGTTTTTAGTGCACACGTCAACTCATCCCTAAGAGTCTTAGCCTCTTGCCTCTCACTAACTTGGGCTCAGTGGCAGAAGTTTGCCATGGCATGTCTTTCAGGGATCATGGCTATCCTGAAATACGATTTCAAAAAAATGTTCCAATAAAATATATTTTTGAAGGCTCCGTTAGTCATTTCTACCTAGATAAGAGGGCTTCATTTAATAACATTTTATCAAATATGCTAAAATTATGCAAAAAAAAAAGACTATAATCATACAGAAGGCAGGATCAGTTTTTTTAACTAGTTTTCAACCTTATCCAGCAGTGTTCTGTACAAAGAGGCTTTTAGAATAAATGCCACATTAACAGCACAGGTGCTTGGAGGCTTTTTTCAAGTGGTACAGACTGGTTGTCCTGAGTTCACTAGGGCTTCTCAATCCTTGATCAAGAACAGAATCAACACTGGGCCTCATTAGTTATGCAAAGATGCAGGTTCCACGCCTAAGAGAGTCAGACTCAGTAGGTGTAGGGTTGAGTTTATAAAGCTGCTTTGCTCCTCAAAAGGAAAATGCAGATACTCATACGTACATAGGCCTAAGAAGGCTTGAGAGTTTGCCTTTCCAGCAAGCCCCAGAGCATGCAGTTATAGCAGCTGCTTTGGAGACACTTTGAGAAACAAGGTCTGTCTCAGTCTCTCTCTCTCTCTCTCTCTCTCTCTCTCTTATCTCTATCTCTCGCTCTATCTCACTCAGTGCCCTCACTCACTCAGTGTGGGCTTCAAAAGTTCTCACTGAAAACAACAGAATGAGAATATTTACTGTGACCTAACACTTTCTGTGTATCAACTGTCTTCATCCTCACAACAGCCGTACCAGGTCATCATAACTTACTCAAGGTCATAGTGGTTCCACAGTTCACTCTTAATTTTCTGTACCAGTGGGTCTCCAGAATACCTTGGGGGCTCATTTCACCCCAGAGTTTCTGATTCTGTCGGTCTGGGTGGGGCCTGAGAATTCATCTTCTAACAAATTCTCACATGATGCTCTTGTGAAAATGGAAGTACTGTGGCCAGGGGGAGGGGAAGTTCTGAACTGTCCCTTCACATCACATGAATGAATCATATGTAAGTGCTTAGAGCTCTGCACATTGCTCACTCATTTACTTTTCAGATTAACCTTGTTTGATAGGAACTGTTAGGAAAAAAGGAGGAAAAGAAACAAGTATGAGCTCAACTGGACAGGTTTATTCCAGAACAACCCTGAGAGGGACTGCTCTGGCACTAGACCACAATGGATCCCCTTGTACAGGCTAATGGAGTCTTTTACAGGGTCAGGTGAGGGAGCTCAGTGAGAGAGGGTTATGGCTACTTGCCAAGGATGCTTGCCCAAGGGCAAGGCTTGGGGATGTGCAGGGAGTAGTGGCTGTGATCAACAGCAGGGCTAATAATGATATGAGCTGTTATCAATAGCAGGGCTGGATAAGGATGTGAGTCACTGGGTACAGCTGTGGGGGCGAGGGGGCTGACTGATGGCAGTCAGCCTAGGATGGCAGGAGTCAGATTCCTTCAGGTATTAGCCCTGTTTTACAAGTAAACTAACTAAAGTACAGGCAGCATTACAAATTTGCCATCGTCATATAGCTGTTAAGCGGCAGAATAGCTGATGCCCAGCAGTCAGCTCCTGAGCCCCTACTCTTAACCACCATGTGCTCCATTCTGTCACAAGGGGTCATTGCCTGGGACAGTGACTTGAAGAGAGTCTCTTTTATAGGGGCTGATTGTAGCCACTGTTCTCCTCTTGAAGTCCACAGAGAGAGCAGGAATACCATGCGGCTGGGGACTTGGCCAGTTACACAGACCTCTGCTCTTTTGACATCCCGGCCCATCTACATCCTAACACAGCAAGGACCCAGAATCTACAAAAAAGGAGGGATGAATGAGTGTACACAGAAAACCCCAACTTCCCCTCAGTCCCCAAGTCACCAGAGCTTGAAAGAAATCTAGGCTGCTCTAAGAGGTGGGAAGGAGGGCTTTGAGCGAAGTTTGAACCTGAAATTAAAATGAACTTCTCAATCCTAAATCTAAATACCAAATAGTGGAATGAAATCTTAAATACAAAAACAAAACTGTTGTACCTGGCTAAATTAGCTGAAATGTTACGGAACGTGACCCAAACACCCTCTGCGAGGGGGCGTGGGGACAAGCCTTCCCCACTGCGCTGTTGGGAGGGAGATCATGTGCACACCGAGCTGGGAAGTGCAGTCTCTTTGGAGTGATTTATTCTGTTATTTGTTGAGCAAGGAGGGGACATTCTTACTACTTCATTTTCACGTACTAAAGGGAATCACTGCATCGTGTAGCCCCCAAATACAAGTAATATTGATGATACAGAGTCAAGAATGGTATCTCAGTGGGAATGATCCTTGAGCTGTGTCTTGATTGGCTGCTGGCTAGAAAAGAGCTCAAAATGTGAGTCTAGAAACAATTTAAGAGGTTTCGCCTATACTGGTTCATCCTAAACCCAGACGGCCTTAGGAAGGATAGGATAGGCACAGTATTAGACTACCTAATGTTCTCAAGCTCTGAACTGCTTTCACAGCCCCAAGGTGACCAGACCTTGAAAGCCTCACACTTACTAACCTCTCTGATGTTATGAAGAACTGATAGCCTTAGTAAATTCATGTTTTCCTTTAAGCCTCTGCCCAGTAAATTAAAAATGATATAATTATACAAAATAAATCATACTCCCAAAACAACTTTCACTTCGCCTTATTACTAAAACAAACTTTCCTCCTGATTCCCACACCAGTAATTGCAGCTTTGGAGATGTAATTTTGGTTGTCTTTTTCCTTTTTTACTTACTCTATTTTTACAGTGCCTTTTATAATGCAGTCTTGGGAGTAAAATCATCAGAAAATAGAAGAGGGAAAGTTGCTACTAGGAGAAATCTGTCTGCCCAAATGGCAAAAGATGGGCATGTAAGGAATCTGCCCAGTACCATTCTCTGGTGAGATCCTAGGGAAAAGGAACAAAAGCGCAGACTGATAGAAAATTTTTGGTAGAAGCTCACCTCAGCTGTCACTTCTACTTTGACTTAGATACAAAGAATTTCATTTCTAGTACACTACTGTTTGGAAATACTCTTGATTTTGTTTCTTAATTTTTAAAACTTAAAAAGAATTAGGTGCTTAAGAAAATCATCTTAAATTTACCTGGAGAAGAGAAAAGTTCTCAGGAAATCTTTCTTTAAAATGATACTGACTTCAGCTAAGGTTTGGGTACACAGTACTGCCTGGTCTAATTCACAATTCTTCCCTCAGAGCTTTTGTACTAGCTATGTCCCCTACTCAATAAGGTCTTTCCCTGGACATCCTTTTTTATTATTTTAAAAATAAAAAGAATGAAAACATATTAACAAACACACATACATTTACAAAATAACACAAAAACAATACAAGCAATACTGAGTTTCAGGCAAGGTGATAGGAAATTAACAATGGTTGTTGTATTACATATTGATATCTTCAAAGCGGTTACTCAGGAAAACAAATATAGACATGTAAGATTCATCAGATAATCAATTATTAACTGTTCCTTTCAATAAAGCATTCTTATGATTCATTCCTTTGCTCAAATGCTACCTGGTCAGAGAGATCTTTCCTGGCAACTCCATCTAAAAAGAGCTCCCTTACCAAGACCCACACACCAGCACTCTCTATGCTCTTTATTTTTTCCAGCTTTATTTCCTCCCATGATAATTATCATCCCCTAACCCTAACTCTGGTTTTGATTATTGTTATTACTGGTTGTCTGTTTTCTCCCACTAGAACATAAGCTGCATAAAGAATGTTTTGTTCCCTGTAATAGCCTTACACTGGGAACAGTCCCTGACATGTAATAAGCGTTCAATAAAATTCACTGAAGTAATGAAATAATGAATGCATATGATTTTCAAAGTTGTGAATGCCTGAATAGTTTTATTATGGAGTAAGACAATTTTTCTCTGTAAAGATTCTTTGACATATGATAATGTAAATATTTGGACTAAAAGTGAGACTAAGTCCTAGCCTTGCCATTTACTTCTTGTATAACCTGGTTATATTATTTCTAGGAGCTTCACTTGTGCATGTGACCTCCTATGGCTGTAATGAGACTAAAATCCCACAGAAAAAGATTCCATATAAAAATATGGCCTGAGTATATTTTTTGTTGCCAAGTGCATAATACCACAGACTGGGTACGTTTAAGAAAAGAGGTTTAGTTCGGTTCACGGATCTGGAGGAACAAGGTCAAAGGACCACATCTTCTAGCAATGGTCTTCTTGCTGGCAGAGTTCCAAGAGGGTGCAGAGCATCATACGATGGATTCAAAATGTGTGTGACTTTGTCTCTGTGTATGTGTCCTCTGATTTCCCTCATCCTACACAGTCACCAGTACTCAATCATGTGGGTTCCACCTGGATGACTTTATCCAATCTTAATCACTTCCCAAAGCCTTACCTCTAAATACCACAGTAGGATTAAGCTTCTACCCTCTTAAAAACCTCGAAATGGATATTAAATTTCAACAGAAGTACCCTGGGGAGAGACTACATCTAAACACTAGGAAAAACTCTGTGCATGTCACTTTTAGTACCGTTTTTATGGCATGACACAACAATGAAGACTAATTTTCAGAAGAGCTTAAGTTATGTTTTATTCTCTCAGGCTAAGTCTAATCTGGAGGTTCCAAATTTCCAAATTTTTGATGACCGAACAAAACAAAAAAACCAAAAGAACTCTTAATTTAAAAAACTTACAAAATCTGAAAAGAATGTTAACCCATTTTCATGCTTAAACCATAGTGCCTTGCCTTCTTTTTTACTTTCAAATTTGCTACAGAATACTACTTCCATTTCTACAGTATCACAAATCTCATGGCATATGACTTGTTGTAGTACCAAACAGCTATTCATTCTTTTTTTTCCCAGTCTACTTGGAAAATTGTTCCAAATGTATATAAAATTATCCATCAGGCAGGGCACGGTGGCGTGCATGTAATCCTAGTATAGGGGGAGGGTGAAGCAGGAGGAGAACTGCAAGTTCAATGTGGACTACATAGTGAGTTCAAGGACAGCCTGAACTACATAGCAAGACCCTGTCTCAAAAAAACCAATTAAAAAGAAAAAACAAAGAACAACAACAAAACTCAAAATTAAATTGTCCACCAGAGCTAAATATCAGAGAAAAAAATCAAAGAAGAATGTACATAATTAATGTTTGTTATGGCAAACTCATATTTAAATAGATGACACAATATATGTAAAGTGATTTGTCGTGCCACAGAAGACAAGTTAAACGTTCAGTGTTAAACGATTACATTTAAGGAATCTGAGAGCTGATAAGAATTTTTGAGAGTGCACACTAATACGTTCAGGATTCCCGCAAACCAAGTATTTAAGGAGAAAAGCCTCATTTTCCAGAATAAAGATCATTAGTCACAATTGTGCAAAATGGAATTTACTGGGTGCATACCAAAGACCACCACACTTTCAATTTAATCTTCTCACGAATTGGTGCCATTATTATACCCATTTTACTGATGAAGTCATTTTAGTTCACAAAATAAACTTGTCCTTGGGTCAGGACAGCTCCAGCACACAAGCCTTAAGCAGTACGCTCCACCGGCTTCTCTCCGACTGCCGTCTCGCCCTCCCCGCTCCCTTGGCCTCCTGCAGTCCCCACCGTCCTAACCTCAGCGATTCTCTCTGCCCAACCCGCTGTTTTACCCCAGCCCTGTCAACCCCAGAGCTCCCTCTTTCTAGAACCAAGGAAAGCGCATTGCCCCTGCGCCGGAAGTTAGAAGATTCCCGAGGGTTGTTCGAAGTCTCGCGCGGATTCCTCGAGGTCTCGCGAGGCTGGGGGCATTGCCCAGGTAACCAGTGACCTGCCCTTTGTAGAGGTTGATGCTGGGGCTTTTACAGTAAAGTTTTTCCTATTTCTGGCCCCTGCGGGTCAAGGAGAGAATCTGAAGTCTTCTCCCAGTGCGGGTGGGAAGACTAGCCTGGCCAGAAGCTGTGGTGGGAGCGTGCAGGCGAAGCGACAGGATGGCGAGCGCCTCAGGGCCTGCAGCGCCGGCGGAAGTTCGGGCGAGGAAGGCGCCTCCTGCTCCTTACGGCACTAACGCGCTCCCCGCCCCGCCCCCCCCGCCGACGGGACGTGACCTGACCTGAGGCCCTCGGTGACCTGAGGCCGGGGCGGGGCCGGGGCGGGGCCGGGGCGGGGCCGGGGCGGGGCCACGGGGTTCTCGGGAGGAGCCGCTTGTCCGCGCCGTGCTAGCTGCGGTCCACGCTGCGCTTGAACCAGGAGACTGGAAGTTGGTGAAGCCCTGTGCGCTCCCCATGCTGTAGAATCTTGGCGAGGAATTTCGATTATTCCTCTGTCTCAATAGCATCCGCGCGGGAGGATCGTTTCGCGGGCGCCTTTATGGTCGTCGCCAGTACAACTTTCCGGGAGCTATGGGGTTTTCAGTAAGATCGTGTCATTGAGTATTAGAACAGAAGGAGTATCTGCAGAATAATATTAGTCAGAATAGAAAGTCACTGTAACTTCAGCTTTTGGAGTCAGCTGAAAAGAAGGCGGGGGAAAACTTCTTAAACTATATATTATTGTGTTTCGCTGCCTAAATAAGTATAATTTTCCTTGATTCATTATATTTTATTACCTTAGGATCATTCTGAACTTGGTATGACTGTGTAGTGCTTAAATGTAAATGACTTGGCTGTGTACCCTGGAAATTTTTTTCAATTAAACTATTTGATTTGTCATTTATTGTGAGTTTTGTCTCTGCATAGTGATGGAAACTTTCTTAAAACCTTTGAAATTGAAGGTTTAGTAAGCTGCATTTTAATTTAGTTTTAGAGAAGACTTGCCACTGTTATTAGTAAAACAATATATTTGAGTAATCATGTAAATAACACCTTCCATTTGAAAAGCTGACAAGTAAGTTTCTTAGAAATTATTTTACAGCCCACATATATAACAAAAGAGATTTCAAGCCAAACACTGGAAGAGATGTCAGAAGATTCAGATAAGGAAGACTATTCAGACCGAACCATAAGTGATGAAGATGAATCAGTATGTTTTTCTTAACTTTTCTTTAGCTGAATTAGATAAAATGTATATTTTAAAAATATATTCCCAACTAAAATATTGTAAATCAATGTAATGTAAAAGTTAATTGGACATTTAAATAATGGTTATTGACTTTGGAAAATGATTGAAAGGGGATTAAGAGGTGGAAGGGAGGGGGAAGGGGATGAAAAAAGGAACTAAGATGTGTTGTGAACTGTACTAACTCCACACAAGGAATGTAAGCATGTACTGCAAACATGTAGTAATAAAAAATTTAAAAGGGGAGGGGAAAAAAAACCCATGACATTTTCTTGGGAAAATATTTTGGCTGAGATTCTTCTGGGTTTTATTAAAATGTGCATATTAAACCAGGATTTTCTTTTTGTAGTTTACTCCACTTATTTTCTTATATGTAGTAATTCTATTGTGTTACAGTCATGTATCATGTTAGAACCCCGTGCTCTAATCCCACTTTGTATCATCATAATAAGGTTAGTGTGGCCCTAATATTATAGAGGAAAAGACATGGAAGAAAAAAAAAGGAGGTAAAATGATGTGTTTAAAATATTTTGGTTGGCCCTAGTCTGATTTCCTTCATTAAAGTATAAATTATCATGGATGTAAATTAAGGTCCAAAAATAAAGTCCCCAAAATGATGTATAGCCCTGTAAGGCATGACTTTGAGGTTGTCATTAGTTCAGTTGTCGGTCAAGTTGACAACCCCCAGTGGTAAAAACTTTCTGGATTTGGTAGGTAGTTGTTGGTTTTTATATTTTAAAATTTTCTTGTTTTAGGATGAGGATACATTCATGAAATTTGTAAGTGAAGATATTCATCAGTGTGCATTATTAACAGGTTTGAATTTATCCATACATTTTTCCTCCCTCACAAAACCTAGAGTGGATAAAAAATAAGGTGAAGAAACTTTTAAAAAGTCAGATTGGGTAAAATAGGGAATGACTGCTCTGGTTAAAAAGAGAGACATGTTGTATCTACTTTTATTCAAATCTTCTGTAGTTTGAACTTTTCAAGTTGATATTAGGTGAACTGACTTATACTGGAAAATAAATTAATGAAAGTGATGATTACAAAGGATGTCACTGAACATAAAGATGACTTTGTCATTTCTCTTTAAAAAAAAAAAGTTGGTGAGGCTGGGGATATAGCTCAGCAGCACAAGCAGTTGCCTGGCAAGCCTGAGGTCATGAGTTTGATTCCCGGTACCAAAAAAGTAAATAAATAAATAAATAAAAATTTTTTAAAAATGAGAACTCTTTAAGTGTATTTGTAGAATGACCCGTTATAATTAATACAATAGTTAGAGGTACATCTTTCCCATAAATGAAGTATGCTTATACAGTTTCCTTAATAAAGTCATTGTATCCTGCTGTTGCTAGGACAAAATACCCAACATACACAATTTAAAGAAGAAAAGGTTTATTTTAGCTCATGGTTTCAGAGATTTCAGTCCATGGTCAGCTGGTTCGAAGGAAGAAACATCACACTGGGAAGGCATAGAGGAGGAAAGCTGCTTCACCTCATAGCAGCCAGGAAAAAGCAGGGGAGGAACAGAAAAGGAAGGGGCCAGGGACCAGATATAGCCCCCAAGATCATGCTCCATGACCCACCCAGAGGCACCCAGAAGTGTGCTTTACTAATCTAGGTGAGTCCCTGGGAAATTAGCTAATCAAGTTGACAAATCAAGATGAACTATCAGTCATTCATTTACATATATCCGTGTATGTAAGTATTGATGTTCACTTGATTTTTAAAACTTAATACACTTAGAGTTCAACTTTCAAATGCTAAAATGTTTCCACTAAATATGTGTCTGTCAAAGATATTCCAACATTGAAATTAGGCCCTTTGTGTACCTACATATATATCCATGTATTTTTCATGACCATCGTGAAACAAATCTTTACTTTTCAGATAACTACTATTCTTAAGTTGCTGTGCATTTTTCTAGACCTTTTTTGTTCCATTGATACATACATCTATACCCATATTCAAAAGAATTTTGTAGTAGTGTTTCTGGACTTTTTCTTCCTACCTTTTTTTTTGTAAATTTTGCCAATCTATTGGAAAACAGGAGGTAATTCACTGTTTTAATTAGCATTTCCTTAATAGAGAAATTAATTGTTTAATATGTTTATTGCCTTAATTGTTAATTCATAATAATCCTTTAACTGTGTTACTGCTATTATTTTTTTAATTATTTTGATATGGTTATCAGTATTTATGTGTGATCTTTTTATTTTGTATCTTGTTTAAGTCACAGGCCTTCCCTACCCCAAAGATGTCAGTATCATCATGTAAATTTTCTTTAAGTACTTTTATGTATATATTTGAATTTCATTATTTCTCTATCATTTATGTGTATGAGTAATACTTTTTTTTGCTGTTGCATGTATCAGTTCTTTTATTGTTTTTAGTTTTTAGCTGACTTTAAAATTTTTGTTTTATTAATATATTTTAGGTATAACATCCATCATAGGGAGTTTGTAACTACATGGTATATCTTGCTTCTTTTTTCCCATTCCTGTCCCCTTCCCTCATCTCCTCTTCCCCTCATTATTTACAAAAGCTTTGTTTACATTTTTTTCCTTCTATGGTCTTTTTTTTTCTTGTCTCTTACTTCCTTTCTCTGTGCCCCCTCCCTAGTTCCCCTTCCCATTTCCCAGCGTCTATAGTTTGGACCTCATTTACACTTCCCATTGCTCATGCCAGAGAAACAGTGCAGTATTTAAACGTATGTCCAGTTTATTTCTCTTAAAATTATGATCTCAAGGTACATCCATTTATTTAGAGATGTTTGAACCTTATCTTTCTTTATGATAGAGTAGTGTTATGGTTTGTGTCTGCATGTCCCCCCAAATCCTCATGAAATCATAGGGCGGGCTTCTAGATTTATGATTGATTTATGGTCCAGTGTTGGAATTATGGATGTGAGTGTTACACCTGCCCTGGGGCGGATAGTTTGCATACAGTATAAGGGAGGGAAAGAGGCTTGCTCTTCCAGCTGCTGCTCCTCCCTTTTGCTTTTGTTGCTTCCACCGCCAGGAGGTTGCCCTATGCCAAGTGTCACTCTGCCTTGGAGCCAACCAAGTATGGCCTGAAACCTCCACAAACTGTGATCTAAATAAACCTTTCCTTCCTTAATTTTGGGCACCAAGTATTTTGTCTCAGCAATGAGAGAAAAGTAACCAAGACAAGTAGTACTCCTTTGTATAAGAACAACCCACAACTTACCTATTCATCCGTTGATGGGTTTCTGGGCAATTTCAGAGATTTAGCTATTACAAAGTGCCACTGTAAACATGGGTGTACATATATCTCTGTGGTATCAGGCTTGTAATTCTTTGGGAAAACACAAGGAAGGGGAATAGCTGGGTCGAGTGGGAGCTGTAGTTTTAGTTTTCTGAGGAATATCTACATTGACTTCCACAATGGTTGCACCAGTCTACCCTCCCACCAACAGTGGAGTGAAATCTTCACTTCAGATTCCCATTTTTGGGTTGGGTCAGTTTGGTGGTCTAATTTTTTAAAGCTCTTTATATATTCTAGATTTTTTTTTCATTCTAGATACTAGTTCTTTGAGGAGGAGCTGTCAAATTTTTTTCCCCACACAGTGAGCTGTTTTCACTCTTTTGGTGATTTATTTTACTATGCAAAAACTTTTCAATAAAATGAGATCCCAGGTGTTGATTCTTTGTGATATTTCCTGTGTAACTGGGGTTTTGTTCATAAAGTCTTTTCCTATACCATTGTCTTTAAAGAATTCTACTATTCTATCTTCCATCAGATTTAGTGTTCCTGTTTTAATATTTAGATTTTGATCCATTTCAATTTTAGTTTAGTACATGGTGAAAGACATGGATATACTTTTAATCTTTGGCATGTGGAAAGCCAGTTTTTCCAGTGCCATTTATTAAAGGAGCTGTCTTTCCTTCAGTGAAGGTGTTTGGCCTCTTTGTCAGAGGGAAAGTGGATGAGTGCTTGGAGTTGTTTCTGCATCTTTGGATGTGTTTTATTGATTCTTCTGTCTGTTTTTTGCCAGTATCATGCTATTTTTATCACAGTAACTGTAGTATAATTTCAAGTCAGTTATTCTGATGCCCCCTGTCTTGCCTTTGTTGTCTAGAATTATTTTTGCTATTCTAGGTCTTTTCTGTTTCCAAATGAATTTTAGGATTGTTTTCTCTAATTCTATAAGATATACTGTTGGTATTTTGATCAGGATTACATTAAATCTGTGTAACAGTTTTGGAAGTAAGGCCATTTTCACTCTGTTGGTTCCTCCTGCCTAAGAACAGGAGATATCTTTCTATTTTTTAATATCTTTTTTGCTCTCTTTTTTCAGAGTAGTTTTGGATGTGAAGTTGTCTTACTTACTTCATTAGATTACTTCTAGTTATTTCACTCTTTTTGATGCTAGTGTGGAAGGTTTCCCTAATTTCTCTCTCAGTGAGTTTGTTATTTGTGTACAGGGATGCTATTTATTTTTGAGTGTTGACTTTGTATCCAGCTATGCTATTTGGTTATTAAATTTGGTTATTAAATCTAGAAGTCTTTTGGTGGAACTTTTGGGGTCTTCTATGTAGAGAATCATGTCATGTGCTAATAATAATAATTTAACTTCTTCCTTTCTTACCCTTATTTCTTCTCTTTCTCACCCTTATTTCTTCTCTTTCTCATATCTAATTGTTCTGGCTAATGTTTCTACAACTATTGAATAAAAGTGGTGACAGTGGACATCCTTGCCTTGTTCCTGATTTTAGAGTGAAAGGTCTCAGTTTTTATCCATTTAGTATGATGTTCGCTCTTGGTTTGTAATAAATGGCTTTTATCAGATTGAGATAAAGACCACTTGTTCCAATTATCTGTAGGGTTTTTATCATGAATGGGTGTTGGACTTTGTCAAATGCTTTTTCTGTATCTATTTAAATGATCATATGGTTTTTGTCCTTGGCTCTGTTAATATGGTGTGTTACATTTCTTGATTTGTGTATGTTGAAGCATCCCTACATCCCTGTTATAAATCCTGCTTGGTTGCAGTATATAATCTTCTTGATGATTTTCTGCATTGTTTGCCAGTATCTTACTGAAGGCTTTGCATCTGTGTTTATGAGGGAGATTGGAGTGTAGTTCTCTCTTTTGGTTGGATCCTTCTATGATTTTGCTTTGATCCTTCTATGATTTTGCTTTCAGGGTAATACGCATTTCCAAGAATGAATTTGGGAGTTGCATCCCTTTCAATTTCATTAGAGTTTGAGAGGTAGTGGCATTAGGTCTTCCCTAAATTTCTTGTAGAATTCAGCAGGGAATCTGTCAGGGCTTTTCTTTGTAGGTTTTTAATTACATCTTCAATTTTGTTACCTGATACTAGGTTATTTAGAATTTTTATGTCTTCTTGATTCAACTTTGGTAATTCATATGTATGTAGGAATCTTTCCATTTCTTCTGTTTTTCATTGTATTAGAATACAGGATCTCAAGGTAGGTTTTGGGGGGTCTTCAGGAGTTCTGCAGGATCTGTTGTGATTTCACCCATTTCATTCCTAAGTGCATGGATTTGAGTCTGTCATATTTTTGGTAAGGTTGCCCAAAGGTTTGTCAATTTTATTTAATCTTTCAAAGAATCAACTCCTTAATTCATTGATTCTTTATATTGTTTTCTTGGTCTCAGTTGCATTGATTTCTGCTCCGATCTTGATACTTCCCTCCCTCATATGAGCTTTGGGCTTGACTTGCTCTTTTTCTAGAAGCTTAAGGTTCAACATTAGGTTGTGTCTTACTTACTTTTCTTGTTGCTGAAACAAAATACCCAACACCCAAAGTTAAAGAGGGAAAGATTTATTACCTCACAATTTGTAGAGGCTTTAGTCCATAATTGGCTGGCTCCAGGGCAGGGTGACATGGCAAAGGGGCAACCATTTGTGGCAGCAGAAAATGGCAAAAGCAAGCAAGCAAGGGAGGCAATACTCTGTACTTTATATTGCAAGCAGACTACCTGCCCTAGGTTAGGTGTACCACTCACATCCTTAATCATAGTCAGAACTATGCCAAATCAATCAGTGGACTAATTTACTAGCCCCTGATTCTTTGCCACTGGCAAAAAGAGGTGAGAAGCTGACTTGCTGGGATTAATTAATATGGATTAGGGCTCTGTCTGCCCACTCTGTCTACCAGTGACAGCAGACAACATGCCCTGCAGTGGACATTCTTTTTTTCCCTCTTGTTTATTTTTTGGATTGTTTTTGTTTTTATGAGTATGAACACTGCTTCTAGTTTTTCTGTTGTTCTATTCAGTTCTTGTTTTTATTGTTTCCTTCTCGTCTTCACCCCCTGAAGTTTGCATAATCTTCCTTTGTCCTACAGCCTTGCTTCTCACCTCTTTCTCTTCTTCTATTTCTCTATTTTTTTTCCCCTAACTCTTTATAAATTTTCTCCCAAGGGTAAAACTGCTATACTGAGGGCGTATTTACTGCATACAATTTTCTGGTTTTAGATTTTATTATATAACTACAAATATAGATCATACAGTTAAAGGTAGCAAATTAATAGTTAATGAAAGTCATTTTCTAGACTGTGTTTGATGCTACTGTCATTGCTGACTGCACTCCTTTAGCTAAGACAACACAACTGTTCTAATCAGTTGTTCTTCCTTGTATGCCAAGACTGAGATAGCCTAAGAGTCATAAATAATACTATTGGCCAGTGGCAAAGAATCAGGGGCTAGGCCAAATAGGCAGCAAGGTAGTGGATTATCCCAGCAAGCCTGCACCATTAGTTCTACTGAAGTTCAGGCTGGTTTTGGGCTGTGAGGCTGGAACCCGATTATTCAGCCTGCAACACTCCATGTGCCTCCTTGCTTGGACTCAACTCCTTACCACCTTGAACTTGACTCCTTGACCTTGTTTCAACTTGAGTTTGGTTCCATCTCACCCAGACACAGGGAGCTGCTAGACGAAACCATCCCACAGCAGCTCTGAATTCCAAGCTCTCTTGACCCCGTCTCCAAGACAACTACCAGCCATCTGCCTGCTTGTGGGGGAACATCTGAACCTGAATAACTCACCAGCCACTTCAGTCTTCTGCAACCACTGCTGCATTCCACTGGTGCATTTCTCTGTGGAGACCTCTGGCATTGCCAGTAGGCATTGTGTGTATGCAGGTTTGAGCTGCCCCTCCCACACAGGGCTCAGGGAGAAAGTGCCACTTGCTTTCTTCTGCATTGAGGTCTCTCTCTTTGCTCTCCCTTTGGACTTCAGTTCTCACTTCAGATCCTTGCTGGGTCCTGTGAACCCACCTTCTCTTCCTCATGTTGCTGTATTCCAGGGTCTAGACACCAAATCTTGGAGAGGCTGTTTCTCTGCTGTTCACCACTCTGTCATCTTTCTGAAAGCCCTGTATGAGTAATAGATTTTATTTTCTAATTCAAAAATAGCTGCCTTGCTGTTTTATAGTCCATAGGATTATTTACTGGTTTGTCTTTGTTTTTTAACCACTAATTTGAAATATCATCTTTGTCATGTGACATTTGGCGTGACACCTGTGTCATATACTAAGTGCCATCCATCCATTCCTAGACTTGACTCATTGATCACTTACCCATTTCCTGAGTCTCTGTCACATTGTAAATTATAGTAGCTTTAAATTTGATATTTTGGAATTTGTTAGGGAAGACATCCCTTCTAATTCTTCTTTCTCAGAATGAGTCAAAAGTTGGAAGGGATCTAAATATCTATCAATGAGAAAATTGTTAAATAAATACAGTGTAAGGTGTAATACTATTTGGCTGGGGAAAGGGATATATTTATTACTGATCGAGACAATTGTCCATGGTATATAATATGAAAAAGTCACAGAATACTATGTTTAAAATGATCCAATTTGTGTAAAAACTGTTAAAAGCTAAGCTTTGTACATTAAGATTTATTTGAACAAATATCAATTCATGAATTGGGCAGCTTAAAATGAAGTGGCTTGGAGGTTTCACCTGAGAGATCTGAGAGGAAAGCTTTTACGGGGTAAATGCAGAAGGAAGGGGGAAAAAGTATTTGGTGAAGTGGAATAGAAGCCTTTCTTGGATCATTCCACTGGGAGCTTTATAGTTAGAAGTTAATTGGCAGTTTCTACAGCATCACAAAGGATGGGAAATGAGCTTAAGTAGAACTTCCTTCAAACTAATGCCACAGAATTCTTTCACTGAAAGAAGCAGGACTACTGCATTGCCTTTTGGTAAGGCCCACTGCATGTTATGGGCATCATGTTCCTGGGTTGTGTCACATTGTGGCACTAGAATGATAATTGAGAAAAATGTCATGGCAAAGTTCTCTAGCAACCTTTGAAAATACAGTTCCAGTAAGTGTTGAAGAATCATAGTCAGTGAGTGTGTTTAACACATTAGACAAACAGTCTGATTAACAAGAGTTAAAAGATAATTTGCTAGAAACAGACATTCTTAGAGTAGTAGTAAGAATTCAGCTTAATATACAAGGTCACTACCATTCTTTTAGCTTTTGGGAAGATCACTTGTTACAAGATTTTATTTGTATTTTTATTTTTAAACACCATTAATTGTTATAGTGATATCCACAAATATCCCTAGATTGAATAGTGTTAGAAGAAAATAAAGAACTGTATAAAACATCATAGGACTTAGTGTTTTCCTTCTTGTCACTCATGGTGGTGTTTGAATCTTTTTTTCAGCTGACTCTATTAGTGACCCATTCTTCCCCCGGACTACACAGATACTATTGGAATATCAGCTAGGGAGATGGGTGCCACGCCTTCGCGAACCCCGAGATTTATATGGTGTCTCCTCTTCTGGTCCGCTGAGCCCAACACGGTGGCCATACCATTGTGAGGTCATTGATGAAAAAGTCAAGCACATTGGTATGTTTTCAGCAGTTTTAAACATGCAGACATTAACAAACTCTCTTTGTCTACCTTGGTTTTAATTAGGAGACTCATGGTGTTAGAACAGTATATTCCAATAGAAATACAGCATGAGTCATGTATGTACTTGTAAATTTTCTAGTAGCTACATTTATAAAGGTAAAAATAAATTAATTTTAAAAATACATTTATCCTAAATATGTCTAAGCACATTTTTCTTTTTATACAAAATCTTCCAAATCTGATGTGGATTTATATTAATAGATAATTCATATTAGTCACATTTTAGGTGTTCAAATGCCACATGTTTAAGGGGTTTAAGTTATGTGCCATAGCTTTAGTAATTCTAAACAATGCCAACAGCGAGACTATGTCCAAGTCACAGTCACATTCATAGAGACTGGGCCAGGATGTCCATTAACTATGCTGCTGTCCATGACTGCTCACTGTTGCTCCTCTTTCTCTCCCTCGGGATGTCTTTTCTTCCCAATGTATCTTTGTCCTTTATTGCCTCTTCCTGTCCCTTTCTCTTTTTCCTTTCTGTTCCTCTTTTATTTATCTTTTTGTGCCCATTTCTTTTTCTTTCCTGTCCTTTCCCACTTTCTGCTTCCTTTTCATGGACATTTATGGAACTGAAAATTGCATATTTGCATGTATATCATCATGTTCCCATACGTGTTCATTCTCAGGTTTATTTTTTACTCTCCTAGAAAGAACTTGCAGCCTTAATGTCCACAAATACGATAGAAACATTCCCGCTGTTCTGCAGCACCCCATGGCTGTTGCATTTCCTCTTTTGTTGACTATAGTGCACATACATACATTCTTGCCAGGCAGAGCTCTTAAAGATATTCATTGGTAAATAAAAAACACTTAATTAGACATAATTAAGTAGAAATAGAGCATTTAGTGTTCTTAAATAAGATGCTGCTTAGGGAGATTTTTAAAAACTGTTCTCCTGATATTTGGTAGACAGAGAAAGAGATGATAAATAGGTAGATAGATGAGCTAGACAGAAAAGGAAAGAGAAAGAACATTGGTTTTTGTTCATAGAGGGCCATTAATTTTCCCTAAGAATTCTAATCATAGGGCTAAAAAGGTATTAAAGAATTCATGCTTGCAGGAAATAGGGAGAAGTTCATATATGTCTCCAAATGACAAATTCTGTTGTTTTAAGAATATCTCAATATATGTCCTAATTGGCTTCATTTATAATACTAGTTTATTGTAGTTCATTGAAAAGAAAGATTTGTATTATTATGTTTGTTTCTTTTCAGTATATGTCTTGTACTTTGAGTAACTACTCTGAAGATAATGAGATAGTGTAATAAATGTATTATTTGTTTCTGAAATTTTGTTTTATTTTTTCATAAAATGAAAAAACATTTCATGCTTGCTAGTACTTGCAAGCATCACTTATCTTCAGCGAGGCCTATGAGTGTAGACTTCTGTTCTGGAGTAGAGGGGTCTCTTTTCCTTTTTCTCTTTTCACCACTCTTGCTAGCATTCTCAACCCTCCTCTACGAGGCCTCTCCTTGCTCCCATGCCAGGAAGAGACATAAAGTAAGCAGAGAAAAAATACTGCTCTGCCACTAAATGTGAGCCCTGCCCTAAGCCTTTCCTCCTATAGCTTGCTTCTGTTTCACAGCCTCTTCCTTATGTACCTGTAACAGGGCTTGAAAAGCAGCAGACAAAGCACGCCTCTCTACCTGAGGTTTCCCCTGCAACAGCAGTGAGAGGAGAGCAGGAGAGACCCAAATGGGCAGAGTGAAACTGGAGCCCACCCTGCCGTTGTTCCCCAGAACTCCCCAAACCCACGTTGCCTTCCAGTCAGCTTATTTTCTCCCCATCTCATTGGACATCCCCTCTTCACACTCTCAGTGCAGCTTGGTGGTCCACACATCACTGGCCCCACTCTCAGCCCTCAGTCACAGGCTTAGCATGGAGAAAGTTTCTGCTCCTCTGGTTGCTTGGTCAACTCCCTCTTTCACGGTGCAGCTTTTATATTTCTAGCATTAATTCTATGTATATTTCCTTAGCAAGATGTTATAGTAAAGAACGGCTTTCCTGGAACAGTGAGCATGGGGCTGAAGTGAACAAAAGCTAGATTAAAGAAAGTTAAGACTGATTCTCAAAATTTGGTTCTCAGAAAGCATATTCTGATAAACTGCAAAGTTGACCTTTATATACGAGCTCTTTTTCCAATTCTGATTATAGATTTTCATGTTTCTTTACAATAAGGGCAGTTTATTAAGAAATTAAAAAGAACACAAGCAGAGATTAATGAAATGTTTCTTTAACTGAAATTCTAGATGTCATGTGAGCTTTGATCAGCTGCATACACAAAAGCAAGTGGCTGAAATTCTTAGTTGTCAGAATGGGAGCTATATTGTAATTTGTGATTAATTTTGGCTTGAGTTGATTAATATTTTCAATTAACAAGTGTTACTTTTAATTATAATTTTTATTGCTTAGCTTGTAATTTTTATTATCAGATCGATTATGTGTGGTTCAGTAGACTGCAATACACAGTGATACAGATTTGCATCAATATGGAAGTCTAAGCTTCCTTTCTATAGGTAGATTCAATTCCTATTCTTTAACAGAAGTACATTTTCGTTGGAATCCTCAAAATATTTTCCCAGTCATGCTTGTCTGTCATCACCAAATTTGTACACTAAAAAATACAGTTAAGATGTAATTTTTCTGTCAAATGATTCATCCTTAGCAATATTTGCACATGGCACTAACAAGTTTTAAGAGAGAAATGTCCTAATGAAGCTGGTAGCTAAAGGAGAAGGAAGAGGGTCTAAGAATGCCCATCCTTTTGGGAGACAGAGGAAACCTGGACATGTTATAAATATAAGAGATGACCACTGTCAAGCAAGAGGCTGAAAATGCAGGGAAATAAATAAAAACTAGAACAAGAGTCTCAGGGGTGAGATAGAATGGCATCAAGGGCTCAAAGGAAATAGAAATTGTAGTATGAAGTTCATAGTAAGTACAAAACAGTCTTGAATTGATATCATTTAGAATATAGCGTAACAGTGTTCTTTATTACTTCAAAGGAACCATTGGTAAAATCCAACCCCACGTAAAAAACTAAGTTTTAGCATAGTCTAGATTAAAAATATACAATCAAACTTTCCTGTTTTATTTTGAAATAGTATTCAAATAATAATGCTTCCCTCCTTTTTTCCAGATTGGGCTCCTTTTCATCCTGAGCCAGTGTACATCCCAACAGGCCTTGAAATGGAACCTCTTTACCCAAGCTCCAAAGAAGACATGGTGGTTTACCTGGCAGAAGATGGTGGGCACAGTATGAGATACGTTGCTGGAAATTTAATTTGGTCCCTGGGTTAATATCTTAGTTGTATTTGTTTTATGGTTTATAGTGGCAATTTTAGTTTGCCAGGAAGTCTGTGTCCCTATGAAAGTGTATGTGTGCATATGATTCAGATGTTTAGTGTTGATTATATTTTTGAAGATGTATAGCAGTTCAAAAATATAACATCTGGCTGGGCATGGTGGCACTCACCTATAATCCCAGCACTCAGGAGGCAGGAGGCAAGAGGATCACTGCAAGTTTGAGGTCAGCCTAGGCCCCATAGTGAGTTTGAAGCCATTGTGAACTACACGATAGGAGGGCTGGGGATATAGTTCAATTGCACAAGTGCCTGCCTGGCAAGTGGAAGTCTTGAATTCAATTCCCACTATCCCCCGACTCCCAAAAAAGATGAGCTACACAGTGAGATCCTACCTCAAAAAACAAACAAACAAAAAAAATTATGATGGCTCTTAGAATGGAGAGTTGTATTTTAAATGAATTATGTGTCATGAATTTTCAATGCAGTGGAATTCACAGCTGTTTCTTCCTTTTACATCTATAGCTTGCATTCACTCAATCATTCAAATGGTTTTCTTTCAATTACATACCTGTTTGATACATTCCATGGGGTTATTATCTTTAAAAGAGAAAATATATTCAAATCACATCTAAGATTTTATCTCAGAAAAATATTCCTTAACGCTCAAGATCAGTATTTGCACTTTGTGAGCTTTATTAAAGCAAAATCTTTTGCTTGCTCTTTTGAGAAAGCAGATAATCAAACAAAAAGCTCAGCTTATATCCTGTGTTGTACTGCCTCTGAAGCATTAATGTGAGGAATTAGGGGACTCCTGAACAAATTTACTATCAGAGCTCAATATTTTGATGTTTTCATATATTTAAAAACTTTCCAGGAAGCATATGAAGTGTGATTGAAATATACAGTAAATGTTCAAATAAGAAATATTTATTACAATAAGAGGTATATTGCCATCAGTCCCCCTCAGAATACTCCCAGTTGCTTCAAACATATTTATCCCATTGTTCTTGCCATTTTCTGAAGCCGTTCTGGAAGTCCTCTTTTGTGAATGTGTTCATAAGGTATGACCAAAAATAATACTAGTGAACATCCCTGCCAGTAGCCATCCAACAGAAAGGCAGGCCTGTAAAAACCTTACAGTGTGTCTTCATCCCCCTTATTCACCACGTCTGGCACTGGGCGACTTCCGGCTCTTCCCCAAAGTCACAGTGACCATGAAAGAGAAACATCTTAAATCAGTTCAGGCCCCCATGACAACACAACTAAAGACGCTCATGACTTCCAGAACTGTTTCAGAAAGTGGCAGTAGTGATGGGCTAAATGTGTGTGAAGCAAGGGGAGTATTTTGAGGGGGATTCCTGGTAATGTGCCTTTTACTGTAACAATCTTTTTAAAGTCATCGACAGCAACATCAACAGTAAACATCAACAGTAGTAGTTGATGTTTAAAATCATCAACATCAGCATCAACAGTAAACATCAACGGTAGTTTTTAATTGCACTTCATACATATTTTATTTAAGGTCTGGAATATAGCTCAGTGGTGCAACACCTGCCTGGCAAGTGTGAGGTCCTGAGTTCAATTCCCGGTACCATAAATTAATTAAGTAAGTAAGTAAGTAAAACACATTTTGTTTAAAGAGCTAGCAAGACAGAAATTCACAAGGACTGTTCCCTGTATAGTCAGCTATTCTAGAAATCAAGCCATATACTTTTAAGTAACTGAATGTTATGAGCTGTTTCCACGCATTTGGACCAAGTATAGAACAGAGCTATATAGGGTCTTTGAAAAAAGAGATAAGAACATGAAGTGGGCCCATGTTTAGGTCTGGATTTCCACCTAGGGTGATTTTCTGGACTACAGTTTAGGAAAGTGGTATTTAAGAACAGCAAGACAGCTGGGCATGGTACACATCCCTGTTAGCTCACACACATACTTTTAAGTAACTGAAGTGAGAGAAGTACCACTGAATTCTAAAATTTGATTTCAAATATTTACATGGGTGTTCTGCCTTCAAGCTTACACCGACAATTGAAATAAGAGCTGACGAACAAAACCAAGGTGAGATAGTCAGGATCCCACCAGGGATGAGGTGACACACAGAGTAACTTAGGAGAGTTCAGTGAAGTTGAATGAATTTACAAAAGGGCGAACAGTGTGAGGAAGACTAGCAAAGGATGGTGGAGTGACATTAGCTTGCCAACAGAGCAGACTGAGAATTCTCCTACCTGAACGGATAAGAGCACAGGATGGTTTCCCGAGCTGTAGAAACTCAGCTGTGAGAGGCAATTCCCAAACAACTGTGGCCTTCAAACAGTTGCTAACATGGGCAGTGAAGGCAGAGGCAGTTGAAGAAGTAACTCAGTTCCACTTCGTCCAGACTGCCGTGCTCTACAGTCCATCCTGTTGGCCATGGCCAAGAGGCAGGGGAGCCTTGAGGAAGCCCATAGATACAAACCTCTCAAGCAACAGATAATGTGGAGATGCGTAGAGGATGGATCTGGAGCTAGAAATACAACAGCCACAGCCGTTAACATCTCATTCTTATGCCATTTGGGGGGATTTGTGAAGATCTGCTTGGAGGAAAGTTACCACGTTTAAGAAGGAAAGGTACTGTCCATTTTTGTGAAAGATATCTTGTAGAGAGTCTTTGTTATATTCTTTTCTTTTAAAAAAATGTTGAATTTTGTTCAAGCAAGTAGATAAATTGTTGGCAGATCACTTTGCTTCTTTCAGGTATGGTTTTTTTTCTTTCTTTTTTTTTTTTTTAAGGGCAGGTCTAATTTTATTTTATCCTTAGTGAGAAGTCAGAGCCTTACCTCTTGGATGTGGCCCTTACGCAAAAGGTATAGCCTTTCTAAAGTTGCAATTAAAGCCTGTGGTGTTCTGTGAACTCTTTCATCCTGGATAAATTGGAATTCCAGGACATACACAACTGTACATCCTCTGAAATCTCAGTACACCTTAGTCTCATTCTGTGACTGTGTAGCTGAGCCCTCAGCTCAGTGAACAGTTAGGGAGCCACTATTTAAACTATTGAGGCCCTCTTTTTCTGTGACTTTCTTCTTTCTGGTGCCCTGCCTCACAAATTTCAGCAGTATGAAGTATTATTAAACAGTCTTAACTTACCTCAGTAAGACTGTCATTTATTTATTTATTTTTTCAGTACTGGAGGTTGAATCCAGGGCCTTCACACTGAGAAGTCCTTTTTTTATTTTTCATTTTGAGACTGGGTCTCACTAAGTCTCTAAGTTGGCCAGACTGGGTCTAAACTTATAATCCTCCTGCCTCAGCTTCCCAGAGTTCTGGGATGACAGGGATGTGTACCATACCCAGCTGTCTTGCTGTTCTTAGATACCACTTTCCTAAACTGTAGTCCAGAAAATCACCCTAGGTGGAAATCCAGACCTAAACACGGGCCCACTTCATGTTCTTATCTCTTTTTTCAAAGACCCTATATAGCTGTGTTCTATAGTTGGTCCAAATGCATGGAAACAGCTCATAATTTTTGTCGTTTTATAGTCATTCACAGTGAAAGGGAAAGTTCTGGTTACGATAAAGTTTCACTTTATCATAACCAGAGGTAGAATGAATATTTTCAATATGAAAAATACATAAATTTATTTTAGATGCTGCTTTTCTAGTCTAAGTACTGATAAACTCTAATACCAGTGTACACAAATTAGTGTCAAGTTACTTTAAATTTAAAATCCTTCTACTTGTAGGACTGTAGTTTTGAACTCTATACAGAAGAGGCTGCATACTCTAGACATGTCTTGACCTCTTTATGGTCTTCGTCTCTCATCAGCTTACAAAGAGCCCTGTTTTGTATATTCCCGAGTTGGAGGCAACCGAACACCTTTGAAGCAGCCTGTGGATGGTTATGACAACACTCTGATGTTTGAAGCAAGGTTTGAGAGTGGTAATCTACAGAAGGTAGTCAAAGTGTAGGTTTTAATTATTTTTATTTGAGGAGCTAGACCATTAGGTATTTATTATAATCTGTATTATGTACATTAAAAATTCTTAATATTCATTACTCAACTGTAATTCCAGAAGTGTAACTGCTAATTAGAGGTATCAAGGGTTTCCAACATTTATTTCACCTGCTCCAGGTCATTACTTATAATTATATACACATCCATATCTTTAAAAGACACTTGGGGGGCTGGGGATTTAGCTCAGCGGCAAAAGCGTCTGCCTGGCAAGCGCAAGGTCGTGAGTTCGGTTCCTGGTACCGGAGAAAAACCAAAAAAAAAAAAGACACTTGGTAAAGGAAACAGTCACAAATAACCAAGTAAGATTGTTATGCATATAAAGAATATTCATGTGAAAAACTTTACTTTAACTTAAGCATCTTCAGTGACTAAGCATATGGTACAGATAGTTATCAAATACTGTCCTTGTATCAAAGGAGCTCACATTTTATAGTCTATGTGATTGCATTAATTTACATGTGTCTTTAAACCTTTCAGTGAAAGTTCTGTCATATCCCTAGAACTGGAATTATTAGAAAATACAATTATGTATCAGAAGTTAAAAATTTTGGATTTTCCTTTGGTTTGAACAACTCTTTAATCATTTATTTAAAAAAAAAACAATTACATTGAAATATGTACATTTTTACCAGGTGCTTGTGTTTTATGTATATCCTTGAATTACAAAAGAATACAAAGCATTTGGAAGTAGCATAATGTATTAGTCAACTTTTTGTTCCTAGAACACAATGTCCAACACCCACAACTCGAAGGAGGAGAGGTTTAAATGGCTTATGGTTTCAGAGGACTCACTTCATGGTCAGCTGGCTCTAAGGCAGAAACCTCATGACAAAAGGGCATGGTAGAGCAAAGATGCTCAGTTCATAGTAGCCAGGAAGCAAAACAGGGGCTGGGGACCAAATATGGAGCCCAAAGTTACACCTCCACAATCCACCCAAACACTCCTAAAAGTGTAGTCTCCCAGTTGTCTAGGCAGTTCTCAAACCAATCAAGCTGACAATTAAGCTTAGCCATTGCATTTCATTCCTGGTCAACTTGACACCCAAACACATCTCCTTAAACCATACTTAATATCCAAATAAATACAGTAGGGGCTGGGGATTTAGCTCAGCGGTAAAAGCGCCTGCCTGGCAAGCGCAAGGTTGCGAGTTCGGTTCCCAGTACCGGAGAAAAACCAAAAAAAAAAAAAAAAAACAAATAAATATAGTAACATGTTCATATTTCCACCTAATGTGATACAGCCATCCTGCATGCAACTAAAAATGCATTATCCCTTCCCCGAAGTCTCAACTCTTCTAGCATTTCCCACAAGTCAAAGTCAAAGTCTCCTTTGAGACTCACCTCTTCGTTTGTGAACCTTTGTAAAATTCAAAAGCAAGTTACTTAATCCCAAAGTGCAATTGCAGTTTCTCATCTAAGAAATGAGAAAATTTCAAAACTTTTATCTTCTACTTAATCTAAGTAAACACTGCTTCCCAAAAAAGCTTACTGTGAAGAAAACTTCTAAAACTTAAATAATTTTACTCCTTAATTTAAACTCAAATATCATTTTCACATTCATATGTGTTTTTATCTTCCTTTTTTATGTATTAGGGCAGAATATGAATACCAATTGACTGTGCGCCCTGACCTCTTCACAAATAAACATACACAGTGGTACTACTTCCAAGTGACTAATACCCAAGCAGAAATGGTCTACAGATTCACTATTGTCAACTTCACCAAGCCTGCTAGTCTTTACAATCGTGGTATGCGCCCACTGTTCTATTCCGAAAAAGAGGCCAAAGCTCATAATATTGGCTGGCAGAGAATAGGAGACCAGATCAAGTATTACAGGAACAACCTGGGGCAAGATGGACGCCATTTTTTCTCTCTTACATGGACATTTCAATTTCCACACAACAAGGATACCTGCTACTTTGCTCACTGCTATCCATACACTTACACCAACCTGCAAGAATACCTTTCTGCCATCAACAATGATCCTGTCCGGTCAAAGTTTTGTAAAATACGTGTTTTGTGCCACACGCTTGCTAGGAACATGGTGTATGTTTTAACCATTACCACTCCCTTGAAGAACACTGACTCCAGAAAACGAAAGGCTGTGATTCTGACTGCAAGGGTCCATCCTGGAGAAACCAACAGCTCCTGGATTATGAAAGGCTTCCTTGATTACATTTTAGGAGACTCAAATGATGCACAGTTGCTTCGGGACACTTTCGTCTTCAAGGTGGTACCCATGCTGAATCCAGATGGTGTGATTGTGGGAAATTATCGGTGTTCCTTAACTGGACGGGATTTAAACCGTAATTATACATCTCTTATGAAGGAGTCCTTCCCTTCCGTCTGGTATACCCGGAATATGGTTCATAGGTAAAGTAAACCTCAAATTACCTCTCTGCTTAATTAGTAAAGTTGTTAGTAAGAATTTTGTTCCCATTCGTGTTACTTTAGCCTTTTTTAAGATAGTTTATAACTGCTTTTTCTGTATTCTTTACAACGCTTATTCCATACCCTTCGGGCATCTATACCACTACTTTCACTATCTGCCTCTTAAATAATGAAATAAGTTCTCGAATATTTTGATGGTTCTGTAAACTAATAGGAAATTTGTATATCCCAAATTTGGTTTCTTGATAAAAGCTAACAGTACCATTGATGTTTGCGCTGGTATTACTATACCCCTTATATGTGAAAATTAACATCTCAGAGAGCCCTCTGGCATTGTGTTGCTCATACCTTGCTGGACAAGCTTTTGACTATCAGGTTATATCATTATTTAAACTTTCATGAATAATAGTTTTATTTGCCCCTAGGAAAACTGAACAGCTTTAAATTTTCCAAAGAATCTCAAACAGTAAACTGCACATAATATTTAACTATTTATTGAATGACTAGGTAAATACTTGGAGAGATTTGGATAATAACAATTAGGAATAGACATGTGCTGCAGTAGAATGATTTATTAAAGTCAGAACACCTATTCCAAATCCAAAACCCCTTAACCTTTTTTATTAACAGCATGGATTTCAGAATTAAGCATATTGTATTGAAATCCCTGCTATATCATTTACTATCATTTACTAATTACTATTAGTAATAATTATTAGTAATTATTATTACTAATTACTATTACTATCATTTACTAATATTGTCATAGAGAATGCTATCTCTTTAACATTACTTTGTGCAATTTAAAAACCAGTCTAAGTCTCGGTTTTATCATCTGTAAGATGGGAATAATAATGATACCTCAAAGGTGAGAGAATTATATGAGAAAACTATTACTAATATGCTCAGAATAGAGACAGGCACACTGAAAACTAAAGTATAGCCTGTAATGCCAGCATTCAGGGGGCTGAGGCAGGAGGATCACTGCAAGTTCAAGGCCAGCCTGTACTGTATAATGAGTTCAAGGCCAGCCTGAACTACATAGCAAGACTCTGTCTCAAAAAGAAAAAAAGAAAAGCGAAAGTATTCAATTCAATGTGATTCTTCAACTGTAAAAAGAAAAAAGGTAATTAAGTCAAACACAGGTGTGAAAACTCATTGGAAATTGTTTAGAGTTATTCAAATGTTACAACAGTGAATATTGTCATAGCGAATGCTATCTCTTTATCCAGTTTTGTTACTAGGACTCCTCAGAGTAGCAAGCACAAGAACCCCTACAAAGCTAAGGGCCCCAAGAATACTTTCCGTTCTTCTGAGGAGATGACAGGTTTTAGAAGCACCTGGAATGGCTCCTGGTATCGGACAGTTTAACCACAACTTTCACTTTCACAGTAATCCTTTTATCTGCTTAAGAACATAGAAAGTGAAGTGCAGAGTCCCACCATAAGGCTGAAAGCCCCAGTTTTTATTCTTGTAAATGTGAATCCCACTATTGCTTAAAATTATTTGGGAAATATTTAAGTAATAAAAGAATAACCCATGACTTCTTTTTTTCCTGGGGATGCAAACAGTAAAAAAGAAAGGTGTGTGCAAAATGGCGTTCTGGATTGGCTTTGGGTATAGAAAAAATGATACTGATGGAAAAACTAAGGAAATCCAAACAAAGTTGAGACTTTAGTTAATAGTAATGTGCCAGTGTTTGTTTGTTTTAGTAATGTACCGCGGTTATGTAACATGTTGACATTAGGGGAAGCTAGGAGAGAAGTGTATGACAATACTCTCTATCTCTGCAACGTCTATGTAAATCTAAAGTTAGTTCAAAACAACAAATTTTGTAGTTAGATGATTGATGATAGATGATAGATACATACATACATACATACAGAGAGATACATACAGGCATAGACGTGAAGATAATAGGAGTTGGTGAGTGCCTACTAAAATGTCTATAATGTCTACTCAATGTTCTTTGACATTAAAAGTTCCTGATCTGACACATGTTTGATTACAGGCCAATACCCTTGGGCTTGTCTCTCTGGAAACTCTTTTAAATATACTAGTTCTCATATTGCCTTGTAGGAAGGTTGAAGCAGAAGTCTGTTTAGCAAGTTTCAGAAAGACTTCCAGAAAATGAAATACTTTAATGTTAATTAATCAAAGGTAGGTAAATAAAATAAGGAGTCAGTCACACATGTTTGCAAAGGTGAATGCTGTAAGTATATCTAACTACATTTAAAGCATATTAACCAGGCTTAGTGGCGCATGCCTGTAATCCCAGAACTCAGAAGGCTGAGGCAGGAGAATCATTGCAAGTTTCAGGTGTTCCTGGGCTACAAAGTGAGCCAGCCTGAACTGCATAGTGAGACCGTCTCAAAAAGACAAAAATAAATAAGTAAATAAAACACATTAGAATAAGATACTTAGAATAAAATAATTATAATATCTGAGTTAACTGTGGGTAAGAAGAAGATCCAAATTGTTCCTAAAGTTATTTTAATTAATGTAAGGTGAAAGACACTAATGTCTGTTTTACTTCAGAAGTAATACTACTACTTTGGAAATTAATTTGAAATTTCTTTCCACTAAGTTATAAGAAGCTGAAAGATCATTAAACTGAGAAATTTAGGATTTAAAAATAGGGGCTGGGGATTTAGCTCAGCGGCACTGCGCCTGCCTGGCAAGCCCAAGGTCATGAGTTTGGTTCCCGGTACTGGAAATAGAAACCAAAAAAAAAAAAAATATATATATATATATATATATATATATACAGCATGCTGCATACTTAAGGATTTATCTTGATATTCATGCTTTATAATCTAGTTAGTTTTCTAACTAGTAATGATCTTTTGGTGTCTTTATGTCAACTGCATGTTATCAATTAGAATTTATTAGGCACCAAAAGAGATAAAGGCAATATATTAATATATTAACAGATTTTAGTTTGAAATTTTATTACAGTTTAAGGAGTATTTTTAATAAAAGCAGTGCTTTAGGTGTTTTGATCTTAAGTATTTTTGTAATATTTCATATAATATTGCTAGCATTTTCATACTTATAATAATAAATAGTACGTAATCTTACTAAGTAATAGAATGCTATATAAAGCTTGACTATATGAAGAAAGACAGTGTCAGTTATTCCATTTTAACGCCATTTTTTTACCTTTTGAAAGCCTTTATTAGTAATTTTCATCAAGCAGTTTGAGGGGCTATTTTTTATTGTTTTAATATCATTGAGTGCTGAATTATATAGACTAAGGATTGGGCTCTTCAAAAATTACCATAATTTCTTTTCTTTACGATACTTATTAGAAATTTATGTGTTCATTTTTTAGCAAATATCTGGGTACTTATATGCAGATCACCATTCTAAATAATTTAAAGTGTTTTTCATCCTTAACGAGCTTAAATATCAAAAGTATGAAAATGCCTAGGCAAGTGCCAAGTAAATGATACCAGTAAAGTGCTGTAGAACTTCAAAAAGAGGAAAATCAATGGACTTGACGAGTTAGGTAAGAAGTGAGACTGAGAGTTTGGTTTTGAAGGATGGTAAGTATTTGCACTTATAAAGATACATAGGGAAGGGATTTCAGTGAGAGTCTATGGGAAAGGTAATGTGTTGGGAGCAGCTGAAGCTGGAAATTGGTCATATGTGTGAGGGCAGGACAAAGCCAGAGTGTCTCAAGCAGTCAAGGTACCTCAGTCTTGAGAAAAGCATCCTACCTGGACAATGCAGTCATTAGTAGCTAGGCAACCTTGTCTCTTGTGATAGTAACCTTGCAAGAGTATAAATAACTGCCCCTTCTGTTGTTGTTCAGGTCCTCTTCCCCACCAGGTGAAGAGGCAGCTTCCACCTGACCCAGCTATTTGTCTGTTGTCTATCTTTTCCCCATACTCACCATTGTTCCTCCCTGGGGTACACCGAGAGACCAGCGAGTCCCTACAGTAATGGGCAGAGAGAGATGTGATTTGTTTTCTGTGCACGGCAGAAAATCAGGTTGATACAGCACAGAGATCTTGCTGGAGCATCTTGAGAATAAATTTGTCCTTATACCGGCACATTACACAATTCAAACTCTGTGTATAGCTTTACAGGAAATAATAAATTTCTTTAAAGTGCCTAATAATAATAATATATCATATAAATATAAGAGAAAGACTTGAAAGCTAGGATATAAAAAATTCTAATTATTTAGATACAACATTTTATAACTGAGCCCACAGAAGAAAATTCAGAGGTAAAATTTAGTAACATCCTTTTTCTTCTTGGTAGATTGATGGAGAAACGAGAAGTTATTTTATATTGTGATCTTCATGGCCACAGCAGAAAAGAAAACATCTTCATGTATGGCTGTGGTGGTAGTGACAGGTCTAAAGCACTATACTTACAGCAACGAATATTTCCACTTATGCTGAGTAAAAACTGTCCGGATAAAGTAAGTCCTCTAGGATTTTAACTTTTCCTTTAGTAAAGGTTGTCCATGCAGGACTCAATAACCTGTATTTTTATTTATTCTGACTGATTTATACAGTTTACCCTAAGAAAGAAAAACAATGTGGAACTGTCTAGTGACCAGCAATTTTACAACATTAAAAAAAACAAAAATTCCCATAGTCCTAAACTCTTAAAATTACCTTCATTTTACATTTGACACTTCCTCTATTTGCCATTTTCATGAGTTTAGTGGCCTTATTTTTTATTGCTTTAATGTTTACTCAGTGCTTTATATAAGCTAAAGATACAAGAAATTTAGAATAGTGCTTTTAGTTGTATCTATTAGAATTTTAACAAGAAAAATGAGCAATATTTCAAAAATATACAGAAGTTAGAATGAGAAAGAGAACAATATATAAATATTTGCGGACTAGAAATGTGGAGCTACTCAGCTACCAGGATGTAAAAATAATGTTCTCTATTCTTTGAAGAAAAGATTTTACTTTAACAAAGAAAATTCCTACAGACTTCCTCTTAGGTTTTCAACTACCCAATTCAATTGTAAAGGGCTCACTAGGAAGTACTCATTTTCTGGGCGTGATTAGGGCCCAAAGACGTAAAAAGGAAAGTTGATGTGGTAAGAATAGTTATTTGCAGAAAGCACAGGCATTTACTACCCAAATAGTACTCATCACTTCAAAAGGAGCAGAGGAAGCAGCCCCATACCTGAAGCTATTTATATATAAAGTTACGTCAGTATTCATAGGGGTATTTATTACTCCTATAAAGTGATCCCATTTTGTTAAGATATTTCAATATTTGTCTACTGATACATTTCTTTGGGTCTTAGATCTCTAGCCAGTTGTACCTTAAGTGAAATGGACCAGTTTCTTAAATATCACAACCAACCAGTTCAGAGTTTGAACAGGTCTCCCACACAATGCAAACACAGAAGAGCCAGGCTTGATGGTACACAACTATAATGCCAGCACTCAGGAAGCTCAGGAAGGGGGACTACTGTGGGTTTGAGGCCATCCTGGCCTGTACAGTGTGTTCAAGCTCAGCCTAAACTATACAGTAAGCTCCTATCTGAAAGAAATGAAAATAAACGAAACAAACCCATATTTTAAGCATATTTTAAACAAAGACCTCCATTTCTAGCTTTTATCTTAAATGTTCCTCATGAAAATCTCAGTGCAACTAAACTAAAATCAAAATTGATCAAAGATCTAAATAGTAAAACAAAAACACTAAGTCTGCTGGAAGATAGAATAGGTAGAACTCTTGAAGACATAGGTGCAGGCAAAGGCTTTATGCACAAAACCCTGATCACGTGGGATATACTACAAAGACTCAACAACTGGGTCTCATCTTACTAAAAAGCTTATGCACAGCAAAAGAAATCACCAACAGAGTAAAGCGACAACCAAGGTGTGGGAAAAAAATTTTGCCAGCTGTTCCTTAGACAAAAGACTAACATCTAGAATATACTCAAAAAAATCAGACCCCCAAATTTAAAGACCCAACTCAAAATGGGCATCTGAAGTTACTAGACATTTCACAGATGAAGTAGAAACAGCAAATAAATACATGAAAAAAATGTTCAACATCACCAGTCATTCGAGAGATGCAAATTAAAATAATGCTGAGATTCCATATCACTGTCATCAAGAAATCAACCAATAACAAATGCTGACAGGGCTGTGGGGAATGAGGAACCCTTCTCCACTGTCTGTTGGTGAGAGTGCAGACTGGTGCAACCACTGCGGAAATCAGTGTGGAGATTCCTCAAAAAACTAGGACTAGAGGTCCCATTGGACCCAGCTATTCCCCTTCTTGGTATCTTTCCTCAAAAAGTAAAAGCATCATACCACAGCAATATATGCACACTCATAACAGCATAGTTTGTAATACCTAAATCTTAGAAACAGCCTAAATGCCTATCAGTGAATGAGTGGGTAAAGAAGATGTGAGTTTTTTAATGCAGTGGAGTACTACTCAGCCATAAGTACAGATAATCTTAAGACATTTCTAGCTAATTAAATGGATGCATTTTGAAAGCATACTCTGAAGTGAAATAAATCAGACATACATGTGTAAATACCACATTGTTTCTCTGGGTAAGAAACCAAAAGTGTAAATAAGGACCAAAATGTATAATAGATATTGTGAAATAAGAAGAAAATGTACAAATGGGAAGGGGAACTAGGGGGCAGGGAGAAAGAAAAAATGAGAAAAGAAGGAAAAAATGGAAACTAAACTCTTAGAAATAGGGACAGGAAGTGGGTTTGAAGAGGGGAGGGCAATGGGGAAAAAAAGAATCATATATCATGTATAGTGAAAGGGAAAGAAACTGCTCAAGAGAAAAGAACAACTGGGATGGGAAAAAGAAAAGGAAGGGGAAAAGGATATGTATATATACACATGATAGCTAAGATAATTATACTATCAATTTCTGTTAGTTCACTGAAAGGAAGTGTTAGTGCTTTGATGAAAATTATTTCATCAGTTTTGCATGCCTGTACCATCTGAGCAACTACTTTGAAGATAACAATATGCAATATAATAACCATTGTTTATTTACTATCATCTTGTTTTGAAATTCTGTATCATTATTGGTGAGTTTTCAGTCTCTTTTTTGTCTCTTAAAAAAAAGATATATCATGTACAGGTACAGATTCCACGTGATGAATGTGATTATTATGTATACCTAAAATGTACCAATAAATTTAAATAATTAAAAAACCTCTGTGCAAATCCATAATTATAGTTGGATTTTTCAAATTTCTGTCTCAGTAAACAAGAACTGGTAGGTAGGCAGTAAGAAAGGATGTTTAAGAACTGAACAGCACCATCAACTAACCAGATTTAATTGACATTTACAGAACATTCTACTGAACAGCAGTATACACATTATATTCAAATGCACAAGGAACCAATTTAGAGACCCAATCTAAAAATCAGTAGGGTGATGTCTCAAAAAACTAGGATTGGCAGTCCCATTGGACTCAACTATTCCCCTGCTGGGTATCTTCTCAGAAGAATTAAAAACATCATACCATAGTGATGTATTTAAAATAATCCATGGCCCAAAGAGGCAATCTGAAAGAAGATTAGAGTTTACCCTGAAGGAAAATGTGGAAGCAGCTCAGGTCACCATGAGGAAAGCTGGAATAGCAAGCTCTTCACAGCTTTAGTGTGTCCTTTATACGGTCCTTATATTTCCTTGAGAAAATCCACAAGAACTTCTACATATGGGTCTTCAGAGGCAGTGCTGGGATCCCAAGTCTCAGGCTGACATCAGGTCTAGGCCATCCTATTGATCCAACCTGCTCAAGTTCTCAGGAAAAGTCCATGTGCAGATTTGGGAAACTGTCCAGGATCTTTAAATTAACAAGTCAAGTCTATTTCCACAGCCGGATTTGCCACACCCTAATCACCTATCTCGATAGTGCTTAGAAGAAATTGAAAGAAACAGAATGAAGAGTAGTATAACTGCAGACCTTGCGAAAGGCCAATAAAGGAAAAATCAACTCCATGCACAGAAACCAAACAACTTGTATGAAATGAACCAATTCCTCGAAAATGACAAATTACCAGAACTCACCAAGGTAAAATGCATAGTCTGAATGGTCCTAAAAAAGATTCCAAAAACAACCTTTAAAATATGAAATGTCCAGATCAATAGAGTCACTATAGAATTGAACCAAATATTTAAAGACTGTGTTTTCCAGGATGATCATATCAACACAAGACAAAGACAGTCTACAAGGAAAATACAAACTGTCTTCTATGAACATAGATGCAAAAATCCCCAACAAAATATTAGCATGTTAAATCCAGCAATGTATAGAAAGAGTAACACATTATGACCAGATTGGGTTTATCACAAGAATCTAAGACTAGTTCATATTCGTAAATTAATCACTATAATCCATTATGTTAAGGGCCTACAGAGGAAAAGCTACATGGTTGCATCAGTAGATATAGGAAAAACACTTAACAATTCAGGATCCATTTATGATAAAAAATTCCAGCAAGTGTCAAAATAAAATAATAATTCTGCTTTAAGGGAAATAAGAAAATAGTTTGTTCTGAACAGACTATGAATGACCGTGACCCAGGAACACGGATTCAAGTTACCTGAATGACACGTTGCACAATGGAAATTTACATGAACTGCTATAGTCTCAGAATGAAAAAGAGGTGTGGATCAACCTGTTTGTAAAACACATAGATGGGATCATTGGAGGAGTGGGCTACAGAAAGGTGAGAGATCCCTTCTGTGAGGTTCTGATGTGATTACACATCATCAGAGGCTAGAGTTGTTTCACGCAGAGCAATACATTCTGAGAGTTTTATGTAGAGGCCGCCAGAACACCAGGTCAGATATAGAGGTTGATAATAAATGGCTATTAAAGGAGCTAAAGATAGCCCAAGATAACTCTAGCTGTTCTACAACATACCTGCTCTACATAATTATGGTATTCTAATAAGTCATGATCAAGCAGTGTGCAGAATGTGGATGTATTAAAGTTCACCCATGAAAAAATATTTTGGCCTGTTTCTAATTTTTTGAAAATATGATAAAACTGCTATTTTTACATAAAGGAATGGATATGGATACATGCAGCATTCTGAGTAAATCTCAAAAGTCTTATTTAAGAAAGAAGTCAGTCTCAAAAGCTTGAATACTGTATGATTCCATTTGTATAACAATAAAAAAGACAAGAGCATAATGATAGCGGTTGACTTGTTGCCAGGGTGGAAGGTGGCAGGAAGGCATAACTAAAGAGCTAGCATGAAGTTTTTTATGGCAAAAAAACTATTCTGTATTCAGATTATGGTGGTTGCTCTGCAGATCTCGACGTGTTAAAATTCACAGAATGGAGCATGTTAATTTTATTTTATGTGAATTAAAAAATAAAATTAGCTTCCTAAATCTCTAGACCCTGATCTCCTTACAGAAATTTTTCAGGACATCTTTCAAGTAGTCTTTCCTATGAAAACAAAGAATCTTTGTTCTTTCTAGAAGTCTGTATCCCTGAACTGCATTCTGAAACATGTATAAACCTCTTCCTAGGACTTTTTAAAAGGTATAAAATCCTGTCTCAATGATACAAAGAATTAATCAGCTGATTTTGAATATATGCTAGATAAAAATTTTAAAAATTTATTGCAGAAATTAAAATCTGTGGTCCCCAGAAATAAATCATGTTTAAATGAGTTACTTCCATTGATTGGGAAATGAAGAGTAGGTCTTTAACCTTTAATGAGAATTACATGTCTTACACAACTACTTTTTCATTTTCAAATTTTGTAAGAAAGATAAGGTTCTTGTTTTTATTTGCTTCTTTTCAGTTTTCTTTCTCATCTTGCAAGTTTAATGTTCAGAAGAGCAAAGAAGGAACAGGAAGGGTGGTGATGTGGAAAATGGGAATCAGAAACAGCTTTACCATGGAGGCCACCTTTTGTGGATCTACTCTGGGTGAGGCCAGGTGTTCTCATTTACTTCTCTGTCTCATGTCATTAAGCATAAGGTGAAATTAATAATATAGACCAGTGATGGTGAACCTTTTAGAGACCGAGTGCCCAAACTGCAACCCAAAACCCACTTATTTATCATGAAGCACCAACACTGCAATTTACTAACCACCAGGGCAAGGGGACATGTTCTGCTGAACACCAGCCTTAGACCTGCTCTGAAAAAGGCATCTGAGTGCATTTCCTACCTTGTGAGGGCTTCTGCTAAAACCACAGCCAGTCCAAGCAATATATATCCTTGCTCTTGTTTTCAGAAATTCTTCACAAACAGCTAAATAAGATGCTGCAGATTTAAATATGCCAGGGGTATAGTACAACATTAGAAGAATCTCAGTATCTTAATTAAGACATCTCTTTGCTAAATCTTAGATACTAAATTTCAACTTTTCATAAGAAAACTATAAGCTAAAATCTTGTGTTAATAAAAACAATGTATTAAAGCTCACAGCCAGTCCAAGCAAATATATGTATAGCCTTGGTAGTGCACTGATCAGTCATGCCCATGCAAAACCGAATCACATTATCGCCTGGTGCCGCTACTCCTTTCTGAGCATGCTCATGGCCCCTATGTGCAGTTAGGGGCAATGCTGGGGCAACTTGGCTTGTGTACTAATACAGAGGGGTCTGTGTGCCCACTGTGGCATGCATGCCATAGGTTCACCACCACAGGTGTAGGCCATTTGATAGAGAGTACATTCTTTCTATTAAATGCATGCTGTGTTAAATCAGTTCTACAAACAGGATGAATAAATTTCCATTACATGGTATCTCTATTTCATCATTTCCATTTGTTTAGAAAGGAATATTTTAGCATGTACATAAAATACTCTAAATGGTCCTTTCCTAAACTAATCTTCAAATGCGTATTTTTTTAAAAAGAACTCCTATAGATTTTTTTATTGGGAATTCCTGGTTACTTTAAGAAAAAAATGCACATACTTAAAATGTTATGGCAGAAATGTTTTTACTGAATGTGCTATTTGCAAAGCAAAATTAGACTGGCTGTTTTTAAAAATTTTATTGGTGCACTTTTGATATACATAATAATCACATTCATCATAGGGAATTTGTACCTGTACATAATATATCTCAATTCTTTTTTTCTCACCCATCTCCTTTCCCTTCAATCATTCTTCCCCTCTCCCTTTACAAAATATTGTTTCTATTTTTTCCTCCCATTCTTTATTTTATTTTATTTTGTTTTATCTTGTCAATTCATATTTTGTTGTTGTTGTTGTTGGTTTTTTTTGGTTTTTCTTCGGTACCAGGAACCAGACTCACGACCTTGCGCTTGCCAGGCAGGCGCTTTTACCGCTGAGCTAAATCCCCAGGCCCTTGTCAATTCATATTTAGAAGGAAAAACTTGGTTCTGTGAACTAAAAATAGAGGTCGATTTTGTAGTCCTATTTAAGTCTTTTAGTTATGTCGAGCATGGTACTCCATATTAAGATGATGGCACACTGTTAGAAAATATATCAACTCAAAGGAAAGTGCTAGGTGTCCACATATGATATTTCTGGCTTATTTTTAAACCATCTTGAAATTGATACTTTTTTGTGGTGATGAAATAGTTTTCTCAGAATCTTTTCCCATTTTTCTCAGAGTAATTAGTATCATTTATAACTGATAACCAAACATTCTGTAACTGTCTCACTGAATTAGCTTTTTCCGTGCAACATACATTGATGTGTGTTAAGTCAGCTTCAGTCCAAGTGGTGGAAGAAGAATAAAGAAAATAATAGTAAGCTCTCAAAATACCTTCCCCAGGAAAAGAAAATTCAAGTAGAATACAGCATCATATCCATGTTTTATTTATATTCTCTTGCAAGTTAGGCCTACTTGCAAAGAAAAGTGATTAACTCATTCCCTGGGGTGGATAAACTTATTGATGTTTTAGGTAATAAACGAGGCACTCACTTCAACACAAAAGATTTGGAGTCAATGGGATACCATTTTTGTGATTCACTCTTGGACTATTGTGATCCTGACCGGAGCAAGGTGAGCCAAGCCCGTTTGGTAAAACATCAGATGACACAACTTGCCTGGTATCGGTCTTCCCCTTTTACTATTCTAACAGTGTTCTGGGATGTTTTAGTATTTAATTTCCTAGTAACTATCATTCCAGATGTCTATAAATATTCGGATGGTTTAATTCGGAGATAATTACATACTGAATTTGTTTATAATTGTCCCTAGTATTATCAGTGCCTGAAAGAATTAGAAGAAATGGAAAAATGTATGAACATGGAAAAAGTCTTTGAGGACTCAGATTCTTGCCCAAGAGAAATCACACTGGATATAGAGTCCAGGTATGTCAAGACTGTTGAAGTAATGTATTTTGTTGTATTGTTTTACTCTGTTCCTTATAAAAATACCAAGATATTATTGTCAGTTCCACACTACAAATTCCCATTATACATGGAAAGAAGTTTCTCCCATGCACATTATTTTGGCCAATATCATCATGATTTCATTTGATTTATTTTTAAATTCAATATGAGCATCTCCATGTACAGTGTATAGTATTCACTTTATGTCAGAGACATAACAAGTAATTTTGTGCCCTCCCTCCCTCCCTCCTCTCTGTCTGACTGTGTCTCTGTCTCTGTCTCTCTCTCACCGTGTCTCTGTCTCTGTCTCTGTCTCTGTCTGTCTCACTCATAGATTTTATTTTTTAAACCAGTTTTAGTCACAGCAAAATTGAGTGGAAAGTACAGAGATGCCCCATATATCTCCTGCCCCTACACATGCATGGCCTCCACCACTATCAGCATCCCCTATGAGAATACATACTATAATTGCTGAGTTTATACTGGTATGTCATTGTCACCCAAGGTCCTTAGTTTACATGGTCCACTCTTGATGTGTGCATTCTATTCATCTGGACAAATTTATAGTGATGTTTATCAAACTTTATGGTATCAGAGTGTTTTCATTGCACAGATTCACTCAATAATCCACCTATTCCTCCCTCTCCACAACCCCTGACAACCACAGATCATTTTAACCATCTCCATAGTCTTGCCTGCTCCAGAATGTCATGTGGTTGGAATTGTACAGTATGTAGGCTTTTCAAACTGGCTTCTTTCAGCCAGCAATATGCATGTAAGTTTCTTCCACAGCTTTCCATGGCATAATAGCTCCCTTCATTTTGACATGGAATTGTATTCTACCATCTGAATAACCCAGAGTTTATTCACTCGCCTAATGAAGAACATTTTGGTTGCTTCCAACTTTTAGCAATTCTGAATAAACCTGCTATGAATATCTATGTGTAGGCTTAACTGTGGGTAAGTTTTCAAGTCCTTTAGGTAGATAACAAAGAGCATAAAAGCCAATATGAGAGTATGTTTAGTATTTTTTCTTTCAGAAATCTCCCTGTTTTATTTTTAACTTTAATACGCTAAAAACAGATCTACCCTCTTAATAAATTTTAAAGCATGTAATGTGTTCTTGTTGACCACTGGAACAGTGGAACAGCAGAGCTCTGGGACTTACTCATCTTCCATCCATTGGTGACCATTATCCATTCTTTGAGTCTGTGAATTTAACTATTTCAGATACCTTACATTAGTTGGTAGGATCATGCATTTGTGGTGTTTTTGTGACTGGCTTATTCCACTTAGTATAAGGTATTCACAGTTTATCCATGTTGTTACATATTTAAAAATCCTGTTTTTTATGCCAGAGATTGAAAATTTCCCCTTTTTAAAAGCTGAATAGTATTCCATATTTAATGGAATCATCTGTTGATAAATATGCAGTTGGTTCCCACATCGTGGCTAGTGTGATTAGTGCTCCACTAAAAGGGAATGCTAACATCTCTTCAGGCTGTGGGTTTCAGTTCTTTTGGATAAATACTCAGAAATGAGAATTGCTGGTTCCTATGCTAGTTCTACTTTTAGTTTCCTGAGAAACTTCCCTACTATTTTCAACAGCAGCTGCACCACTTTGCATTACAACCAGCAGTCTGCAAGATTTCCGGTTTCTTTACCCTTCCCATGCTTGTCCTTTGATTTTTGTTTAGTTTTGTTTGATAACAGCCATACTTACAGGTGTGAAGTGCTAGCTCATTGCGTTTTTGATTTTTATTTCCCTGTGATTAGTGATAGCAAACACATTTTCATACACCTGTTGACCATTTGTGTGTCTTCCTCACTGAACTGTGTATTCAGGAGCTTAGCCCACTTTAATTACTGAGTTTAAGCTCCTTATGTATTTTAGCTATTAATCCCTTAACAGATATATGGTTTCTGCAGACTTTTTCCCACTCCATACATTACCTTTTCACTCAGTTGTTTCTTTTCTGTGCAGAAGGTTGGTGTTTGATACAGTCCCACTTTTTTTTTTTTTGTTTTGTTGCCTGTGTTTTGGCATTATATCCATAAAATCATTGCCAAGATCGATGCATGGAGCTTTCTTCTTGTGTTTTTCCTAGGAACCTTACATGTTACATTTAAGTACACTATTTGGTACATTTTAGTTCATTTTTATAGTACAGTTTCAGTTTCATTCTTTTGCAGGTGGATATCAATTTTTCCGACACCATTTGTTGAAGAGACTATCTTTTCCCTACTGCGTATACTTGACACTCTTGAACATCAATTCATTGTAGATGTGAAAATTCACACTGGGGCTCTATATTTGACCCTGTTGGTTTACATGTCTACCTTTTTGCCAGTATCGCACTTGTTTGGTGTCAGTAGTTTTCTACTAAATTTGAAATGAGAGTGATGCCTCTAGTTTTCTTTCTCAAGATGGATTTCACTATTAGTAGTCTTTTGTGACTCATATGAATTGTAGAATTAGTTTCTCTATTCATATAAGAAATCTCAATGGTTTTTGACAGAGATTACATTGAATCTGTAGCTTGTTTGGAGTATAGACATTTTGACAATATGAAGTCTTCTAATCCATGAATAGTGAACATCTTTCTGTTTATTTGTGCCTTCTCTTTCTTTCATCAATGTACAGTTTTCTGTGTACAGGTCTTTCACTTCTTTGGTTAAATTTGTTCCTAAATATCTTTTTGTAGATATTATAAGTGAGGTTATTTTCTTCATTTCTTTTCCAGGTAGTTTATTGTTTGTGTATAGAGACGCTACTCATTTTGAAGTATTGATTTTGTAACCTATAACATTACTGAATTCATGTATTACTTTATACAGTTTTTAAAATTTTTTTATTTATTTATTTGCAGTGCTAAGGATAAAAGTCAGGACCTCATACATCATAAGCAAGTGTTGTACCACTGAGCTGTACCCACAGCCCAATTTTTCAGTTTTTTGGAGTCTTGGGGCTTTTCTACATGTAAAACCAGTTATCTAAAGCATGGACAATTTTTCCTTTCCCATTTGGATGCCTTTTATTTTTTTCTTTCTCGCCCAATTGCACTGGGTAGGCCTTCCAGTAGTATGTTGGACAAAAGTGATAAAAATAGGCTCCTTCTCTTATTCCTGATCTGAGAAGAAGAATTTTACTTTTTTTAACATTATGTTAGTGTTAGCTTTTCATATATGTCCTTGAATCTTTCCTCCCTTAACTTTGGGTGTCAAGTATTTCGTCTCAGCAATGAGAAAAGTAACTAAGACGTTTACTTATGATTTTTTTTCTATTTCTATTTATTTCTGCTCTAATCTTTGCTACTTTCTTTCTGATAATTTTAAGTTTAGTTTGTTCTTTAGCTGCTTGAAGGGTAAAGGATAAAGTTATATTGTATAAGTGTGTATGTGTGTGTGTGTGTGTGTGTGTGTGAGACTAGAGAATGAACCCAGGGCCTTTACATTGAGCTACATCCCCACCCCCTTTTATTTTTTATTTTGAGACAGTCTCACTAAATTGCAAAGATTAGGCTTGAACTGGTGGTCCTTCTGCCTCTGCCTCGCAGAGTGCTGGGGTTACAGGCATCCATCACTACACCTGCTGAGATCTTCTTTTGACATGTGAACATTTACCACGATAAAATTCCTCCTTAGTACTGCTTTTTGCCTTATTCCATAAATTTTGGTATGCTGATTTTTGTCCATCTCTAGGTATTTTTAAAGTTTCTTTTTTATTTCTTCTTTGAGTCAGTAGTTGTTCAAAAGAGTGCCATTTAATTTCTACTTATTTATGAGTATTTCAGTTTTCCTTCTGCCATAGATTACTGTTTTCATTCCACTATGGTCAGCATAAGACTTTGTGACTTAAGTCTTCTTAAATTTGTTGAGACTTGCTTTGTGAACTAACACAATCTGTCATTGAGAAAACACGGATTCTGCTGCTGTTGGGTGGAATACTCTGTATATGTCTATTATGTACATTTAGCATATAGAGTTGTTCAAGCAACTGTTTCCTTATTGATCTTCTGTCAGTATGTTCTGTCCATTATTAAAAATCTCACTACTATTATTAGACCACTATTTCTCCTCCCATTCTCCCAGTGTTTACTGTATATATTTAAGTGCTCTGATAGTCCACCAAAAAGTATATATGTACTCCAGGAAAAGAAAAACTTGTATAAATATTTTAATACTAAATTTATTGAGACATCATGAGATTAATACAAGTTACCTTTGGCCTCTGCAATTACTAGAGGTGCTCAAAGTGGTGGCCATTTCTTCCAGACATTTATTAGTATGGCAAATTTGGAAGTGTGTGTATATTTTTGATTGTTATATTGTTATAGTTTATATCCAGATTGTGTAAATTTTTTTTTAAATATTGTTGGATTTAATTTGCTATTATATTGTTGAGGATTTTTATTTATTTGACATATTGGTCTGTAGTATTTCTTTCTTTTAGTGTCTTTTTTTTGTATTGGAGAAATGGTAGGTAGGCCCGTAGAAAAAGATAGAAAGTATTCATTATGTTTTTATTTTTCTGAACAGAGGATTGGTATTATTTCTTCCTTAAATGATTGGTAGAATTCACCAGTGAGACCACTGGGACTCATACTTTCTGGCTAGAGGGTCATCACAGATTGACAGAATGTCTTTCTTGACATAGGCTTTTAGGTTCTCCATTGATCTGAGTCCTGTAAACCCCCCACTACTACCCTCCACAGGACCAGGGGTTGAACCCAAGACTGATCTGCATCCGACGTGCTTAACCAAAAAAACATTTTTTTTTTATTTCTAAGCCACCTGGACCAAACACCTAAGCCAAACACCTAATAGGTGTTCTCATAATTAGACTGTTTAACCATTTAAATAAGGTGATAAACTAGAACAACAGCTGAGTGTTGTTGGTGTTAGACAAGGTCTCTTTATGTTGTCCATGCTGGCCTCAAGTGATGCTTCTGCCTCAGCCTCCTAAGTAGCTGGGACTACATGTGCTAGGATTTCCTCACCTGGCAACAGGTGAAATTTTGAAATGCCACCAAAACATTCTGTTTGTTTTGTTTTGTAGTAGCCGAGGTTCTGACAGTTCGGAATCCAATGACTCTCAGACCTATCTTCTCAAGGTAACTTCTCAGGTATAATTACATTTTTTTGCTTATGATGTGGATATGTTAAGCAGGTATTCTTTTTATTGTGATTAACAGTCAGCCAAAAAAAGTTTGCATTTGCACAACTAATATATAGTAATAATCCTTTTTCTGTTTATGCACATATCTTTAAATCATAGAATTTTTTTAGGGTTTTATTCTAATGCCTTACTTTGTAGACAAGAATAGTTAAGAGAGCTGGGTGTGACAGCGCACACCTGTAATCCCAGTGCTCTGGAGATCTTTGCAAGTTCTAGACCAACCTGGGCTACAAAGTGAGCTCAAGTCCAGCCTGAACTGCGTAGAGAGACCCTGTCTCAAAAAGACAAAAGAAAAAGAAAATAGTTGAGATCCAAAGAGAATAAATTACTTCCAGAGCCACACCGCTTGCTAGTGCAGCAGTGGAACCTGGCGTACATCACCTGTAGGTGCAATATTCACTTACACATGTATTATTCAGCTACATACAGAGCTCCAACTATGTTTCAGACACCACAGCAGGAACAAAATGAAACAATGCTTTACTTTTGTATCTCAAATCGTGGTTGGGAGAAACACAATAAAGAGATAATAATAATAAACTGTATCATGTGAGAGATGGCGATAAAAGCTTAGTGAGGATGGTTCTGGGCGCAGTCACCAAAACAAAGAGGTGACGCCTCAGGGACTAAGGGAGCAGACCAGCAGATCTGAGGTGTGTTAGCTGCCTTTTGCTATCTAACCCCTTCAGAACTTCAGTGGTTGTAAGCTTGTGTTTTCTTACACATGAGTCTTCAAATTGGCTTTTCTAGAATTGGGTGGAGTCATCTGGTCTTGGCTTCAGGCTTCAGGTTGAGTTACATGTCACATATTTCTCATTTCCTTGGACCAGGCATTACTCAAGGGGAAATTCAATGGTTAAAAACCCAAAGTATAAGTGGAAAAGCCATGCAATATAAACCCATTTAAAGCGATATTTTCTTCTGGCAAACATATGTCATATTATAGTCGCACCTTTTACCATGTTCACTAACAGGCTATTAACCAAAGTAAGTCATACAGCCAAGTCCACCATCCGTAGAATGGGGAAGTATATCCCTTCTAGAGTGGGAGATCCTACAAAGTTATCTAGCAGTTACTGTGGATATAAAATCCTACCAGAAAGCTTGGAAATAACAACCCACTATTAAAGAGTTCACTTCCTAGTTTGCAAATACTCACTTTTTACTCAAGTACGAAATATACCAGTACTCACGAATCTCCAAGACATTCCAAGTCTAGTCCAATCGTAGCATCAGCCTTGAAGTCCACATCATGATCCACATCAGCTGTAGACATATCTCCTCTTGACCCAGAACTTGTGAAATAACAAAGCAAGTTCCACATATCTAATCTATAATGATGGAACAGGTAAGAAAATTGTAATGAACACATCACTCAAAAGAAAAAATAAAGAATGAAAATCATGTCATAGCCATTGAGCCCTCCCAAAAAACTGATTTTTGTTTTTGTGGTGCTGAGAATTGAACCCAGGACTTTCCCACTGCGATATACCCCTGTCCCCCTTCATTTTTTATTTTGAGACATGATCTCGCTCACTGCCCAGGTTGGCCTTAAACTTGCAATCTTCCTGCCTCAGTTTCCCAAGTAGCTGGGCTTACAAGCATGCACCACGACATACAGCTAAAATTTTATTGTGTAAATATTTGAGACATTATCTATCCTGAGAATTGGGAAATGTTTCTTGATTAGGACCCAATTACGTTCCTTTTAGAGCTTCTTGTGTTTGCTCTGTAGATTTATTTGCACTTACTGGGATGAAAAGGGCCAATACTTCTCCAACTTCTAAGAAGTAGGAGTCTCAAAATAACTTTTTTTTTTGGTCTGTGTATACATGTTCTTGGATGTGTTAATTAAATATTAATTTCAAATATGATTCTTTTAACTAGATAAAAACCAAGAAAAAATTTCTCAAAACAAAAAAAGAGAGGAATTCTACCATGGCAAGCCATCAAAATGCCAAAGCAGAGGTAAATGTTTATTAATCTGGTTATTGAGTTTTTGAAAAAAATAAATGCAACAGAACGGCGAATTGCCTGGCATAGGGATGTGTCTCTGGGAAGCTGAGGTAGAAAAATCACAAGGTCAAGCCAAGCCTGGGCAACTTAGTGCCTTGGCAAGACACTGTCTCAAAATTTAAAAAAATAAATAAAAATAAAAAGGGCGAGGGATGAGCTCAGGCTGAAGGCCCTGGGTTCAATTCAACACACCATGAAAACAACAACAATAAAGAATAGTAAGAAATTTTATGTTGCATTCTAATTTTTTCCAGGAGGAGCTAGTGATTAAAATTTTACTCATATTATTTACTGTTTATAAAAGCACAAAAGATGTTTGTCCACCACCCGATAAGAGGTGGACCTTATTAGGGTGCCATATTTAAATTTCACTTCTTACCTTTTCTAAAAACATATGAGGACGTTTGCAAGGTGCATCCATAACAGTGAGAAGAAAGAAATTAAAACTCAGAAAAAATAAATGGGAATACAAGGGAATAAAAACAGATGGTGCTGAGAGACCTTGTCTAACTACAATACTCAGCTGTTGTTTTGGTGTATCACCTTATTTACATGGTTAAACATTCTAATTATGAGAAGAATACTTACAAAGGTATTTTAGGTGTTCGACTTAGGTGTTCAGTCCAGGGCACTCAGAAATAGAACTAATCACACAGTGCTGAAACTCTCACCACGCCCAAGACAGAGAACGGTCTCATCACCACAAGGTCGCCTCACAGCACCCCTTCACAGCCACCCTTACTCTCTCTTTCCACACATGTTTTCCTCTGGCAACCGTCCATCTGTTCTACAGTTTAGAATCACACTACAGTTTAGACTGTTACAGAAAGATTTGTAAATTCTTTTTCTGATGACTGAATCCTCTAATTTTTCTCATTGTGTTGTCATCTGCAGAACCTAATAAACAAAGGAAGTTTTCTTTGGGGATTTTTTTTTTGTCATATGTTTATTTTGCAATAATATATTTATTTAGTTCTCAACACACCCACATAGTGTTTTTTCGCCATTTATACAAGCTATATTTAATGTAAAAATGATGAATTTCTTTATAGTAACTGTTTATGTATTTGATTCTTTTTAGCTTGGCACTTTAAAAGTTGTCATGAAATCATAACCTATATTTAATTTTAGATATTTCCAAATGGAAAATAACTCCTTTAGCAGAATGCTTTTAGAAAAATTCATACCACATGTCCATAAGCTAATACAAGTTCTTAATCACTGCCTGAAATTTCTAATTACCATGGACAAAAAGTATGAACATTCTCACCTTAATTGAGGTAAATGGTGGAGAACTACTTACATCCATGCTCTTGAGCTTACTGTCTCTGTGTGCTTGTAAGACATCAACACATGCCTCATTAGGAGTAAGTTATTTTTAAGGTATCTTAACTTTATTTCCTACCAATACACTCTTAACCATTGATTTTTAAGAATTTCAGCAAAAATAATAGTAGATTATTATGGTTAGAAATTGTAGAGTATGCTCCTAAGCTCCCTAGCCTAGTGATACGTTTTTGGAATAATGGCTCATAGCATTATTTCACTCAAACGATGCGGTCTAGGGCTGGGGATTTAGCTCAGTGGCAAAACGCCTGCCTGGCAAGCGCAAGGTTGTGAGTTTGGTTCCTGGTACCGGAGAAAAACCAAAAAACCAAAAAAAAAAAAAAAAAAAGGAAAGAAAAAAAAGATGCGGTCTAAAAATCATAGCAAGAGTTTGAGTCAGGTCTTATTACAAGTACATTTTATTTTTTTATTTTGAGACAGGCCCTCTCTAAATCCTTATGTGGGCCAGGCTGGGCTCCAACTTGCAGCCCTCCTGCCTCAGCTTCTCATACTGCCGGGATTACAGGTGTGCACCACCACACCCAGCTCCATAAGGAAATTTTCTTCAGCCTGATTTTTACCAATTACCAAATTCTGGTGATTATATAATATCACTACTTCTCTGTGTAATTTTTTTCTAGACTATTTCTGTTTCCCTGTTCAATAACCAAGTTTTGATTTTCATCCTTTTCTCCCATTTTCATAAAGATTGTGTTAGGTTTTTTTTGTTTTGTTTTTACTGCCAGTCATCTATATCTGAAAATAAGTAGACTTTAGCCTTAAACTTGATCTCATGAATTTTTGTTTGTGGGACATTTTGGACTCATTTTTGTTTTTGTTTTATATCAAGGATCTTACTATGTTGTCCAGCGTGGTCTTAAATCTTAGGCTCAAGCAGTCCTCCCACTTCTGCCTCCCAACTAGCTGGAATTACAGGTGTATACCACTGTGCTTGGCTTTAGCTCTATTTCATGGTCTGCTTCTACTGAGCTGATAGCGTTTCATGTTGGCAAAAAAAAAAAAAAAATACCTTCAATTCCTTTTCCCTTCCTCAGAGCCTCATGGAAAATTCTTTAAAATCTTCCCATATATACAGATTTGTAAAAGTCCGAAAACATTTTAAATGTGTTTAGGGGCACATAATAATCTGTGGACTGCTCAAGATTAACAGTCACAATGCCAGTGTGTGTTTCTTCTTAGGGCCATTGACCAGTCCTCAACTCAGAAGTGAGTGTGTGTGTGTTCATACTCTTCCTTATTCGCTTCTTTATAAGCATCAAGAAAACGCTTGTCATCTTTTGCATATAAGCACAACTTTGCAGTGTTTCTAGATTCTCATATAATTTTATATATTTCACTCTTTTCATTCTTGTGATATCTTTATTCCTTAAATTTAAATCAGTGAGCTTCTAAATATATTTTTGTCTCTTTCTTGATATATATATATGTTTTATGTGAAATGGAAAAAATTTAAACTCCCATTAGAAATTGTGAAAAAATATATGTACATATTTCTGTTAACTGATACATAGAAAAGTAAAAGATATTGAAGGTTCAGATTTATGAGGTTTTTTGGTCATAGTTACCTCATAAAAAGGTCTGGGATATAGTTCGGTGGTAAGGTATTTGTCTATCATGCGCAAAGCCCTGGGTTCAATCACCAGAAGCAGGAATAAGTAAGATGGTTATAGATAGATAGATAGATACATAGATAGATAGATAGATAGATAGATAGATAGATAGAGGTAGATAGATAGATAGATAGATAGAGATAGATAGATAGCAGATAGATAGACAGATGGTCTAAACTTATAGAAATACACCTGAACTCTCAGCACTAGGAAGGCTGAGGCAGGAGAATTACAGGGTGTTTGAGACCAGCCTGAGCTACATAATGAGTTCAAGCCCAACCTAGGCTGCATAGTGAGACCTTGTCTCAAAGAAGAAATCAAACAAAACCTATAAAAATAAAATGAGAAATGTTTGTTGAAATCTCATCATGCCATAAATTATATAAGAAATATACTCTATTTTTTCCATTATTATTTTTACTTATTTTTAAAATTAATTTTATTGATACATTTTAGATATATATAATACAATTCGTCATAAGGCATTTGTACCTGTACATGGTATATCTTGATTCTTCTTTTTTTTCCCAACCCCCTCCCCTCCCTTCAATCCCTCCTCTTGTCCTTACTTACAAAAGCTTTGTTTCCATTTTTTCTTTCTATTCTCTTTTTTTGTCTTCCTTCCTTCCCCTTCCTCCCTCCCTAGTTCCCCTATCCATATGAACATTTTCTTCTATTTGACAATTATACATTACTATTATATGTTTCCCATCATACCATAATTATATAGGTAATACATTCAATTTTTATGTCTATGTTGGTAATGTAGCATTTTTAACTTCTGATTTTCTGTTCTGTCAGGTTTATGATAGAGAACATTTACTTCAGACACACAAAGAATCAAATGCTGATGCAAAAGGTAATGTTCTGCTTCTCCCTTTCTGTAAACAATGAATTAATTTACTGGGGAACACTGTTCTTGTGCCTCAACTTTAAGATCGCCACTGGTCTCTGTGCTGAGGATGTTGAGAAGTATATTATACCATTTCTTCTCTACAAGAGCTCTTCGTTTAAGCAGGGAAGAAAAGCCAGTGAACAAGCACTGTGTTACAGGTACAATACCAGGAGTCAGTACAGGTTTACCAGGGAGCAGAGGAAAAGGAGTGGTCACTTACATCACAGGCCAAAGAGATCCACTTGATTGAGAGATGTCCCTATGCTTTTCCCCAAAGATGTCCCTATCTATGTAGGGATTTAATACTTTAAAACCATCTTGTTCCTCTCACTTCATAGAAGATAATCTCAGGAAGGAAATTATATCCACCTGCTTCTATTGCAAACTGCTAAGTCTGATATGATTCTTTAGCTGATTCTCTCACATCTCTGGCTTTTTTCCTGTCATTTTTTATTGAAGCACTTTAAAAAAATTTAAGTAATATTTAAATTTTATCTAAAATAATTATTTAATATTATGAATATCTGTATTCTTCATTACATATTCAAGCCACACCTACTTCCAACAAGGATTTGAGATAGCCTAATTTAAAGTAATATAACCACTGTTAATTCTGATTTTGTTTTGAAACCCTGTAACATTTTTGTTTTTGCTTTGTTTTGTTTTTGTCTATGTTGTTGTTATTTTGCTATTGTTCTGTTTTTATTCTCTTTAAAATAAAAAAAGTATACACCCATGTACATAAATCCACTCTGTCCTATAGTAACCAGAGGCCTAGGGCAATAACTGGAGAATTCCAGGAGCTCTTTGGTAGTTGAATGTCCCTGTGAATCCCTTCCCTTGGTGCTCTCTGTTCTGAAGGGGAATGAAATAGGTTATCTAAGCTTAGGACCAATCAACTTGTACTGCCAGCTTTCAGACAGCTCACCCCTATGATTACCACACCTTTATGCAGAGCTGAGCGGGATTGCACCTAAATTTTAAGGAGACAGATAAAAAATGAAGGCCAAGCTTTGATCTGCTGTTAGTTACCTACTAGACATCTGTGGGCACAAGTGAAGAATTACTGTTTTTTAAGAAAAAAAATGTTTGAAGTTCTTGACTGCCTCAGAAGGAAACAGAAGTCATGCTTTTGGGGCTGGGGATTTAGCTCAGCGGCAAAGTGCCTGCCTGGCAAGCGCAAGGTCGTGAGTTCGGTTCCCGGTACCGGAGAAAAAAAAAAGAAGTCATGCTTTTAATGAGTGCCAGGTTAAGAGCCCAGGAGTTTGTCTTTTGTCACAATGGTGGTCTCTGCTTGTGTCAGGTAGGAATGACCTGAAGGTTTTTAAGAAAAGGTGACTGCTAACATTCCAGGAGCCAATTAAATAGCACTTTCCTTAGCAAATACTTTATCTGCTGATATAAAAGAGCAACACGGGCATGGTGGCACACATGTGTAATCCCAGCACTTGGGAGGCTGAGGAAGGAGGATCGCCAAGAGTTCCAGGCCAGCCTGAACTACATAATGAGTTTGAGGCTATCCTAGACTATATGGTGAGACCTTGTCTCAAAAAAAAAAAAAAAAAAAAAAAAAGTAATTAGGACAAAAGATCAAGCCAAAATACAATCAAACTTAATCCAGCAATATAGAAATAAGATTGTAAATAATATTGTTACAGAAAACAGACCAAACATGGAAAGAAACAGCACCAAGGAAGTTTAGGGGGCAGTTTATACACCAGTGGGCCTAACTGGGATCTCTTTGGGAAAGAGTCATCCCCTACCCTGTGGGGTTTTGGGACTTTTATAGGGAGAGCAAGCAGGGAGGTATAGTGGCAGATTTGGCACAATGTGATTGGAGGGTTGGATGACATCATAGGTTTCTAAGGGAGTTTAAACTTCTCAAGTTACATAGCAAGGCCATCAGTTAAACAAGCATGGGTTACACAAAGTAAGAAATATCCCATTATCAGGCTTTTCTGGACATGTCCATCTGGTTTTGGCTGTCACTCTTGGCAGGCTTTATTTAAAATTTTAATTCTCCCTTCGATACAACCAAGTTGATTTTTCCCAGAAATGCAAAATTGGTTTAAAATTTTAAAATTTTAAAATTTAACAATATAACATGGCATATTAATAGAATAAAGAAAAAAAAAGATATATGATCATCTCAATAGATGGGGGAAAACATTTCACAAACTCCAACATCCTTTTTGGTACTATTTTTTAAAAGTGCCAGACATGGGGGTACATGCCTGTAATCCCAGCTGTTAGAGGCTAAGGCAGGAGGATCAAAAGTTTGAGGTCAGGCTGTGCTACATAGCAAGTACACAGCCTGGTTAGACTATATAGTAGCAGCCTGTCTCTAAGGAAAAAAAAGTAATAAGTGAATTATATTGTAAGTGAATTCCATCTTAATAAATAGTTTAAAATCAGTTGACATTAGCAATGAATATTCTGAAAATGAAATTAAGAAAATCTCATTTACAATAGCATTGAAAAGAGTATTTACTTAGAAAAAAATTAACAGAATTGATGGTACACCAAAAACTACAAAACACAGGTGAATTGTTAAACCTAAACTCTTAACAAGCAATCTCTGAAGTAAAACGGTTTATTGAATCATTACAGATCCTAAGCAGAGAAGAACTTGGTTCTGGGATAAGTTTTTGCAGTTTGCTAACTACCTTTGCAGAAAAACAATTTTCAGGACATGTCAGTGAAAGGTGTAGATAGCTTTATTAAGTAGAATTAAAGAAGTACACACTCTAATTTTCCAGTCTGTGCTTGAGGCTATTGTTGTTACTGATTGTACTACTTCAGCCAAGGTGACATAGTTGTTATGATGAATTAATCTTCCTTCTATGCCAATAACTAGACTGTCTGGGGTCATAAATAATACTTTAGTCCAGTACCAAACTGGGCAGTAGACCAAAGAGGCAGCAACCTTTCAATCATAATAAATTGAATAGGCAGGATCCTGGGTCAGACTCAAAAGCCAAAAGCCAACTACACCTAGAAGATATCTCTGAAAAGTAGTCCTTTCCTAAAGGGGTACTGATATTGGTAATAAAGCTGCCTATCATAAGCAATTTACAAATCTCAATACAGAAAACAATTAAATCAAAAAAATAGGAAATGAGAAAACACAGAAGCAAGATGTAGCCCATGACCAGCAACTCACCCGAGGCAAATCAAGGGGGCATTGAGGTAGAAAAAATCAAAAGCCACCCAGCTGAATGTTATGAAATGGTAGCAGCAGAAGTAACAAAACACATAAATAAGTCTGCTGACAAAACAAAACGGAAATAGTTAAAGAGATGATGACCATAATAAAGGAAATGACTAGTGAGCCTTGAGTAGATACAGATAAAAAAAAAATAGAGGCGCTTAGGAAAGACATGGAAAGCATGAAGGCCCAACACAGAAAAGACCTAGATTCCATAAAACAGACTCAAGACAAGCATGTCCACTATCACCGTTCCTGTTCAATATAGTTCTGGAAACATTAGCCAGAACATTAGACAAGTACTAGAACAATTAGACAAAAGAAATAAACAAAGGAATATGGGTAGGAAAGGAAGAGGTTAACCACCTGCCACCTTAATTATTTAAATACAAGGTGACCAAAAATTGCATATTTTTCTAAGATAATACAACACAAAATATAAAACAACAGTTTTATCAAATGTGTTCAATGCTAGAAGTGATGGTTCAAATGATACCTGCCCAAGTAGAGCTCAGAATAGTCAGGATGTAAAAAAAACATGCTTCCTGAGTGAAATGCATCAAAGATCTAAACATTAAAATAGAAACACTAAAGCTCCTGGAAGATAGAATAGGTAAAGCTCTAAAAGACAGGTATAGCCAAAGATTTTATGAACAAAACCACAATTGCACAGAAAATATTACAAAGAATCAACAACTGGGATCACATGAAATTAAAAAGCTTTTGTTAAGCAAAGAAAACCACCAACAGAATGAAGTCAACCCACACAATGGGAAAAAATCCTCTAAGTGTTACAGCAGAGTTTAGCAAGGAAAGCATTTTCAAGAGACCAAATGTAGGAAAAAAATAGAACTTTATTTAAAGCCAGCAACCAAGAGCCAGAGAAATGTCCACCCCAATCTGGACTTTGCATCCAGTTCAAATCTCTTTTAGGTTTTCATAGCCACCATCCAACCATATTACCTCATTTTGGGGAATTTTACAAATATGTCACATAATTGCCTCAAAGTTTACATTTCCCAGAAGTTGCTGGTCATATGCTGATCAGGTGGACTTTGGGCAGACATTGTAGTTTAATGTTTAGCCCATTCCTCAGTTTTCTCTAACTGTTTCTTATTTTGTGGCTCTGTTTTTCTTTAGTGGATTTTATGGTTGCTACAGGGGATAGGGTGGAAGAGTGAGTTCAACTACAATTTAAGTGAATTTAAGTGACTTAAAATGGGGTTACAAAAAGAAAATGGGGTCTCTCTTGTCCTATCAAAAGGACTAATATCTAGAATGTAAAGAACTAAAAAAAAAGACCCCCCAAGTTAAAAAACCCAAACCAAAAATGGGCATCTGAAATGAATAGACATTCCTCAGATAAAGAAGTAAAAACAGCAAATAAATAGATGAAAAAATTGGACAACATTACTGGCCATTTGGCAGATGCAAATGAAAATACTGGGATTCCATCTCACTCCAGAAAGAATGGCCTATATCGAGAAATCAACCAATAACAAATGCTAGCGAGGCTACAGGGAAAAAGAAATCCTTCTCTGTTGTTGGTGGGAGTGTAAACTGGTACATCCATTATGGAAATCAGTATGGAGTTTCCTCAAAAAACTAAAACTAGAGGTTCCATTTGACCCAGCTGTTACCCTCCTAGGTATTTTCCCAAAAGAGTTAAAATATTATACTGCAGTGATATGTGCACACCCAGGTTTCTAGCAGCACGGATTCTAATAGCTAAATCTTGGAAACAGCCCATGTGTCCATCAACAAGTGAATGTATAAAGAAAATGTGATATTTATATACATGGAGTACTGCTCTACCATAAAGAAGATGTCTTGGTTACTTTTCTCATTGCTGAGACAAAAACTCAGCACCCAAAGTTAAAGGAGGAAAGGTTTATTTTGGCTCATAGTTTATAGAGGTTTCAGTCCATAATTGGCTGGCTCTAAGGCAGGGAGGCATGGTAGAGGGTCATTGCAGAGGAGAAACAGTTCATAGCAGGCAAAGGTAGCAAACTACTAGCAACAACAGTAGCTTCCTTCTGACCCTTTTGTGCTCTGTCTAGGCTACCCAGTTTAAGGTGGGTGCCAAATCAATCGCTAATTTAGTAATGACACACCCTTAATTCCAGCACCCTTAATGTTACTACTGCAGCATTAATCAGTCCCAGCGTCACATACTCTAGATCCAGCCTCCTCTGAAAAGCCCCCCTGATGACTGCATGAGGCTTTGAGGGGACATCTGGACACAAATCATAAACGAAGGATAAAATTGAGTCAGTTGTAGGAAAATGGATGCACCTTGAGACCATACTTTTAAGTGAAATAAGTTAGACACACACATTTAAATATCACATTCTTTCTCTTTTGTGAGAAACCCAAGGTTAAAGTTAAAAATATAAAAAAGAAAACACAGCATAGGCTCTCCAGAGAGAGGTACCTTATGGTCTGGGGTTGGATATATTTATATGTTTTGTTGGGTTGAGATCTGTGGAATTTGTGAATCTAAAGGAGAAAGGCTCTGGCTCAACTTGGCCTTCTCTTGGTAGAAATATAATGGCCCATTCACAGGTGAAAGATTCAGTTCGCAGAAGAACAGCACAAGCTCAATCTGTTGTTGTTGTTGTTGCTGCTGCTGCTGTTGTTGTTGTTGTTTTACTTCAAGCCTTAAGAATTTAAGAGTAAGTAGCCTGAAAGGGAAAAAAGTGTAAATTTGAGTAATTTGGGGTCCTAATACTGTAGTTTACTTTTAAGTATGATTTTAAAATTACAGTTTTCCTGTTCTTCTTTCTTTTTTTTTTTTTTAAACGAGGAATCAAACTTAAGACCTGGTGCTTGCCAAGCAGGCGCTTGTGTTGCCAAGCTACATCCCCAGCCCCTTTATTTCCTCTAAAGTTTGGAGAAGAAAGACATTGGTTGGTTGGTTGGTTGTTTACATAAAGCCCACACTGGCTACTGATAAGAAAAGTGGAATAATATGAAACAGGAAAACCTTTGGGATAGGAGGGAAGTCCCTAAGAAATAATTGTTGCTTCTGGGTTGATGGGGAATAGCATTCCAAATATTTTGTATGTAAGCATGACACGGCCCTGATGGTTGATTGTGATAAAATTTAACTTACAGTTCCAACATGCATTTAGAAAGGTGAAATGGCCTTTTTGTTGGTTTTGCCCACAGCTGAATAACTTCCCTTATGTCTTCATCCGTCCTCTGGCCCTTATAATTAAATTTAGGACAGCTCAGAACTTTTCAGTCACCAAAACACAGAAAAGATTTAAATAAATGGCAAGGTACTTCCGTGTTTGTAGATCAGAAGCTTTAATATTGTTGATTGCAATACCAAGTCAAAGAATGAAGTTGCAGACAAAAAGGAGGCAGTAAAGAGAAGTATCTTTTGGAAGTATAAGAAGGAAGCTCCCAGTAATTGGGAGAGGTCCCAAAAGTGGGGATGTTATGTGAGCTCTTTGTCCAGAGTTTTTTATGGGTAAGTAGAGTGCCAAGTGCCCAAGCAGTCACCCTTTACAGGTGGTCTCGAAGGCCCCAAACAGCTAATTGAATCTCAGGTTTTCTAATACAGAATTTAAAAAGAAAATCAATTGAGATTCAGGCTTTCTAATGCAGAGTTCATTCTAACACAAAAGAAAAACCAGTTACTCAGTTACTCAGTTACTTGTTGTCTTTGAAGCCCTGGAAACAGCCCCTAGCCCAGAGGTAGGGAAAGGTTGTTAAATAATTTGGTGCGTTCCGTGGACTATAGAGTGAGACCCTGACTCAAAAACAAAAACAAAAAAAGAAAGAAAGAATGAAAAGAAAGAAAAGAAAAGAGAATAAGCACAACACTAATGTCAGCTTCACCTAGACATCAGAAAGAGATAAATTATTTTAATGACAAATAGAAAGACGTGTAACTAGGTAGATAAATAAGCAAAACAGAGCCTATGGTACAATACACAGAAAGTGATTTGGAATTGGTTGTCAAGGGAAAAATATAGTGCCTCTATAGCCCTCTCTGGTCACAAACACCTCTGCTGCTGAACCCTTGAACTGGGCTGCAGGCACACACCAGTGCAAGCTGATCTTTGGACCACATCAAACTGCAGTTCCCTAAAACTGTTCACCTCTGCTGACCTTCTGTGCAACAGATCTCTTTCCCCAAGCTACGCAGAGACTGAGCCCACACCCAGCCCATGGTTTGCAAAATGGCTTGATTTTTGTCAACGTCAGTCATAAGTCCTGCTAATTTCAGCCCTTTGAGATTCAAAGCCATAAATACAGCCACCATTCTGTAAAACCTAGGAGCACTGGCTCTGTGCCACTAGACTGCATGCTTCCCAGTGGCCTGCTCATTCTGGCCTGAGTAAAGCCTTTGTTCTCATGTGCAACATGCCTCAACCTGCCTTTTAGGTAAACATAGTCCCCATATAAGAAAGAAGATGAAAGTACACAAGGAGACTAAATAAAATAAGGAAATTGCAAAGTATTTTCAGCTCCCCCTAAAACACCAATTTTGCTCAATCAAAATAACAGCTGGTTGTTTGCTTGACCCTGCCGCATGAACAAAATGCTCAGCACATCGTCCCCTGCCTACTCGATGAAGCAGAGCAAAACTGCATTTCCCAGTTCAGAAGCTGCCACTGACATGTCCGCAGGGATCAACAAAAAAGGGGATTTTGATAGCAGATGGGTTCGCCTCTTACACTGTAGAGCTCATTTTGTCAGATCATGCCAAAAATAAATGCTTTTAACATTGTACCAAGTGGTGCACTAAATAGTGCAGACAGCAACAACAAAACATTCCCCTTGCTCTTACGTACATTGATTTGAAAAATGGAGTTTCAAAGTCAAATGTGGCGACACACCTGGAGTCCCACCACTCAGGAGGCCGAGGCAGGAGGGCTGTGTGCTCAGGGTCTATGTGGAACACATAGTGAGACGCTGTGAAAAACAAGAAAAAGGAGGAAGAGGAAGCGGAGGAGGAGAGAGAAGAGAGCAAGAAGGAGCAGAAAGAACAACAAAAGAAAACAGGTTTCAACTAACCTTGAATTTCATGAAGATTTTAATGAAACCAAAAGAAATCATTTTTAAAAATTGCCAATATTTTGTACAAAGACAAACTTGACTCTGCTCATCAGTCTGCATACTTGGCAGGGAAAACATAAATTCTGGCAAGTTTTAATCAGTCTATGAGCTTCTGGCCAGGGAAAATGAAAAGATCATACCTGCTCAATATCTTGAACATGCTACTTCACGGAGAGGCATGAGCTGCTGATCTGCAGTGTAGAGTCTTCTGTGCTGAGACTGTGTGGCACTTTTTGGTTTCCTCAAAACATACAAAAGCACTTAACAAACTTTTTCACTCCATCAAATTGGAAGAAAATAAACTCCAGAGATGTTACTGGAAAAGGAAATGGCAAAAATATCCCTATTATGTGGGACAGAAAGAAACACATCTTTGTTCATTGTTATTCAGTACAGATAATATCTACTTAATTAGCCTCATTGTATTTATATTCAACTCCTAAAAGGTTATATTCATATATATATGTTATATATCTGCAGAATATATAATACTGTGACCTATAAAATTGATGTATCTTATAAAGTGTTAAAATTTGTATGAGAGAAAAAGACATAAAAATGTATTTTCACATGTAAACTATTAGCTCTGTTTGTTCTATTAATTTTGACTAACTCCAATTGTTAATTGTCCTAGTGTTTTTTTGCTTGAATAATACCATATATACAAGTATAATGGTAAACAAAATAATACAAAATAATATGTAATTTAAAATGCCTAGTATTGGGGCTGGGGATTTAGCTCAGTGGCAAAGTGCCTGCCTGGCAAGCGCAAGGTCGTGAGTTCAGTTCCCGGTACCGGAGAAAAACAAAAAAAAAAAAAAAAAAAAAAAAAAAAAAAATAAAATAAAATGCCTAGTATTATATTAAAATAATAATGTGTGTATAATTAATACATCTTATACTTTAGAGGGGTCTGGTATGTTTGTGTCCTAAATTGACCTTCAGAAAAAGTTGGTCATCTTCATAGATTCTAACATATATAAATTAGAGATAGATAGATAGAGAGAGAGAGAGAGAGATTTAGTTCTGATCTGACAGCAGGAGGTTTTTCTATTGTTTTCTCTTAAAAGTTTAATTAAAAGGCTTCCAGGAGAAATATTAATCATGTATTTCATGTGTTTAAATGTGACAATAGTAGCTTAACTGAAGATATGCTCATTTAAGCTGGCCGTTAATATATGTGTGAAGTAGTTGTCAAAAAGAAAAATTAACTTTTATTGACCTTAAAACCTAACTTCAGATATTTTATGTTATATTCTCTTTTGTAGTGAAAATACCTGGACAAGCCCCTTCTTATCTTCTAAAAAAATATCTGAGGTAGGGGAACTACACTTGATTTCTTCACTGACTGTCTTGTTCTTTCTCTTCTGTCTTACAAGATTTTGATTTTGAATTAAAGCCACAGGTTACCCGAACTTTTTATAACTACTGCTAATTGAGTGCTGTGTAGGACCCTATGCAGTCATAGAGAGTGTTTCCCCAAAAACAACGCCTCACCTGCCTTGCAGAGCAGTCACCAAGCCAGAGGACAGTGCTGGCAGGTGAGGCAAGTGTAGGCTGATGAGGCTGGCATATTTGATCTCTGGTTTTCAAGGCAGATTATTTTCTGGCTAGGTCTTATTTTCAGGGAAAAGGAGCAGTATGAAGGATATAAAGAGATGCCGCATTATATAAGGTACCCACAGTTGCATTCTGAAGGTTTCTGAGGAGACTCAGTTATCCCCAAACTAACCCCAGCGGATTCCTTAGTTGGACATTTATTTGGATGCATTCATCCTTGCTTGGTCTGAGTTTCTTTTTAAAAAGGATTCCTGACACATTAGTCAGCACTGTGGAGTGGCAGGCTGCCCATCAAATGCTGTGTTGTCTATAGTAGCAGTAGGAGCACTGGTCACATGGGGGTGAAACCAGCACCTGGCAACCGGCAGAGTCACAGAAAGGGAAGTCAGAGACTACATAGATACACTTCGTATTTTTATAGTTTGTAGATTTTCCTGTCCTTAGGAATAATTTGAACAACTATCTAAACAGTGAAATAACCACAGATAAGCACCAGAGAATTGTTTGCATTTGCGCAACAAAGAAACCATGGTGTGCTTTCTCCTTTCCTCAGCCTCTTTCCTGAGAACTTAGTTTCTGCTGAGCAACATGGGTTCTGATGAAAGATGTAGACTGTTGCCCAGAAGCCTAGGAAGTTAGGTGAAAGACCAAAATGTAAGGCCTCTGGGCATACCCATTCTTGGTTCTAGAACTAATCATTTTCAAATAAGATTTGATTTTTTCTGCCTAGCAAGTGCAAGGTTGTAAGTTTGATTCCCAGTACAAAAAAAAAATTTGATTTTCTTAAAATATTGTATCCAATGAAAAAAATTAAATTACATATCAAGATAAGAAAGGTAAGCCGGGTGTTATGGTGCACACCTGTAATCCCAGCACTTGAGAGGCTGAGGCAGGAGGATTGCTACAAGTTCAAGGCCAACCTGGGCTACACGGTGAGTTCAAGGCAAGCTTGAACGGCATAATAAGAGCCTGTCTGAAAAAAAAAAGGAAAGGAGAGAGAGAGACAGAGACATAAAAAGATAACACAAAATACTGGAGTTAGAAGATGTGACTTCTAGACTTACTACTGTCTCTTATTAGCTATGAGATCTTCAGTACATAGCTTAACCACTCTAATTTGCCTTCTGTAGGATGGGAATAACACTGCCCATCTTGCCCAAGATCAAATTAGAGACTGGTGAGAGCCCCAAGTAAGATGACATACTATATATTGCATGCTCTGACTTGTGACATAGAAATAGAACACAGCATTACATTGGTCTTGCATGGGTAGTTTACTATTGACATTGAGATCGGAGTACCTAATTTCTTTCAGCTCCCAAAGTATGACTCAGAATCTTGGCAAAGACCAACACAGATATTTTTTAGATACCTGTGAGAGGCCAATCCAGGAAACAGGTCGGCCCAAGGAAGACAATTGGTATGGAAACTGTATCCAAGTGACATCCTTGAAGTGTCCTGTGACCAAACAAACCTCACGTTGGATTGAGAAGACAAGGATCTCAACAGGTTTTTAAAAAATTATTGTTTTGTATTTTAATAAATTCAAAGATGGTTTATACTATAGCATCATTAATGAATCTTACAAAGCCTGGATTATGGGAACTGTTTTTTGTAAATAGAAGGGATCGATACTCATTTTAGTCATGCCTGAAAAATACTTACATCCTTTAATTTTTATATGAGTTAAATTTAGAGGAAAATAATTTCAGTCCATTAAAGCCTTGAAAAAATTTTTCATTGCCTTATTTGCAGAAAAGCCCTGTTATTGATGACCCTTACCCTCACCACTAACCAAGAAAAAATTTTTAAATGATACCACAATATTCTGGTAGCTTCTGCTTCTTTGCCATAGAATTTTCAATTAAAAACAACTTTTTACTTCATGACTTTTTGGACAAGTGTCCCTAAACTAATTGAAGGCCATAGCTGTTCGTGCTTTCCAACTTGCAATATGTCTGTACTGAAGTGTCTCTACAGAAAGCCAGAGCAGATTGGCCCAATCTTAACTCCACCATCATCATTGAAGTTAGCTGAAGTTATAGAAAGTAAGGTTAACATCAACTGACCTTCATTTATTCACCTGAATGGACCTAAGAATCATTACGCTGAATGAAAAGCCAGACACAGGATAGTAAAAGTTATATACTCCCATTTCTATGAAAGCAAGTAAATATACTGAGAAAAAGCAGATAAAGGTTTTCTGGAGCAAGGGATGAAGAGAAAAATGGACATAAAGGTGCACAAAGAATCTCTCTGGGATAATCTTTTCAAAAAAATCCTAACAGCTTCATAGGTATTTGCAGTTGTTACAACTCCATAGTTTGGGGCCAAAGCAATGATCTTAAGTGATCTTAACTATCTGCTGAGATGAACTCAGGATGAGACCCAAATCACCCTGGACATGTTACATTTAAAATGTCTCTTAGTTCCTGAATTTGAACTACTGAATAGATGTAGGTGTAAGCCTGAAGTTCAGGAAAGAAAGCTGGGCTTGGGATACATGCGGGGATTTTCAGTGTATAGATAGCATTTTAAACCATGAGGCTAGATGAAATTCATAAGGGAATGGGTAAAGATACAGAAAAGGGGCCAAGTCCTTGGGAACCCTGCAGTGATGGGTCAGGAGAAGAATACAAACCAACAAAGAAGACTTCAGGGTGGGAAGTGGAGCAGGAGGAAAACTCTGTGGTAGAGCGCTCCGGGAGTCCATTGTTCCGGAAACCAGGTGAGAAAGTATATCAGACAGCGGGAACAATCACCTGAGTCAGTGTTTCTGGTTGGTCAGTGGAGGTGAACCAACTATTGAATTTTAAAATCTCAAGGGTCGGGCCAGGGATATAGCTCAGTGGCACAAGCACCTGCCTGGCAAGTAAAAGGTCCTGAATTCAGTTTCTGGTACCAGAACATCAAGGGTCTTGAGGATCTTGATCCAGAGAAACTTCGGTAGAATGACTAAGGTACTGATGTAATTGAAGTATATTACAGGAGAGGAGGAAACGAACAGGAGACAAGTCGGATGTGTGGAATTTTGCTAAAAAGAAAAAAAAAGAGAGAGAGAGAGGTTGTTTGTTTTGGAAAGTGTTTTTGTTCTCCACTGCCACCACCAAGAATGTTTAGTTTTAAAATAGTTTTTCAACCTTACCTATCTTTCCTGAGTTGAGATTTCATCTTTTCTTGGCCAGTTTACTTTGTAGACAAATGAATGTCCTGCTGGATTGTGGTGACATACTGATAAAAAAATTTCACAATTTCCTTTTTAACTAATGCAAATCAGTTTCAGAGAGAGCAAATTATTTTCCTTTGCTGTCACCCCTCTTCACACACACACTTTTTATAAGCTATGCGTCTAAGATGTACCGTTTTCTCTAAAATATCGTATCTTCATCATCAGTCAGTTTCTTACAGAAGGAAATGTGCCCTTTTCCATTATTGAACTTCTCAAGTAAGAAATGATATGGATTCTTCCAGAGGTTAATGAAGGGCCCAGGTAGACTGTAGTTCTGGCAGCGTTTGTATTTACTGACGGGCTAGAGTATGAAAGCGGAGTTTTGGCTACCAGATGGGGAAGGAGAAGTAAATTCTGGCAGGTTGCCTTCCACCTAAGTCACTTCTCCTTTGAACTTTGGAAACACAAACGCAGTCCTCGTGTTCCATCCACCCTTCTACTTACCCCTTCCCCGGCACCTGGAAGGAAGTCCCGATATTCCAGGAATCATTTCTCTTTTTGGCGACATGCCTTAGCAACTCAGTTTTTTTGCTTTTATTAGCTACATATAAACGTTTCTTCTAGTGCCATCAACAGATTCTAAATATTGATCAAGCCTAGCAGCACAAAGAGAACAAATTATTGAAGCCAAGTGATGGGTTTAAGAGAAAGATTCTTCTGTTGTTCTCACTTCCTTGAGAGACATTGAAATTTTAAAAGGGAAGTCCACAGGTAAACACCCATAACAAACAACGATCTGTTCTTGCCCCAAGCCCTCGCCCTTATGAGTTAGGGTGTGTTTGCAGATTGTTTCTGGGGTCCCTTCGTTTTCTTACGAAGCAGGCTGCTCTTTCACGGGAAAGACTTTCTTAATCACCCACAGTTTTATCTGATCCATCTGCGCTGTATTTAACAGACATGCCTTTAAGCTTCTAACATATGGAAACCCATAAACCCTGCTCTTATCTTATGCAGACAGTTTCCTTTTTTCATGTTCTGTCTCAAGGGGGGACTGGGGGTGGCCTAACCTGTAGTAGCATCATATCTCAGAAGTGAAATACAACCTCATATCTCATCAGAAATTGGAATCTGAACCTGTGCAAATAAACAGAGCAAGGCAGATAAGAAAATACACTGATGCAACTCCAAATTCAAAGAGTATAATTTACATTCCAGCTCTCACAACCTCATACAAATCGCTAGCACATTTTCTGCATTCCTTGTGGTTGAATTTCCTTCACTCCAATCATGTTCTTATCAATGTTTTTTTTGTTTTGTTTTTTTTTTTGTTTTTTGGCCTTCCTGTTCTTTTACTGAGCCCAGACTGAACGACTCTAATTCTGGATGAATGGGACTAGTTTCCTCTGCTCCCACCCTAGAGAATAAAGCCCTCTCAGCTCTCAGGAGATAAACTTCACTTTTACTTCATGCAGATGCACACACGCACGCACACAAACCAGAGACCATCGGTCAGAAACGTCCTTAACTTCTTGCCTTCTTTTTGCTGTGAATAAACATAAACCAATCATTCTTCCTTCTTGCTTCAGCTAAATAAATATCCCTTTGTTTAGGGCCAGTTCTCCAGTAGCGCTCTGGATTCGTGTCCATCAGTTTCTTTTGTGATGTGATTCCAATTCCAGCTCTCTTCTCACCTTCGCCAAAGGAGTCAGTAATCACTCCTGTCGGCAACCTCTGTCTGTCTCTGTCTCTCTGTGTCTGTGTCTCTCTGCGTCTGTCTCTCTTTGTCTCTGTCTCTCTCATTTGTTGAGCTGTCCAACAGACATATCCATATCTGCTTGTTTCACTCCTGTTTCTCTGCTATTAGTGAAACACATGATGAACCGTGATGAGAGGTGTGAGGAGGGGCCCACGTAGGACATCACCTCTACTTAAATTTCAAGCATCAGTCCTTTGTCTCTGTTCTTGCCGCCTACTTTATTTTTGAGCTCTCTCATCTCTACCTGTAGCTTCAGCCAACACCCGATCCTCATACTGTTAAATCTCCAATCCAGGCCTCTCCTAAATTCCACACTTACCTGCCTGCTGGACCTCTCCACTGGTTTTTCCCACAGCCCCTCTATTCAACTTGCCCATGTCTATTCCCCGGCATTCCACGTCTCAGTCAGTGCACGGCCATCCTCCAGTTATTTAAGGAGTAACCCAACCCTTATCCTTATTGTCTCCCTCCCTGCTTTTGGGATCCGGCAACATGAAGCTGTCCGCTCTGAATTCACTGATGGCCATTGCCTCCCTCACCAGTGCCCTGCCATTCTTGTGGCATCTGTACCCCACCACTTCATTTCCTGGAGCGTTTCAAAGGAAATTCCACAAATCATTGCTTTGCTTATAAATAGCTCAGTATTTATCTCTAACTAGATAAACAGTTTTTTAAAACAAAATACAGTGTTTTTTTGATTACAGTCTAAGTATAGTCTAATTTTACTTGCGCTATCTACATAGCAATTCAGGCATTTACTATAAATCATTTTGCAACTTTTTCTGAAATGTCTGACCATTTACTTCCTTTAGGCTTTACCTTTCCTTTAGGTTTGGGATTTGTTTTACCCTTTCTTCCAGGGTCTGTTGATTTTTGTAAAGTGTAGTAAATTATGCTTAGCATAAAATTTATCATGTTCACTGTTTAAGTGGGTAGTTCAATAGTGTTAAGTACATTCAAACTGTTATGCAATCTCCAGAATATTTTCATCCTGTAAAACTGAAATGCATTAAACAGCTCCTCATTCCCCGTGCCCCCGGCCCATCAGTTTGTTTCTACGGATTTTATATAAGTGGTGTGGAATATTTGGAAGGCAGGTATAGTATCTGCCTTTCTGCTACTAGCTTATTTCACTTAGCATAATGGCCTCAAGGGTTGTCGGTGTTGCAGCGTGTGTCAGTATTCCCTTCCTTCCTAAGGCTGAGCAACATTCCCTAGTATGGATATACCACATTTTGAGTACTCATTTTCTGTCAATGGACATGTGGGCTGGTTCTAACTTTTGTGAGTCATGTTACTGTGAACATGGAGTACAAATGTCTCTTTGAGACCCTGATTTTAGTTCTTGGGGACATATGCCCTGAAGTGGAATTGCTGGAATCCACTTGAAAACTTATGCTCGGGGCTGGGGATTTAGCTCAGCAGCAAAAGCGCCTGCCTGGCAAGCACAAGGTCGTGAGTTCAGTTCCCGGTACCGGAGAAACCCCGCCCCCCCCCCAAAAAAAAGAAAACTTATGCTCATTTTACTTTCATTTTTGGGGAACTAGTATGCTGTTCTCCACAATGGCTACACCATTTTACCTTCTCATCAGCAGTGCACAAGGATTCCAAATTCTCTAAGTCCTTAGCAAGCTTTGTTATTTTCTCATGTTTCAGGCTTGAGAGCTTGTTTTGTTTTGTTTTGTTTCATTGCAGCCACCTTCACAGGTACAGGGTGGAATTAACACTTTTTAAACAAATGTTAGGCTGTAGTATCACCAGTAACTTCATATTATCTAATGAAAGGGATTTCTGACGTGTTCCTCTCACAGTCTTCCCCTAGCTGCTTCCATTTCCTCAGATCAGAAGCTTTGAAAATGCCACCAATTCCTCTCTTATTCTCTTACCTCGCATCCGATTTTTTAGAAAATCTCAAAATATATCCAAGACTCTTCCCCACCAACTTCTCACTCTCCCAGCCATTCTTCCACCTGCTCAAGCCACCATTCTTTCTCCTGAATTGCTTCAGTCGCCTTCTAAGAGTTTTCCCTGCTCATCCACTTTTGCCCTCTTCAGTCTGTTCTCAACTCAGATCCAGAATCACCTTGTTAGAAACAAACCCCAGATCTCACACCTTGCTCAAAGCCTTCCAGTGGTTCCCCATTTACACTCAGCAGAAACCCTAGGCCTTCCATGGCCTGGGCAGCCCTATGAGACCTAAATCCAAGTCGCCTACCTCCACTTACAACTTTCTGACTTTCCTCTGAGTGAACTCTGCTTCCACCCCTAAAGCCACTTTGCTGTCCTGCCCCCATGCTCCTCCTCACCGAGGGCCTCTGCTGCTGCTCCCCAGGCTGGAGTGACTTTATCCTTAATTCCGATGACAGGTCAGCTTCACAGGAAGGCCTTCTCTTAATATCATTATTAATTACTAATGTTCTGTGGTACTTGGGAATGAACCCACCAAGCACTGGGGTACATCCCAGCCCCTTTTATAAAAGTTTTATTTTAAGATAGGTTTTGCTGGTTTGCTTAGACTGGCCTAGGACTTGTACTTCTCCCTCCTACGGCTTCTGGAGAGCTGGGCTACAGATGTGTGTCACCACATCTGGCAACACCTTTTTAAAAATGGAAAGTAACCATTCCCCCAAGAACTTTCTATTGTTCCCCCACGTTTATTTTATCCTATAAACGTCATTATTGTCTGATATACTGTATATTTTACTTTCTGTTTATCTTTTCCCAGTGCCATTAAAGTATAAACTTCAAATGTACAAAGACTTTTAGATAAAATTTTTGTATATAATGTGGCATCATAAATAATTGCTTAATGAATACACTTCATATGCTTATACAAATTTTTGTGGTTGCTCCCCAGATCTGCATGACAATTTAAAAAACAAAGTGAAAGAATGCACATCTTTCCAAAGCAAGAAAACTGGCATGAATTGGACAGATGATGAAAAAAATATCTACAGGGATAAAAGAATAGTTCAATCTCAAGAACTGTTGCAGTATATCCTCCCTATCATGGAAAGCCCTAAAAACATAGATGCCGGTCAGATAAAACAGCTGTTCAATTCGAGAGCCAACCTCCCAATTTCACATAAGTAAGTCAATATAATTCTATCATCCCTAAGTATTTAATTTTTTTTTGCAGTGCTGAAGATCAAACCCAGGACCTTGTGCAGGTAAGGCAAGTACCTTGCCACTGAGCTATACCCTCAACCAATTTCTACTATTTAATTCATTTTTAAATAAGGAAGTGATACTTATTAATTCATTATTATAAGACACAATCCTGGATAAACAAATAGGCTTTTGAAAGTGGTGTAAACTATACCACATTTGACAAAGGGACAAAAGTCCAAAGCTTTAAGAAAACACTAGACATGTGAAGGACTAAGGCCTTATTTGAGTGGTTGTTTGTATGAAACTACTCATTCATTTGGACCTATGAATAGAGTGTGCATAAATAGTATGGTCCTAGCCTGACATGAAAATTTTCAGGTATTTTTAAACCTTATAATCCTAGTGAACAACTAGAATTAAAAATGACTAACTTGTGTTACTTCAATTTATTGATACCCATAGGCAGCAAAAGGGGTCGTTATTTCTTTTAAAAATTAAAAAAAAAAATCTCTTAAGACCAAGAGAAGATCTGTATAAGCAAAGGAAGTAACAAGCTGAAAAGACTAAGTATAATATTAATATTACCAACAAACTTTATAAAGTATTTTCTGTGTGCTAGAAGTCTAGGTTATATATCTGTATATAGTTGGCCTTCCACATGTCTTGTTTCCATATCCACAGATTCAACTAACCTCAGATCCAAAAGTATTTTTAATCCACAGTTGGTTGAATCCATAGATGTAGGACCTATGGATACAGGGCCAACTGCACACCTTACATTCTACACATAAGAAAATCAAGGTATAAAGAGATCAAGTGGTTTGTCTGAAGCCACACGTTCCAACAGGTAGCAGAATCAGGATTCAAGCCTGCTGGGTATTCTGGTTCCACTGTCCCTCTGAACTTCAGCATTATGCCTTGCTTTTTCTCTTAATAGTATAACTGAAAAACAGAACCAGTATACTTAAAATACAAAGAATGCCTACAAATTTACTGGAAAATCGGGAATCTTTTCAGAGAAAAATTGACATAGCTTTCTCTTATAGTTGTTAAACTATAAAAGAAAAAGTATAGTAACAAACATTAGAAATGTAGGCTGTTGGCAAAATCCAAAGAATATAGACTAACACAATGATGAAATTCCATTCTTGCTTCTTCAGGGAAGAATCCATTCACTGATTGTGGGAACCTAAATTGGTACAGAGTTTCTACAGAGCAATCCAATGATATAAATGAAAAATCCTTAATTTCATACATTCTTACATTGTGTGTGTGTGGTACTGGGGATTGAATTCGGGGCCTCATGCATGCTACCCACTAGCTCTACCACTGAGCTACACCCTCAGCTCAGATACATTCATTGTCACTACAAAATTCTACTTTTAGAAATTGACCCTTATAGGGAAAACATAAATAAGGGCTAAAAGGCTTATTATTATTATTAAAGTGATGTTCATTTCGGTATTGTTTAGAAGAGTCAAAAAAGAATACAAGAGTCTAAGCGCTCAAAAACAGATTGCTTAAATAAATTGTAGTACATCTATAAAATGAAATATTATGTAGCTATTCAATATTATAGGTGAAGATTAACATGAAATGACGTGTGGATAAAAAAGGCTAACAGTTTGACTTCATAATATTGTACTTATATGTGTGTAAACATTATTATATACACTCAAACACATTTAAAGTAGAAAAACTAAAAGCAGATATTTCCCAAAATGATTAACTGTGCATAAAGTATGGGCATGGATGACCTTCCTCTTCACACTGTTTTTTCTAAATGTTTAATTAATGTTTCTTCATTGTATAATCAGCAACATTATAAAAGTGAGCAGTTGGTGACAGTTTCTCATGGAGTGGGGTAGCAATCACGCTGGAGAAAGTGGAGCCTGACAGTAAGTTGGCTATTATGGGGCAGGTGAATCATAGTGGAAGGTCCAGGGGAGCCAGGGATCAAATACAGTAATACCGACAAATCTCAAATCAGGAACCTATTGACAAAGCAGAGGCAGAGAAGCTGAGAATCTGGAGCTGGGAAGGTCTGGGTGACAATTAATGTTTAGTCATTACTTTCATAAGAGATTCCTTACTTATTCTGAACCCAGAAAAACACTCAATGTGGTCTGGCCTGATCCTGAAGGTGTAGACAAATACTAGGTTGTATTGAGGCCTCTTTGTTTACAGATATCAGAAACCACTTCCAACTAGCTCAGTTAAAAAGCAGGAAGTAAAAAGGAAAACATTATAAGAAAGGACGAGCTATTCATGGAAACTGGAGGAGAGGGCTTCAGCCAGCCTTCAGAAAAGAACTAGGACTAGGAAGTAGGAAACTATCAGAGCTCTTTAGCCACCTCCAGTCTGGTTTTCTCTCTCTGCAGAAGTGTTCACATCCCTCAGCTCACAAGTTTACATCCTGTACCGCTCTGACTGCTTGCTCTTTCTCATTCCCAACTCTGAATTGTAGGGAAGGATATCTGATTGATGATCATGCCGGTGGGTAGAGGTACCGCAGTTACCTACACATAGGTATTTACGTGGCTGTTGAAATCCCACCCTGTGGACCTAGAGAAAGACTCAGAAATGGGCAAACTGTGCCCGGAGAGGACAACCAAAAGCATCTCCTGTAGGTGTATATGGCCAGGGTGTGTAAAGAGATGCGACGTTGGTGCTTTTCTGGCAGTAACTAGGAGCCCCTCCCCTCCGGCCTTCATAGAATCTGAGCAGGAAGCCTGGATATCTACTTCCATCTGAACATACTCCCCTAATTCTCTTTTGGGACAGAATCACAAAAAGCTGGCTAGGACAGAAGGCTTAAATAAAACCTAGAGCCTCATAGTATAAAAATGCCCATTTTAATCAGAAGTAAATCACCTTATTAAGTGCCAGGAAGATCTCAAAATAATGTTAAAAAGACAATTAGTAGTTTCAAATGCTAAGGTGATAGTGATATTAGAATTTTCTAACAAAGATTTTTAAAGCAGTCATAGTAAAAATGCTTCAACAATACCACTTAAAATAAATGAAAAAATAGAAAACTTTTTTGAAAGAGATATTAAAATGAACCAAATGGGAAAAAAATGTTTTTTGAGGCAGGGTCTCAATATGTAACCCAGGTTGTCCTTGAACTCTTGGTGATCCTCGTGTCAGCCTCCCAAGTGCCGGGATTACAGGCATGTACCACCACTCCCGGCACCAAATGAGAAATTTTCAACAAAAAAACACAATAATAAATTTAAAAATCTCAGTGTTTAACCATGTTAACATGGTAGGATAGTGGAAAGAGTCAGTGAACTGAAAGAGATTTTAAAAAATAGAAATTATTCAACCTAAACATCAGAGAGAAAATATACTAAAAATAAAATGAACAGGGTCTCAGACACCTGTGGGCCTACAAAATAAGATCTTTTATTGGTGTTATCAAAGTTTCAGAAGAAGAGGTGAAATAAGACAGAGCTAAAAATGCACACAAATAAATAATAGCTGAAAATTCACAAATTTAGCAAGCAACATAAGCCTACAATCAAAAAACTGAGCAAACCACTAATCACATACACTCAAAGAAAGAAATCCGTGCCAAGACACACTCAAATTTAACTTCTGAAAACTTTTTTTAAAAGGAAAATATCTTGAATGTAACCAAAGAAGAACAACACTTTTCCTGAAAAACAACAGAATGACAGTTTATCATCAGAACCCTTGGAGACCAGAAATGGCACAGCACTGTCAATTACTGAAATAAAAGAACTGAAGAATTAAAATTCTATACCCAGTGAAAACAAAGGAGAATCAAGAAATGTTTAGATGAAGTAAAACCAGAAGATCTACTCTATAAGAGTGGCCAAGGGAATTTTTCTAAACAAATAGGAAATGCTAAAAAAGGATCATAAGACAGAATATAGTAAGCAAAATATAGATAAATATAATTGGTTTTCTGAATTACTTTTTATTATGGGAGGACAAATTATAACCCTGATATGACTCTGAATGTATATAAAGGGAACATTTAAGGCAATTAGAAGTGTGAGAAGGTAGAGAGATGTGAAGTGAAGTAAGGTTTCTATACCTGACTCACACTGGTAAGGTGAATTAATCCCTGAACTATAATGTCATAAATATGTAATATTATTATATATTGTAGAGCAATATCTCAAAAGCTATTCAAAGCCTGGTGTGGTGATGCATGCCTGTAATCCTAGCACTCTGGAGGCTGAGGCACAAGGATCACTGCAAATTCAAGACCAGCCTGAACTACAAAATGAATTCAAGGCCAGCCTGAACTGCATAGTGAAACCGTGTCTCAAAAAGGAAAAAAAAAAAGCTATTCAAAGGGATACATTCAAAAACACTATAAAGCCAAGTATGGTGGCACAGTCTGGTAATTCCAGCACTCAGGAGGCTGTGGCAGGAAGATTGAGAGTTCAAAGTCAGCCTAGACTACCTAATGAGTTCAAGACTGCCCTGGGCTATATAATGAGACTCTTCTAAAATCCAAAAAAAAACCACACTATAGATAAATAAAAATAGAGTTCTAAGAAATGTTCATGTTATACAGAGGAAGACAGAAGAAACAAACAAAGACAGTGAAAAAGGAAACAAACAAAACACAAAGAAAAAGAAGACTTAGACCTTAAGATAGCAATAATTATATTAAACATAAATGGTCTAAAGAAAACAAGACAAGGATTGGCAGAATAAATTTTAAAATATTACCCAGTAATACACAGTCATAAAAAAATTCATTTCTGGGGCTGGGGATTTAGCTCAGCGGCAAAAGCGCCTGCCTGGCAAGCGCAAGGTCGTGAGTTCGGTTCCTGATACCGGAGAAAAACCAAAAAAAAAAAAAAAAAAATTCATTTCTAACATGACAGTACAGGCAGGCTGAAATAAAAGGACGGAAGAAAATCTGTCATGCAAACATTAATAATAAATGAAAGGGTAGCTATGTTAATATTAAATAAAACAGATTTCAGAGGAAATGAAACTCTTAGAAAGAGGGGGCATTCCATAATGATTCAAAAGTCAATATACTAAGAACACAGCAACTTTAAATGGTATGCATAAAACTACAGAACTGAAAGCAGAAATAAAACTGAAAGAAACAAATCCAAAATCAATTCAATAAGAATATAAATATACAATTTATAAACTGTAAAACACTCCACCCAACAACAGCACAATACATATTTTTTCAAGTGTGAATGGAAATTATACCATATTCTGGTGGTAAAACCAACCTCAACATACTTGAAAGAATTTAAACAATATGAAGTGTACTTCCTGACCACAGTGGACTCAAACTACCAATAACAAAAAGAACAATAACAAAACCCAGACACTTGAAAACTAAGCAAAACACTTCCTAGCAATTCATGAGGTAAAGATTGTTTCAAAGGGAACGAAACTGTGGTATGATGTTTTTTATTCTTCTGGGAAAATACCCAGAAGGGGAATAGCTGGGTTAAGTGGACTTTCTAATCCTAGTTTTGTGAGGAATCTCCACACTGATTTCCACAGTGGTTTCACCAATCTATACTCGCACCAGCAGTGGAGAAGGACTCCTTTTTCTCCATAGCCCCTCCAGCATTTTTTACTGGTTGATTTCTTAATGATAGCCATTCTTTCTATCATCTTATTTGTTGAAACTCTGTATTGTTTATAATTTTTTTGTTTTTATTTTATATTCTCTTTAATGGTTTAATTAATCTTGCATTCTTACATCTGGTAATCTGACCAACTTCGATGAAGTTAAAAATATGTAATATAACAACGACGGTTAATCCCTATCATTTTGTTCTGAAACCCTGTATCATTCTTATTGTTTTTGCTTTGTTTTGTTTTTATCTATGTTATTGGCATTTTGCTATTTTTTTAAAAAAATTCTCTTCAAAATAAAGTAAAAAGGGGAAAAAACTATATTGAAATGTATAAAAATGAAACTACATTACATAAAAATTTGAGATACAACTAAAGCAGTAGCAAAATGGAAATGTATGGAACCAAATGTGTACGCGAAAAAGGAAGTCTTAAATCCATAAATTTCCCTGTCAAGAACCTGTAAAAAGAAAAGTGAGTGCTGGGAATATAGCTCAGCAGCATGGCACCTGCCTGGCAAGCACAAGGTCCTATGTTCGATTCCCAGTTCAAAAAAAAAAAAAAAAAAAAAAGTGAATAAACCGAAGACAAGGAGAAGGAAAGTAAAATGAAGATAAAAGCAGAAATTAATGAAACTGAAAAGAAAAATAACAGAATCAGTGAAACAACTGGATCTATGAAAATATCAATAAAATTTTCAAACCTTAGTCAAGATTAACAAAGAAATTAAGAAAAATACATGAGACACTGGTATAAGTATGAAACAAGCGTTCTCACTAAAGATTTTGTGGACATCACAATGATAGTACTGTCAAAAAGACAGTAGAAAACATTACAAATGCACAAATTTGACAACTTACAAGTAATAGATCATTTCCTCAAAACATGCACGCACACACACACGCACGCACATGCACATGCTGTACCATAACTCACTCAATATGAAATAGAATATTTGAATGTCATGTGACTATTAAGGAAGTTGAATTCATAATTGTGAATTTGAAAAAAAGGAATCTCTTGGCCCAGATAGTTTCATGGGAGAATTTCATCAAAAATTTAAAGAAGAATTAACACCAATTCTCCACAGTTTCTTCCAGAAAATAGAAAAGTACCTTTCACTATTTTTAAAAATCAATGTAATCTCCCATATTAGCAGGCTAAAGAAGAAGAAAACTTGCTGGCGTCATGGCAAATGCCTGTAACCCCAACTCTTGGGAGGCTGAGGCAGGGTGATCACAAGTTTGAGCTCAGTGTCAGCAATTCAGTGACTCAGTGAGACCAAGTCTCAAAATAAAAATACATAAATAAATAAAAGGGGTTGGGAATATAGCAGTGTGGAAGTCCTGGAAAAAGGGAGGAAGCTGAAAAGAGGGAGAGAGGGATAAAAAGAAGGGGAGAGAGAAAGGAATTAAGCAAATGGAGAAACCCAGCATGGATTGGAAAAAATCAACACATGCCAACATCAGTTGCTCCCAAATTGATACACAGGTTTGGTAAAATTTCTAGCAAAAACTCAGTAAGACAATTTGCAGATATAAACAAGATTATTCTAAAATTTTTATATAAAGGCACTAAAATAGCAAAAACATTTTTGAAAAAGGATCAATGGGAGGAATCAGTCTACGCAAGTTCAAGACTTCACACAGCTGGTGTAGTGAAAAATGAAGAGACACATCAGCGGAACCGAGTCTAAAACCCACATGAATACATTCAACTGATTTTGACAAAAATGCAAAAGATGTCTTTCCAACAAATGGTGTCTAACAAATTGGACATCCATAAACAAAATAAAAATGAAACTTGACTTAGACCCTAAAAATTTAATTCAACATGGGTCATGGACTTTGCCGGGCAACATAAAATTATAAAACGTTCAGGAAAAAATATATATATATATATTCTTCAGGACCTAAGCCCTAAGGCTTAATACCAAAAGTGTGATTCATAGAAGGAAAAATCAAGAAATTGGACTTCATCAAAATAAAAATCTTGCTCTGTAAAAGTCACTTTGAGAGTATAAACAGACCAAGTAAAAAATAAAGTAATAAGTAAAATATCCTGGAAAATCACACAAAATACTGGTATCTGGATTAAATAACTCTCAAAATTCAACAGTCAAGAAACTTTTGTTTAGAAAATAGCCAATACAGATGGCACACAACCACATGAAAAGATATAAAATCATAGCCACTCGGGAATTGCAAAGCAAATACACAGAGGTATCACTGCACACTCATCAGAATGGTTAACATAAAAACTAGCAAAAACAACTAATGCCAGGGAGGATGCAGGGAAATTGGATTATTCATATATTACTGGTAGAAACTTAAAATGGGGCAACCACTCTAGAAAACAATTTGGCAGCTTCTTTAAAAACTAATGATGTAACTACCACATAACCCAGCACTTGCTCTCCTAGAAATTAATCCAGATGAAATGAAGATGTAAGTTCACATGAAAACCTGTACACAAATGTTCATGCAACTCTGTAGTAATAGCTGTAAACTGGAAACAGCCCGCAGGTCCTTCAATGGATGAATCATTAAACTACAGTGTACCCATGCCCTGGACTGTTCCCAGCAACAAGGCATGATCCATGATATACAGAACAACCAGATGAATCTGCACAGAGTTACGCTGAGTGGTAAAGAAAACGCTAACTTCAAAAGGTTATGTACTGTTTGATCTCATTTTTAGGACATTCTTGAAGTACCAATATTATATAGGTAATAGGTCAGTGGTTCACAGGAGTGAAGGATGAATGTGGTGGTGCACACCTGTAATCCCAGCACTCAGGAGCCTGAGGCAGAAGGATTGCCGTGAATTCAAGGCCAGCCTGGGCTACACAGTGAGACCCCATCTCAAAAAAACTAAAAATTAATTGCTTAAAATAAAACATGAGGGCACCATTTTGTATACCAACCACATCCGTTTAGCTTTACTGTGATATTGTGCTACAGTTTTGCAAACTGTTACATTTGTAGGAATCTCGGTAAGGGTACATGGGATCTGCCTGTAATGCACCTTCTAAATGCATGTGAGTCTACAGTTATCTCAATTTTAAAAGTTTAATTAAATACACAGTGGAGGGCCAGAGATATAGCTCAGTAGCACAGCGCCTGCCTGGTAAGTGCAAGGTCCTGAGTTCAATCCCTGGTACCAAAAAAAAAGAAAAAAATACGGTGGAAATTCTGGGCTAAAAACTATAATTCTGCAGAAAAACTGAGAGACTTTTAGTGGCTACAACGAGTAATTTACAAAACCTCCCTCTGCTCAGGTGGGACTCACTGACCTTTTGACTGGCCATAGAAAAAATTGTACTGTATAGCATTATCATATAATGAATCTATCCTCAGAAAATAAACAGGGTAGGGGCTGGGGATTTAGCTCAGCGGCAAAGCGCCTGCCTGGCAAGCGCAAGGTCGTGAGTTCGGTTCCTGGTACTGGAGAAAAACCAAAAAAAGACAAAAAAAAAAAAAAAGAAAATAAACAGGGTAGAGATTGAGGGCAAAGTGGAGTTTTAGAGAACCTGTATTTCCACTAGATAACAGGTAAGGTGCTGGGGCCAACAGCGACCATTCTATGAGGAAAGCTGTGGTCAGGGAACTTGTGCAGGTAATCATATCCTCCAGGCACTTGGAAATACAGGACTGGGACAGTGCTGCAAACAGTGAGGAAATGAAGACCTGGCTCATACATATAGAGATGATGATAAAAGTCCTAAGGACAGTGAACTCCCCAAAAGCCAAACATGTCCAATTTGTACTATTACAATAGACACCTCAGAGTGTAAAGTAGGCATATGCTGGGTAAAAACTTACATTTGTCATTTCTTTTCTAGAATAAAGCAAGCTTCTTGCATAAATATAAAGAGATACAGCACCTCTTGGACAACACCAAGAAGTCCCCTTTTCGTAACTCCAAAAAGCCTTATGACAAACACCTCAGACTGGCTCCAGTGTGAGCCCCAGAGGCCACTGGGAAGTTTTTCACCTTTCAAAGGCCACAAGAGGAAATGTTTTCAAACCCAGGCCACAAAGACTGAAGACGCACAGTCTCTCAGGAGCAAGTGGGAGACTGCTTCCCCACGTTTCGAAATGGATACCAGTATTCTAAAAGACAGGAGTCTTCCAGCTGAAGAACCCAACCTGCAGAAACCTAAGCAGATGATTCCTCATCTAACTAAAAATAAAGTTGAGCAAGCAAACAGTAATGACGGACTTCTCGCCTTCCGGCGGAGGTTACAAAGGGACAATTAGTCTGGCTGTGCGCTGCTCTGAAGACTGAGAAATGACATAGGCTGACACAGTAAAAAGAAAAGCCCTCCTCTTCCTGTCTCTCCCTCATGCAGATACTACATTACAGACTCCAGATCGCCCCGCGTCTTCAGTGGAAACATCTTGCAGAAGTTTAAGAGAAATCCAGAGAAAATATAAAACACTTCGATATTATATTTGATTTTGTCAACATGGAAAAAGCGACATTTGATTTCTTCCAAAATTACTTCAGCAAACATGACCAAAAAACTAAGAGCTGAAGGGAAGAAGGACATTACTATCACTCATTGTAAACTCCTAAGTACTTCAAATGAATTAGTCAACAAATACCATTTCCTGAGTTTCTGCTGTACGGTTGATGAGTGAGGAACCACTGGTGATGTAAGAGACATTTCTCCCCACTAGAATATCATATAATTGTTCTTATAATGCAAACATGACTCAAATGATTACAGAAATGATACCATGCAGAGTAAAATACTAAGCTGTACACCTCCAACCAATAAAGAAAATCATATATTAAAAGGTGCTAGTTGCACAGACCACAGTGTGGCACAAAATGGCAGTAAAATTCATAGATTACGGTATAAAAGTCATTTTGCCTCTCAAAATGAAACAGAGGTGTAAAAGATGAGAGGTACAAGCTGGGTGTGGTGGCACATGCCTATAATCCCAGCACTCGGAAGGCTGAAGCAGGAGGATTGCTACAAGTTTGAGGCCAGCCTGGGCTATATATTTAATTCAGGGTCAGCCTGAACTATACAACAAGACCTTGTCTCAAAAAAACAAAAACAAAACAAAAAAGGTGAGATGTACAGTTTCTGTCAGAGCTGGTGAGTGGACATCACCAGCCATTTATCCCTGTAGATGCTGAACAAGTCCAGCACCGCATACGTTTCATTCTTTAGGCAGTGGGGCTTGGGACGTGCAGAAAAACAGGTCTGTCAGCAGGTAAGTGGGGATGGGTATAGTAAGAGAGAAAACAGAGTCCACCAGTAAGGGCCAACCGCAGCATCCAGTGTAGGGCACAGCTACACAGAAGGAGGGCCAGGCTCGTGAGGGAAAGTCAAGGTGTAGCTATCACGCTGATCAGGGCAGGGTGGAGCAGGAGGGTCTGAGGTGTCAGCAGTATCTCCAGCAGCCAAGGAAGGGTTCAGGACAGCCTGTTCCTTTGTAAAGGGATAAAGATTGTGTTTTAAAGAATCTTAACCAATAGATTTCCTCAGGAATCTTTAACACCTGGTAAGAAACAGCTCTCTTCTGAAGAAAATAGATTATGCTTCCGAGCCAAGTATCCTGTCCGTACAGGAGTCTCCAATTTTTTACCCCAAAATAAACATTCATTTTCTCGTTCTAAAATTCTCCTCATCAGTGACTCTCTGGGGCAGAGGCACAGATCTACGCCCTCTTGGGACGCCCTCTGCCAAAGGTGCTCAGGTAAAGAGGCAGGAGAATGTTCTCCTTAGTGTCTACTGTAGCTGATATGATGATGGAGTAAAAGCTCTCAAAACATGATTTGTCCGTAGTCTTAGTGATTAGGAGAAAAGCCTAACTCTAGGAAAATCTTGATCTTTAATTCAGTGAAGTATCACTTAACCTTCAATTGCCAGAGAGTTTGAGGCTATAAACTATCCAGTAGAACATCTTTGCAAACAATGAAACAATAATAAACCAGCTTCCTGGAAGGCTGAGGTGTAAAGAGATACTTCCTGAGCGATTTTACTTTGGTCTTTAACTGTAATTGCTCCCTTTACACTTTATTTGATGCAAATACTTAAAACAGTGCTTTAGGAGAGAAGGAAGCTATGTGGGCCACTTTCCCACTCTGCATTTCATGTTATATTTAACTGCTAGTGTTCCAAGAATGCCGCTCTCACGAGTCCATTCATTGTCACTCTTCTTGACATCGGCCCCACCCGGTGGATTCTCTGGCAAGCCTCTCCTCCTCTAAGATGAACCACAAGTGCTTCCTTCCCTGGGGAATCCTCTGTAGACTCCCCCGAGGAACTTAAAAGAACTGTTGATTACTATGCTGAGAGTCTTAATGGGAGTAAGTAGACAACATGCAAATAGAAGAGGGCGATATAAACAGAGAGATCAAACTCAAGAAACAAAAGGAGATGCTAGAAGTTAAAAAGCATTATCATAAAATGAATAGATTGGACACAAATGATGAAATAACAAGCTTAAGCTTAAAGAAATATCAATGGCAACTGGAAAACTTAAATGCAAAGAGAAATAAGAACGAAAAATACATAATTTTCCTTCACAGAAAGATCATGAGTTTGAGGCCAGCCTGGGCTACACTGTAGCAGAAAGTGTCCCCCCCACCCAGCCAATCTATTAGTTGCCCAGGTACCAGTTCCTGTTACAAGTTTCTGTTACTTCTGTCTGCTGAAGTGGCTGGTCACTGTGATGCATAGCTGGTCACTATGATACATATTATAAGAGCCAATCAATAACCACCATATATTCTGCTTCTGTACTTCCTGCTTGTACAATCCCATATAAGCCCCAAACTACCAAGGATCAGGGCCTGATATTTTGGGTATGATCCCAATCAGTGCCCATTGATGTAAAGTAAATCTGCCTCCAAATCCTGGGTGTCATTTTGGTGTTTCTGCTTGCATTGCAACATAACAAGGCACTGTTTCTAAAAAATGTCATTAAAGGTTAATCATTTGGGACTAGGGATGTGCCTCAATGATAGAGCACCTGCCTAGGATGGGCAAGACCCCAGCATACAAATACAACTCTAACAATAACAAGTATAAAAACTAAAACCTGTGAGGCAATTAGAAAAGGCGAAACGTACAATGGGTTTACCAAAAGTTAAACAATTTAAAGCCAAAACTGAAAAACTTCCAAAACTAGTGACACTGAACCACAGGTCCAGAAAGCTCAGAGAACACCAAGAACCATAAATACCAGAAAAACCTACATGTCATATAAAACTAAAAAAAAATCAAAGAAAAAACACAGCCAGGTGTGGTGGCACATGCCTGTAATCTCAGCACTCAGGGAGGCAGGAGGATCTCCGAGAGTTCAAGGATAGTTTAATCTACATAGGTCAAGGCCAATCTGAGCTACATAGCAAGACCCTGTCTCAAAAAAAGAGAAAACTTCAAAGAAGACATGAGGGCAGGGAGAATACTACATATAGCTGAGCAAGGTAACAATTATATCTGACTTTTCAGATACCGTGTAACCAAGAAGACAGTAGAAAGAATATGTAAAGTGTTAAGAGAAGCACTTACTTCAGGCTTCTAACAAAATTCCAAAAAGTGGGTGTCTTAAACAACAGAAACTATCCCTGACAGCTCTGACTGCTGAGAAATCCAAGCTCAAGACACCAACACTGTATCTAGCAAGGAGATTCATTTTGTTTGTAGCTAGCTGGCTTCTTCTATCCTCATGTGGCAAGGACAGTGAGCATTTCATATCTCTTCTTATAATAGCACTAACCTCACTCATGAGGAGACAGTATCTTCCTGACCTAATTATATTCCAAAGACTTCACCTCCTAATACTACCACCTTGTGGATCAGGATTTCCTTATGGGAACTCTGTGATACACAACAATTCATAACAACCACCAACCTAAAATTCTGCATCCACTGAAATTGTACCTTGAAACTACAGAGAAATTTTCTTAGACAAACATTGAGGGAATTTTTTTTTACCAGTATAGTTTCCTTAGAACAAAAATGTTAAAAGTTCTTCTGAAAGAAGGTCAGAAATGTGTACATAAAGGAAGAGCAACAGAGAAGGAATGGTTTGGTTTGGTTTGATTTGGTTTGGTTGTCTTTCAGGAGAGAATCTCACTATGTAGATCAGGCTACCTTCAAACTCACAATCCTCTTGCCTCTGTATTCAGAATGATGGGATTACAGGCATGTGCCACCTAAGCCAGGTAAAATCTTTTTATTTTCTTAGCTGATCCAGATAGATAACTTAGTTCAGGATGGTAATAGTAATAACATATTTGAATGATATGGCCTACAGAAAAATGAAATGAACAGCAGCAGTGTTATAAAGGATCAGAGGGAGAAATGCCCTGTTATAAAACACTTGCATCATCCAGGAATTGAATGGTATAGTGTTTGAAAGAAAACTTGAATTTGTTGTAAATTGTACTACAAAGGAAGAGTGAAAAAGTATAACTGATAGGTTAAAAAAGAAAAAAATAGAATCATACAAGAAGTCAAAGCAAGAGGAGGTACAAAAGGAGGGGAAAAAGTAATAAATACAGTAGATATTACTGTAGATACTAATTCCAACTGCATTAATAATCACTTTTTAAAGTTAATAGTCTAAATACAGCAAGTACAAGACAGGAGATTGTCAGGATAAAAAGGTAAGCTCTTCCTTGACAAGATACAGTTTAAATATAAAGATAGATTTAAAGAGATGGAGAAAGATATATACCATACCTAACCTTTCTAACTAAAATAAATCTAAGTAGCTATATTTCAGGCAAATCAGATTTCAGAGCAAGAAAAATTATCCAAGATAAAGAGAAATCAATTCTCAAAGAGTATATAACAATCTTTAATGTATATACACCTAACAACACAGCATTAAGATATCTGATGCAAACACTGAGAAACACATGAATTCATTATATTTTTTGAGACAAAGTCTCACTGTGTAGTCCAGGCTGGCCTTGAACTCACTCTGTAGCCCAGGCTGGCCTCGAACTCACAGCAATCCTCCTGCCTCAAGCTCCTGAGTGCTAGTATTACAGGTGTGCACCACCACGCCCAGCTTAAATTCACCATGAAGAGTTGAAGACTTCAACTACTTTCTGTCAGCAATAGACAGAGCCAGTCAACAGAACAGTCAGCAACTATCAGTCAGCTAAATCTAATTGACTTCTATAAAGTACTTCACCAACCAATAAGAGCATACACATTCTTCTCAAACTCATGTGGAGGATTTACCAAGACAGATCACACTGTATGTAACAAAACAGCTTAACAAATTTAAAATAATAGGAATCATACAAAGTATGCTCTCAGGTAACAACAGGATCAAACTGAAAATCAGTAACAAAGTGAAAATCCCCCAAACACTTGGAGATTAAATAACATACTTATAAGCTAGGGATGTCTCAAATAGTAGAGCTGGTCTTTTAATTGCTTCAGTCTTCTGATAGCTGACTTGACTGTGACCACAGAAGTGGTATTGTAGGTCACAGAGTCACTGTTTTCATGCAGGAACCACAGTGCCGTGAAACAAAATCTATGAAACAGAAAGCTTTCCTTTAAAAAGATCGATAAAATTTGTAAATCTCTAGCAATTTACAAGGAAACAGAAAATTTACAAGGAAAGAGCAATTTACAAGGAAACAAAAAACACAAATTGCTCATGTCAGAAATATTAGAAACTACTAAGCCCCTAGACATTAAAAAAGATAATAAAAGAATATTGTGAACAATTCCCTGCCCACAAATTTTGATAATATAGATGAAGTGGATCAATTCATTGAACTGCATAATTTTCCAAACTCACACAAGGAGAAATACACAATTTGATTTTG